CGGATCGGCGATTTGCTGGATGTTGCAATTGAATTTTATTAGTACTTTTTTAATTTTTTTTTTCAAGGGCTTTGGTCATTTTCCCGGGCCCCTTGTCCCCTTCACCCGGTGTGAAATGATAGGGTGGGAATCGTTGCAGTTATTGAGTCTATTATATCACCAGGTCACTAAGGTATCATCCCATCCATTGAGGGTGGGTGTAGGGGGAGAGGACGATGATCTCTCCATGCTCTGCGGAGAAGGGTGTACGCGGAATGTGGAGACTCAGCCCATGTCATGCTCGTGATATTTGAGATCAGAAGGTACAAGCTGACAAGTAATGTTGAGGGTAAAATGCGATAGGATGGGTTTGGGAGGATGCTTCGTGGGTGGACGTGGTGGAGGTGGATTATAGTGGGGAATCAATCATAAATTCCATCTTGGCCGTTCGGGTTGCTCTCCAGTACTTTAGTCGTATATGTACATAGTATGTACATATGGAGTATGTACTTTTTCTCGCTCTCGCTCCCGGTCCCTTTCAGCTCCAATTGGGTTTCTAGTGCGAGTCATCATTGAAAACTTGTAAAACTAGCTTTTTTTTTAACCTTTTTTTGGCCCTTTTCTTTTCACGGTGTGGGCGTGTCAACTGTTCATGTGGTGGAGTCTTGGGCGTGTGTCTGCGGTGTACGAGTATACATTGACTCCACAGTGGAGTTTGTGGCTTGCTTTGGACATTTGGGCATTTGGACATTTGGGGGTTCGCATTGTTGACTGTATTCCGTTGGTACGGCGTGTCCGTTATCGATAGCGGAAAAATGGGGCCCCTTTCGTATTTCGTGGTATGTGGCGGTGCTCCCCCGTGTGCTCATGACTCAGCATTTATTTTTCAGACACGGAATACGCTATTGTCTGTTTTGGGTTTAGTGGCTGTTACATGGTGTGGAGCTTTTTGTTCGAGAAGTGACTTGCGTGGCTGGCATGTGGCATGAAGCATGTGGAATGTGTTGCGCAAGTGTGTCACTTGTAACAGCCATTTTTTCTATTTATAGATGAAAACGGATGGGTGTTGTTATTTATCTTTTTCGTGTGTGGTTGATGAGTCTTGTCCTTTTCGAGGAGGCGTTGAGATGTAAGATGTGGGAGATCGTCGATATGGACACATCGTGGGGGTCCGTTTACTAATAAATCCAAGACAATATGCGTATGCGGCTGAGGTATATACTTAGAATTTTATCCGGCCAAGTGAGACAAGGTTTTAAGTTGCTAGGGTCGCTGGTGTAAGATTCTGTTTTTGATGACTAGACAAATTATACAGATTCTACGGACGTAATGGAGTTGGCGGTTTGAATTGTATTTACAGAGCTTACCATCTTCCACAAGACAACTACGGCATCGCTGTCTTTGTTGAATAGCAGCTATATTTAGAGATATTTGAGTTGCTATGGCTCAGTGAATAATATTGAGTTATGTACACTTCGATACTAGACCTATGGTTGTTATGCGAATACACCATATAGAAGTTCATATGTCCACCTCATGAATCAAAAAGATTATGAAATATGCAATCACGATCGCCTTTCATCATGATTGTTTCTCATATTGACATATCTTTGATAGCCGATGATGTGAACAATTCGGTTGCAAGGCTCTTTTCGCATTCTCGAATGAATTCAGGGCCTCCCTGATGAGTCGGTTTGCACGGTAGCTGCCCGAGTAGTGAGCACCTTAGCAATGGAGCATATAATCACGCCATGGCTGCTTTCCAAGGTCCAACTCGCCCCCTCCACGATATCAATTCTCGGCGCCATCATGTTAGAGAATCATCCCGATGGTGTTTGCTGCTTATTTTGGATCTCCGACCTCGCGGTATAAATCTGCGAGACCGGAGAAGAGAACTATTTGCCGGCCTGGGCTAACTCGGTAGTCTTGGTCGGCCAGCGTGGAGGATAGCTTTTTAAAATATGGCAGGTGTGAGGATGCTCAGATGCTCACAGAGATCAACGTACGGCGTAGCATACGAAGCAAAGGAAACAGTAGCTGTTCGACGAAAGTAATAGCTTGAGGAGAAGAAGGAGGAAGCTGAGATAGAACTAAGTACATGTAGGCGTGGATGCCTAAGTTGATGCCATCTACGTCAGGCATCCGCGAATGGTAACAACCCCAGTTCGTTACAGCAGGGCCTCATCCAGGCGACTTTGATCCCTGATAAGGTGACCTAGAAGCACATCGCGGTCGCTCAAAACCGTCCTCTCCATCTGGACGGGGCTTCTAGAATAAAAATACATGGTGATCGGCCGCAACGAGTTCAATATCAAATACGTTTTTAGATAAAAATTTCTAACAAAAACAAAACATACAACAGCAGGGATTCGCATGTGGTCACCCACCATACTACTAACCTGCCGGCGTGTGGCTTAAGTACGGCTGAGCGGACGGGAAGCCCTGTTCTCCACACCCTATGGTCGTATGTACTAAATTGTTCTATGATAATTACTATATAGAATGCAGAAAAATATATTAACAGCAAATCTAGGTAAATACAGTAATGAGAGGGTTCAAGAGTGTATAAAATATTTTGATGGTTGGAATAATTACTAGGGAAATTTAGACTAGTCACCCTCTGCGGCTAGGCTTGTGTTAGTGCCTTTGATTTTTTTGGAGTTCAAAACATCTAAGGCTTGAATATAACTAGTAGTTCTAAGTTTTGACACAATATAAAGTTCCAAGGTTGTCAAGCATAACCATAATCCATGGATGGGACTTTTGAGATAGTCTCTGGGGCCAAAGATTGGCACTCATTATGGCCTGAATACCTGGTCACTAGCAAGTGATCTATATCTGAAATTAATTCGCCTTCAACTGATAGTCAGAATCCGATTGACTGAAAATAAGTCGATCTGCTCAAGTGGATTATCTCAACACGCTTCCCTTGACAACAAAATCGTCCAGCAACTCCCAAAGGAAGCGCACCTTTCCTTGCATCATCATCCAATCTTGAACATTATGGGTTTTTTTTCAAGATTCTCGATAATTACCAAGACTTCTTGAGCGCATGGCAATATTGAGACGGTCGGAGTTGAAGCCCGAAATCAGGTGGTTCCCACTAGGCTTTGTCAGGAGAAGAAATACTATTGGGAATTCTTGACCTTGCGCAGAGTCCACAGTGAGGATCTCTTTATAAGAAAGCGGCTGCCCTTGGTGGGTATCTTTGACCATATCCGTGCGCGGTACGGAGTAATGACCATCATGTCTGCAGGAAGCGAATTCACCGCCAATAAAAAAAATATTATTAGTTGTTGGTTTGAAAAGTTTTAAAGGAGAGATTGAGAGGCGGCCCTCAAAGTTTAGTGTTCGAACTCTGATTTTAACTAACAGAGACAAGCATAGCCCAAGAGCCATCAACTCTGCAGCTATAAGTACAATCTAATCAACGACCTGCTAAGGGCTGTTCTTCATCTGCGCAATTATAATGATTCTAGCACATTTTGGATTTATTCTTCTTTGCGGCAATATCTAGTACATACGACCATAGGGTGTGGAGAACAGGGCTTCCCGTCCGCTCAGCCGTACTTAAGCCACACGCCGGCAGGTTAGTAGTATGGTGGGTGACCACATGCGAATCCCTGCTGTTGTATGTCCGCATTCACTCATTTTTTTGGATTCGTTGGGCTTAGTGCCCTTGTCGCTTTACCCTTCAGTCTGTTCCGCCCTTCCCCTGAACGCCCTGAAGACCCCTCGGTTAAACTTGCCGTGCATTTTATCACCATACATACCCCTCACTGCCTTGCTGCCAGCACGACCGCATGGTCGGGTTTTGGACCTGATATCGTAAGACGCAGTGAAGCTCTCGTAGGCAGCACCAGATGAATAGGTAATAAATAGTGTGGGTTTTCTTCTTTACTTCTTTCCTATTGCCTCCTTCGCTGATTATTATGGATTACTACACCCTGCAAGCGCTAGAACCGACCTGTCATGTTGTATTTTTACTCTACTTATAGATAGTATCTGAAATATTTCACCCTAGATCATCATCATCAAGGTTCTCTCTTCTTTCTCCACGTATCTCTGTTAGATTGGTATCAATTTTGTTACAATACTTTGTTCTAATAGATTCCGTCACTGCTTTAAGCAGGTATTATAGACTTTTATTTGAGGGCTTGCTTTGCCTTTAGGTCAATATTAAGCAACTAGGTTTTTCTATTTTAGCAAATTTACAGAAGTGGCTAATGTATAAGAAACATTTAAGCTTTATCATTTGCCAATACTCTACTAGGCAGGCCTGTATTGAATTATGAGTGGTTAGGTTTTGATCTGACCTATGGATTCTCGAGTAAAAGAAAGATCTGCCAGAGAAGCACTGGCCCTACTTGAGTCTTTTAGTTTCTATATGTTACACCTGGAAGTCTGCGAGATCCTTACTATCCTTGGCTTAGATATGGATGGTAAAGTGTAAAGCTGTTGGTAAGAAGCTCTATAGGGACTTAAGATGGATATTGTACTAGGATAATGGTTCTTAGTTCTGATTGATCAACCTACTATACTGACTTACTGATAAAATTGGCTTTTCTGCTAGTATTTAAGAATTACAGGTAAGAAGTGATGGATATTTGTAGATAATTTGTGGGTAGTATTTTCTTCTATATACGTAAGGGACTAATTATAAAGTTGATTAAATAGAATATGCGGCCTAGATATAGTAGTGTTTATAGAGTTCTATGAGTTTAATAAATTTAAAATGGACTAATGAGAACGATGAAGTCTCTAGTTGGCAGTATGATGGTAGACAGATAGTATTTTAAATGTCAGTGCCTGAATTATTGAGTCTGATTATATAATAGTATGAGCTAATAGTTATACTTTATACTGGATCTGATTATGAGAAGTTATGACAGGTTATCTGATTGATGGCAGTGGCGTGGGAGTTTACCCCTACTAATTTAAGGCCATTTTGCCCTTCTTCCTTCTCTGTACAGTTAGGAAATTGTATTTAATGTATATTAGTATTCATGACGTAGACAATGTTAGAAATCAGAAGATTCAGACTCTATCTTATGGAGTCTCTTCAAAGGATTTCCTGGGGACGTAGAGCCGGACCGCTTTGAAGACGATGTAATGGCACTACTTTTCTGACGGAATTTGACAATCTTCTGATAGCCCCCTGATGAGGCAGCCTGGAGAGTATTGACAAAGAGCCTGCCCTGCTCATTGATACCTGCTCCCTGGTCTAGGAGTAGTTTGACAATCTCCTAATGACCTCCTATTAAAGCAGCCTGGAGAGCATTGCTATAGATACCATTTAGTATATTAACATCTGCTCCCTGATCTAGGAGTAATTTGAAAATCTCCTAATAGCCTCTTAATGAGGCAGCCTGGAGAGCATTACTAAAGAAGCTGCCCTGTATATTAATATTAGCTCCCTGGTCTAGGAGTAGTTTGACAGTCTCCTGATGGCCTCCTATTGAAGCAGCCTGGAGAGTATTACCATAATCACTACTCTATGCATTAATGTCTGCTCTATGGTCTAGGAGTAGTTTAATAATCTTCTGATAGCCCCCTCTTGAAGCAGCCTAGAGAGTACTGCTATAAACACCTCTCTGCGTATTAATATCTGCTCTCTGGTCTAGAAGTAGTTTAATAATCTTCTGATAGCCTCCTGATGAAGCAGCCTAAAGAGCATCACCGAAAAAGCTACCCTGTGTATTGATATCTGCTCCCTGTTCTAGGAGTAGTTTAACAATCTTCTGATAGCCTTTTGATATAGAAGCCTGGAGAGCATTGCCAAAGTGACCACCCTGTGTATTGATGTCTGCTCCCTAGTTTAGGAGTAGTTTGATAATCTTCTGATAGCCTCCTATTGAAGCAGCCTAGAGAAAATTGCCAAAGTGACCACTCTGTGTATTGATGTCTGCTCCTTGGTTTAGAAGTAGTTTAATAATTTCCTGATAACCTCTTGATGAGGCAGCCTGGAGAGCATTGCTAAAGTAGCCGCCCTGCGTATTGACATCTGCTCCCTTGCTAATAATATCTTGCGCAGGCGCTATAAGTCTAATGAAGTAAGTATAGTAGAGCTCAGATCCCTGAGGGGGACTAGGATTATTGCTCTAGCTCCTATCAGGCTGATATAGACGAGCCTATTGTTGAAATTCCTTTTCTAGGAACCTGACTGTTATTTGTGCTATATCTTCGTATTCCTGAGCTAGTACAGCATGCTCTGTCTATATTTCTGCTGTATATCTTGCTATTGGAAAATTATCCTTTATCCTGCTGCTTGTATAATTAATATCTGTAAGATAGGTAAGGTATATCTTTGTGATAGAAATACTGGCAGCTATAGTTTTAAAATGCTCTTTACTCAGCAGATACTCTTTGACAGAAAATTAGGCAATATGTAGCTCTTTATCGGTAGTATAGATAACTGTTACTAGGCTAGGACAGTAATCCAAAACATTAGTCTTGCAGAATAGTTGACGCTTAATATTAATCCCTTGTGAATCGTTTTTAATCTGCGTCGCTATTACTTCTTTAGCCTCGGCTAGCTTAAGAGATATCTTAGAATATACTAGGAATTGTAAAAGGCGTATCGTATCCTTCTTGATATCCGCCGGTATACTTGTAACCATACGCTGGTACGTCCTATTTAGGTTCTGTAGCAACGATATAAGTACCTTCTCTATAGCTGCTTTATGATAATATTGTGCTAGGCTGTTTAATTAACAGAAAGCCTACCTGAACCTAAGTAAGGAGTTAGTACTACCCGTATAATAATCAAAGAAGCAATATCTTACATCCTATCCGCCCTATCCCTAACTTTACTTTGGATCCTTTTAAGAAGATTATGAGATAAGGACTTATTCGTAAAGTTACGCCGTTGAGTAAGTTGTGCTGTAACCTAAGATCGGATATTAGAGTTGACTGTCTGCTTATTAAAGGGCAGACAGTTTTGCTTTTCTATCAGAGGAGGAATACGTTACTGAAACTCAGACTTAGGTCGACTGGTATAAAGTAGCTAGACTTAGTCCAGCTCTGGTCTAGACACTATGTCCTCGATCTATAGAAGAACCTTACTCCTTGTCGTTGATTCATCTAATACGTCCAGGACAACAAATACCGTCTTCTAGGCTGCGAGCATCTTAAAAACAGTATCTGACAGCTCCTTTGTTGCACATTGATTAACGCCATTCTGGTGTGCTTTAAACAGAGAATCAAGGTGAAAGGCAGAGCTAATTCCGCCTTGATAAAGTTGGAAAGCAAGTGACCGTAGTATACTATCTAAGGTCTGCTTTGTAGTGTTGCTGAAGTTAAAGAAGAAGCTGAGAATAAGGGCGTTACTTCTGTTTGTGATATGATCAAGCACCGTAACACTGAGAACAGTTTTGCTACACCTAGCAAGCCCATAGAGCCATATATGTTAAAGCGACCCTAAGTGCCATAATTGGAAGACAGAATTTTCTAAAAGCTATGTACCTGTCCCTTCATGGCGAAGTTTCCTTGCATGGTTGGCGTTTGTAGATGGATCTGGGGGATTAAGCCAGCGTCTGATCTTATCAGTTCGTTGGTCTGTCCTGATAGAATCAGTTGTAGCTTTTGTCGCAGCTGCCGCCTGCTGCACGCTGTCAATCCGTCTACGACCTGACCTTCGACTACGACTTCAAGCGTGTCCCTCGTGATTACGGCGATGCCTTGATGCGTATTGACTAATAGTAACCAGCCTGGATACTGGGACTCTGTTGTCGACAGGCCCGCTAGTGACTCCGAGCGAAAGGCCAAACGCGCAAAGCGGGATGAAACAGGCTATCACAAGAACCGAAAGCGCTATCTCGAAGATGAATGGCGTGATGCGTATCATCATGGTGGTATAGAGCGCCATGAGGTCCACAAGCGTTGGTTCGGTGAGGATATCCTCAACTGGCTCGGTCAATTGATCACTACTGGTGAAGCCGAGGCCACCAAGGAGCTCAACCATAAGGTCAATGAGAAAGTCGAGCTCCTTCTCATCGATCAGCAGTTCGGACCATGCCCTGTTGGTGGAGCCTAGGCTCAGGCGAATATTCGATCATCCATCACAGCCTCGATTGATGTTGAGACCTCTTTCGGTATAACCATTATCACCACCCTCAAGGAGGGCATGGATCTCAGCAGATCCTACCTTTACTTCAGAAACGCCGGAGAGGTTGAAGCTAGGTTTGAACTTGACGCCGTTGCTTCTCTGACGTACTCGACCGGTGATATCAAGCTGCTCGATCTCGACGACTTCCCCGGCGCAACCTTCCGCGTGCCTGGAGTTGTTACGGTCGGTCCGAACCTCGCAGTCTATGCCTCTGCAGATGCCTCGATTGTTCTAGCGGGACATCTGGAAGCAGACGTTACTCTCGCATCCTGGGAAATTCAACAGACCTACCCTCAAAACGATGAATACCCAGAAAAAGCCCTCGATGAGCCCGACCGTGAGGCTAAGACCATTGGCAAGCCCCATTTCGATGCCTCTGTCTCTGCCAACGGCGAGATTGCCTTGCATCTGAAGCCAACTGTCAGCTTTGGAATTGACTTCGATGACCGCTGGAAGATACCCCGGTGTTCCGTTGATCTTGTCCTGGATGGATATGTGATCGGACATGCGGAAGATTCCTACTCACTCAACGGGGACAACAGCTGCCCATTCAGCTATGGTATTGATGCTGGTTCAAAGATGTACGCTCAGCTTGACGCCCCTGAGGAATTTGGTTGGGGCGACGATCTCCGAGTCACGCTCGCAGAGGTGCCCAGGAAGCAAATCACGCCTTCAACCTGCGTTGGTGAGAAGGGCAAGCGAACTTTGCTAGGCTATGAAGCATATAATTCTTCCGTGGAAGACTCTTCCTCGCGTAGAACTGAATACATGCCTATGCCTGTTTCTCATTTCATTGCCAAGCGTGACACACTTACCCTTGGCCCTCTGGTCACGATCGCCGATGACTTCCTTAATTGCCCTGGTGAGGGTGGAGAAAGAATTCTTGCGTGATGTGCTCAATGTACGGCACGAAAGTCAGTGACAGCGATGACTCGAAACGAGATGTCTCTTCTCTGTTCGGCCGTGACGATGATAGTGGTTCTTGTCCTATCTACCCATCCCCAGATAGTGGAAAGTGCTACGATACAGATTCGTTCCTTTTCGACCGCGCTTCTGACCCACAAGAGCCTAAAAAGATGAGTCTCAGCTTCTATGATAACAACAAGAAATTTATATATTTGAGGTATCCCCGGTGTAACGCAAAGAACGACGGGCCGACGGGTGTGGCGAAGGTATGCCTTGATTGTTTATTTTTTCCTCTTCCGGTTCAACAAGACGCAAATACTGATGAGAATACAATAGTGGTATCTTCCCGAGTTTATGCTATCCAGCTCACAAGATATCAACGACAACAGAAGGTGCTCGGCAAAGACAACAAAGGAGAACTCCGTCAAGGGAGCGAACAATGCATAACCTCATTGACGGCAATAGCAAATTGCCCGCGAAGGACTTCCGCACGGAGCACGTCTTCGAGGTACATCTGGTCAAGCATTTCCTTGAGTGGGTGTGCGGAGGAAAGGAATCCAAATATAGAGGTCTTGGCGAGGTTCCTTTCCCTAAGAAATGGACACGTCCTGACTCGACTTGGTGCTCGGAGGTGTTTGGAGGTAAGAAGGCCAGGGGAGTGTGTGTAGCGTCTTGTTGATATTAACTAATGATATCTGTATAGGTTCTAGTGGCGGAATGACTTGGTCGAGAAATAATGGGCCCAAAATGAACTGGGTCCAACATACCGCTGAATTCCTCGGAAATGGCCAATCGCTTGACCTGCTCGTCATGTATCACGAAAAGCCCAACGGAGTCAAAGAGGTTATTACCGAAGGAAGGAAGTCTAGCCTCCCTAAGGACGACCCCAGCAACGGTTACATCGTTGAGCCAAAAGAGATAGCGGACAAGGTCATGATGACTGCTACTGTTTGGAACTATCTGCAGGAATTTAGCGACAAGTGGACCAAGCCCAGTCAGAACATCGAATTGATCTCGGACGAATTCGACCATGAATATACCCGCTAATATTCCCAGAACAAGCCAAACGGACAGGCCCTCAAGCCAGACGATACCCCCCGGGGCCTCAAACACTGGGGTCTGCGTACCCTATGGGCCTACTGGATTGACAACCATCTGGCCAAGATTGAGCAGATTCAGGCGGATTGGCACAAGACCGCTAAGGACCAGATCAGTTCCATAAAAGATAAGACGGACCCGAAAAAGACAGACGCTGTCCCGAAGAAGTTCGCAGACATCACCATGACTACTGGAGACGCAGCAGTGGGAAAATTCAAGTTCCCAACGTCCAATGCGGGTAAACCGCTTCCTGGTACTGCGACAAGTGCATCAAATGACGAAAGCAAGTACGGAATGTGGGGAGGCAACCAGCTAGGAAAGCTGGGCCTGTAGTAGATTTGACGAGGCCACCCGAGAAGTACCTAGTTGCAGCTGTAAATTTAGCCAATTTCTGACTATAACACTCAATTGATTTTGTTGCTGTTCATACTAGTAGGGCATGCTACTGGGCAGTCACCTGACTTTATGTCTCTCTCAGTATATTAAGATTTCCACCTACCAGTAGTACCACATTCAATCTACTAGTACACACTTGCACATTCTCTCCTCCATACTACCTACGTACCTCCTCTCATCATGCCCGGATGCTCAACTTACTTGGTCAATTAGCCCTAAGTGTCGATCTTCTCCCTGCTTACGTAACACCCCTCCCCTCCATTTAAGCCCGTCGCTCCCCACGTTTACTTCAGTAGTCTCTTTCAAACCTGTTTTCCTTATTAAAGGTCGCTGCTCATTTGCACTAACCATAGCCCCAGTTGCAAGATCTGAGATGGATTGGCAGCAAGTGCGCACCTACACGGACCATTTGGGTCATCCTGTCGTGCTCGAGCAGTATGTCTCGCCAGAATACGAGACAGACCCCGATCTGGAAACTCCCATTCAGGTCTACAGTCTTGTTCCCTTAGACGACGACCACGAAGAGCTCCGAGAATACCTCATGCAGACGTTCTCGGATGACGAAGTGAAGCCTTTGTTCGAAATTTACTCATACCGCCCGCCCGATGGCTTTGCCTGCATTGAGCATAATCGCATGGAAATCGCGCGTCGTAAGCAGCAACATCGGTCAGGAGTCGAAAATCCTCTTCCACTGATTGCGCGATGGAATCGTCCCAATCGCCTATCCAATATTGGATTTTGCGTTCTGGTGCGATCGCACAGTTATCGAGTGGGCAATATGGAGGACTCCGAGGAGGCTGAGGAGATCGGCGAAGGCCCGGATTTACTTTACTTCAACCGCACATTTTCTAGCACACGCGCTGATGCTGACTTGGCGCAACATTCACCCGAGGACAATGAAGACCTCAGGTCAGAGGCATTTGAACTATCCATCGAGCGTGTTACGGAGCAAATGGACATCGGCCAGATGATAATCCTCGATTTGTTCCTTAACGTCTCTTCTTATGCCGATCAGCGATATGCCTTGGATGTTGATGAGGGCGAACCTCCTGGCCAAGATATGCCAACAGAAGAGCAGATTCGTGACCAGCTCGGCCAAGAAACCTCGGTTGGTGGCTTTTCTCTTGGTCCGGCATTCCAGGTTTCTAGAGAAGCCGACATTGTTACAGTCACCAATACTCCTGAGGGCAAAACCTCTGACATTCAATACGTTGTCCACACATCTTTTCTCAGTCATATACGCGACACGGCAGGTTTCTCTCTCCTCGAAAGCACAGCGCGTCTCTTCACAGCGTCTGTCCTCTCCCACCTTCCGGCCAATAAAACCCTCACCCTCAAATTCTTCATTCCAAAGTCCAATTCCTGGTCGGCCATCGGCCCCGCCCAAAATGAAGTTCTTGAAAGTTTATCCCAGCAAAATCAAGAAAGCCTGGAAAGCCCTTTCCCTATTGGCGCCCTTCACAATATCCTCTCAGAAGAGGATCAGCCCCTAGCTGCAAAACGAGTTACTCCTCATGGCCCTGAAAAATATCTGTACAACTGGTTACCGTACGAATCTGGCACGTTCACAGTCGTTCTTGATCGCGCAAAATTTGTCTCCGAGAACGGAGTTTACTTCTACAAGAATCATTGTAGTAAGGTCAATGATTCGGAGGTTCTTTCTGATAATACGAATATTGTGCGTGGCGTGGATATGAGTGCGGTTGCTCGGCGGCTGGGAATGGTTGTTCTTGATGAATGAGCTAGTCTAATAGATCAATTTGACTCTTTTTGTATGTAATCAAGACGATTTGCTAGATTATGTAGAAGGATGTTACTATTCGTTTTCCATCCTTATCTATAAAAGGCAGTACTAGTGGATGTGGGATAAGTAGTATTTACATTGGACATAACCAAGCCATGTGCTTCGAGCTCCAGAAAGTGAAATTCCTCAGGAAGCAAGGGGGCGATTGAGTCAAACTCATTTGTCACAATATCGGCCTACGTGTACTCCTAGTGATCAATTTATCTCTTTGAAGTTGTTTATCTTCACGATCTTTGTTTCAATAACACCATTCAATGCAATGGTATCGCAGCTTCAGTCGCGTTTTCCAGAGGCATCGAACTAATTTGTGCTTGAAACCAAGAGATCAATCAGCCTACGCAATGGCAGGCGATCTTGCTAGACGGTCAACCTCAGCCAACCGCAGCGCGAATTATCGGTCAGCTCAATCGACTGGGAGTGGTACATTGCCGGGAATTTGACAAAAACACCGCTCCTCCCAATCTTCCATTGAGCAAGTTAATCGTCCAACCAGAAAGGAAAATGGATAGAAAACTGATCTTCAGCGGTAGAAAAAAAACGTTGAGAGACTGAGCTCAAGGGGAATCGAGTCCAGGGTATCTGCGAGCAAGCTACTAGTATTTCAATCACGTCGACCAGCGATCTCATTGTCTCAAAATATCGGGACACCTCTGTATATATTTCCCGGGAGAGTGAGGTTGACAAGAAAGTCTGAGAAGTACGCCTTATAGGCCCTCAAATACTTACATAGGTACATGAGAATAAGCCTAATCGCATTTGATTTCTTAACGTAAAGGGTAGGGGTTTTACCATTCCACCCATGTTGAAAGCGGAGGAGAAAGGATTAGTCTGTTGTCGTAGGAGGATAGAACATATCATTGACAATGACTTCTCTTTTATAGCCGCCAGAAATTCAAGCTGGCTTTTCCGGCATCGGTTTTTCTAATTGCGATCTCAATTATAGTCTCTGATTCGCGGTATCAAACTATACCAGTTTTTTCTTTTTCTTTTTTTACAGTACTCACACCTTGCGTAAGAGTGAGCTGGTGCCTCAGACACCAACACGCTAACGTAATTCACATACGGATGGCGCACACAGGCGGGTGGCGCACCGCAAAACACATAGTAAATGTGATAAACTACCACTTTATATCTCAACAACTATATCTATTTATAATAATAAATTAAAGGCATACAATCTAGATAGTATTTAGGCCATTCAACATAAAGCCAGTCTCATTCCTTCATCTATGGATCCCTAGAGCAAGCTATCTATCTATCCTTCGAAGTCATCCTCACCAGATAGCCTGGTGGGAAACCGGCGAGGATGGAGAACTGGAGACTGTCACATGTCTTATTGAAAAAAGAAGTTCTTTTACCCGAACGCTAGCGGGGTATTCAGAGACGAGCCTTTTGGTGTGGATAGATGGTCCCTATGGTACAGATATGAACTTCGATAAGTATGAGCAGGCACTTCTAATTGCCACTGGTATTGGAATTGCTGGCCAGTTATCATACCTACGTCTTCTCGTTGAAACGAACCTTCCAGGGAAGCGAAGTCGGGATATCTTTGTTGCGTGGGAGATAGAGCATCGTTGTACGTGATTCAATGGATTCAAAATGTACCGTATTTGAGCTAACGCGTCATCTCAGCAGATTTAGACTACGTCCACCAGTAGATGAGCCAGCTTCTATCTCAGGACAAAGGCATCTATGTGAGTTTATTCGTTTCCTTTCTACTCTTTTCTGCTAATATCCGCCTCCAGAATCTACAATTTGGCATTTATATACCTTCTACTCTCAATATAGCCTGAGATACAGAGCCTTTAAATTAGGGCAGCTAACACGGGAGAATATTTAAAATACTCGGACGCATTAACGCTGAAAAGGTGATTCCAAAGAAGTTCTGGGAATCTAAAAGGAAGATCACTGATAACAGGTAAATAAGAATAATCCTTGTTTAATAGTAGGCTAACCTATTATAGTATCCGCACAGCAAAGGATTAGGTCTAGACTTTCTAATATAGTTGCCTCTCGCATGGAGAAAGTGGTTGATATTATTGAACTTCCATTTCAGCCAGTGAGGTCTCGACAGAGTACTTGGCAGGGTCATAAAGGAGAAGGCTCATTGACTTAGTCTAGGAAGGAAGAGATTTGGGGATTTAGACTTAGAGGTTGACTCTACTGCCAATATTCAGAAACTAAATACGAAAAATTTCATTAGAGCCAATGTTATCCGTAATACTCTAGTATCTCCTGATTAAGAGCAGCTTGTAGTAATCCAAGTCTTCTACCCTAGGAAACCCACGGCTGCTAGTACCGGAATGGCCGGTTGAATTGCGCATGGATATGCCGTCGAAGCCATCACAAGCATGCGTATATAACATCAGGTAATTTGCTTCGTATCCCGGTCATCACCACTAACAGGAGGTAAGAAAGCTATCCGATAAATGGTTCATAGTGTCTAAAGCGTCCTCATCTTCTATATGCGGGTGTGCAGGACTTGACTTAAGTAGATAGACAAGGCCCAGATCAGTATAAAGTCCGTATATGCACCTACAGGGGGACAGGAGGCTTACCCAGCAACCAGGCCCGATATCACGTTGTTGATCTCGAAATAGCGTTACATCAAGTACTCTTGTACAACCAGAATCTGGCATCCAATCGTTCATTTCAGCTCATTATCACGTGAGGCTCACGGTAATGCCCAATCAATTACTAGGCCTGATTTCGTGGTTGTTGGATCCAGGGTATATAATGGCCCTCTCTCTCCGCAGCTAGATTTAGTCCCTTGTCTTTTCTTTCTACTCTTGGCTGGCTCACTCACACTGATTTCCTCCCCAGACCAGGATGACAACTCTCTCCAATGCGATCTTTATTCAAGAAAGCGAAGAACCTCCAACCCCTGAGCCAGGTTCCTCACAACTTCGGATTGGCGCCCGCCCTGATTATAGCCACCAGGGATTCGAGACTATGGTTAATTCATTGGTCGACGATAAGACGGATGAAGGCCCGTCTCGAAAACGTAAAAGAACCGAATAGACTGCATCCTCTTATTTTGTTAGTGCCTCTCAATGATAGATATGCCCTGATTCTTGTTCTAACAATTTACCAGGAGAAAACTCTCGAGAAGCTAGGGAAGGGAGTGAGCCGCCATATACAACAACTAGAGGATCGGGGCCGATCATTCCGATATAAGCTTATGATAGAGCGTGAGAAACATCAAAAAACTCGAGAAGAGCTTTCCCAGGAGCAGAAGAAGCGAATTTGTGAATGCAAGATCTGTTACCAGCAGCCAGATCAGTAGATGATAATATCTTGTGGGCACATGTTCTGCAAACTAAATATGGATACAGAACTTGAAATACGGAAGATCTGTCCTCTTTGCCGTGCTCCAATCAAGGGATCATTCGACTGCCTCCCCTTTGCAGGGTGAATAAGTATTCCAGGTTTGGATCCTGGACTCGGGGCTTAAAGACATAGAAATGCCGAACCAGGGGTTATGTAAATCAGTCCAGCAGTCGGTGCATGAACCTATACCACTACCATAGGCACGCTATGAACAGAGGTAAACTTCATTAAGTTCATTATGCTTGAATAGATACACAGAGAAAATGTCCACAACAATAGTCGCTGCTTATAATAACTACTTACGTACATGATTCATGTTTCCTTTTCTTGGATGGCGCTTTCCCCAGGATCCAGCAATGAGCGTCAATAAGATGATGAAGTAGAAGCTCTTGGCTGTTAAAATCCAGCTGACAAGCAGGATGCTTGCATTCGAATCTTGTCAATCCTGCCACATGAAATTAAATGTGCGCGTACCATTCGGACCGGTTTGTGACAAATTGAGTCATTCTTTTTGATAGGTCAAGATGCTTATTTCCAAGACAGAAGGGACAAAATCCTGCTTTGATAGGGGCGCTGCGAAACATAAGTGGATCACAGCGAAGGAGCATGTCTGGTTGCTGCAAATGCTCAAAGCAATGAAGTTCCCACTCTCCCGGGTCAGTGAACCAGGTGTCGCATTCGAAGCACATTTCCGCAAATTATAGCTTGCTATAGCAACGGTAGTGGGATTTACTACATCGATAAAGATGAAGCCATTGCCTATGGGGTAAAAAGCTGCGATAATTAGCCAAGCTCACTGTAGAGTGGACCTGTAGATACTCACTCCTTGATAAGGGCCCCGCAACAGCATTTTCCTCCGAAAGGCTTCAGGGACTCGCGATATGCAATTGGTGAATTCTCTAAACAGATTGATTCAAGGGCCTGTAGTGCTTGACGCCCATCAGTGTCCCGCAATAAGACTTTTTTAGGTAGGATATCAGCAAGGAGACCTCGATTAGGCATAACACGTCGGCGATAGTAGAAGAGAGTCTCCGTCCGGATATTACTTATCGCCGAGTCTTTTTGGCTTTGGTCACGAAGTTAATCAACAGCTTTTCTAAGGAGCTTTTTTTTTGTACCATTTAGTGACTTCTAACGCTTCTGTATCTCTCCCCTAGCTTGTATGTCCGAGGTAGCTAACAGACGGACACTAAGTTCGCGTAACTGATCGTCCAATTCCACGATGTCTTCTCGGTTATCGAATTCGAGTTAAGCTTTTGCAGGTAGATATTGGCAAAGATTCGAGTTCTGATATATTCCCATACCTCGCCGGTTCTGGATGTATCCCTCACGACTGGCGATTCCAAGAAAGTTCGCAGGCCCATCAATCTCACTCAAAGGATAAGCATATAATCTTCCAAATATTTCTCGTTTCACTTAGCCACCAAATTTCATTCTTGCTGTCTCGCTGTGTTTCTCATCTAAGATTCATGAGCCAAAGTCTCAGTATACCTCGTGCTTCATACCTGCTTCCATAAGTGCCCATCTCCGGCAGCCTCGGATAGTAATATTCTGACTGTATCCGCTCCGGTACCCTAAAGCAACAATGCTCTTACCAAATAAATCCGCACCTCAAGCTTTACTAGTACTCTTTACAACTCCCAGATCCGTAAATTAGCAGAAGACAGGGGTATCAAATGCTTCTTGCTTGAACTAGATCACCTCCAGTATATTGTTCTCTCTGGGCCCTTTCTCATATGCATTAGCTGCATCGAGAATTACATAGACAGATGAATAATCCTTGAATGCTCCATCCGCCACTGCCAGAGGCAAAAAGAAAGTAAGGAGATTCAGCATCAGAGGCATATGCTCCGTGTATAATTCATAAAAGGCATGGATAGGAATTTGCCATTCATTTTTCCTATGGAAGCCCTTAACATACTCCCTTTCGTATAAAAGAACGAGCATTGGCTCATTGTCCACAACTTCAATAGTAAGGGTGAAATGCTAATTACGTAAGATAAACCTTCATAGTAGACAATAGAGCTCAAGCTTACCTTATAACAAGCAGCCATAGTGCGAGCTTCCAGTATTTATTCAGACTCTTCTCCCTCAAGCTATCTAGCTGACCTCCGCCACGCAGTAGACTCATAGACCTCGCCTGTTCTGGCAGATATAAAACAGTAAAGTAGCATTGCGGCACTTAACTGAACCCGAGATCAATCTAGAGGATACCCACGGTATTCTTGAGAGTCCCGGCACCAGAGTTATATCATTATTATCATCAGATCATTTGGGGAAAATGCATTTTTCTTCATCTCCGCCGTTGACAAGTAAGGCTTCAAAGGTCCATTAATATACTATTACATGATTAGCTAGATATTTCGTTTGCTATTAGATCAAAAGTATATCAGACCTCTTTAAGAGTTGTGGATTGCTCCGTAGTGAAGACAAAATCTCTGAATTTCCTCATTCCAGCCTAGAAGTCTCTACGGAGTCCTTGTAGTGTCCCCAAAGTAGGCTTTTCTTCGAGTCGACCACGCTTGTTGATAGCTAGCCAAAGCAAAAAGCCTTTACTAGTTTCTAGATTTAGAGGATTTTAAGACGTAGGATATAATTCGACAAAACTGTCTTGTCAGCTAGATCGAGTCATAGGGGAACAAGATCCTCACGTATCGAACAGGTTTAGCACCTCCTCATATTCTTTTTCTGTTCGCGGTAAAACACTGCGGGACAACTCCCGGTTGTCGATATTATTAAGATCAACTAAGAGATAATCATTTTGTTTACTCTTCATAGTGGCTGTGAGGGCCGCTAGAGGGACCGTTCAAGCTAAGGGGATAAAAAGGACAATAGCACCGACAAGGTGAGTATGAGTGGGTGAAGACAAGCGAAAACCAGCCATTTTAACTCTCCGCTGCTCTACAGTACCTCGTTAATTCTTTCCCCGTCAAAAATCACGAATGCGACTTTTGCATGTCAGATTCGGCCCTTCAGGGTGAAGGCCTGAAGGGGCGCCCCGCTAGGGCGGCGAGCCGCCCAAGACAAAATCGTGGGCGCTAGGTGACCACGGCCATACAATATCTGTTGTATGTTTTTGTTTTGCTCTTTTTTGTTTTGTAATTTTTTTGGTATTCTCTATAACTGGGACTGTATTCTTGTTTTTTTATCGGAAGTGCCAAGACATCAATCAAAGGTAATACCCAATCAACTCATTGGTCTTGTTCCAAATAATGGCGGAAGCACCGTTTCTCTCCAGTTTCCCTAGAAGCCCATCGAGTTGCAATGTTTCCAGCTTGTCACCAACACAGAAAAGAGACCCCTTTGTCGTATCGTTGACGGTGAGCCCTTTCTTCTGCCCCTCTGTCAAGGCAATACCATTCCCACCATACTGAGAGCCAGTCATCACATACATAGAACGTGCTCCCGCCTCCTCGGGGCTGGATCGTGTGATATCTGAAGGGGCATTGGGACCACCTGCCACTTTATCCTCGCTCCATTGATCACCCCAACTTTTCTTAAAAATTTCAGTAGAGACAAGACCCGGGTGATGATGGATAAAAGTGATTCCACTGTTTTCTGGCTGCTCAGCGAGTCGTTTGAGGCTCACGGAGGTCATGGTCGCGCTGTGATGAGCATAGCTTTGGACACTGAAGTGTCCTGGTTGCTTTAGCTCAAGGTCGTCCAGATACAAGTCGGTTGTTTCAACGCCCGTGCCTAGAACATTCACGATTCGGGGAGAATACTGATCAGTGTCAGGGTTGAATGCCGCCCGAAGAAGTGGGAGCAGGCGTTGAATGAAGATCTGACGACTGTAATATCCCACGGCGGTTGCAAGCCCCAGGCCTTCAGAAGTTTCTAAATTGGCTTTGTTAGTACTTGACTGGACTGTTCAAGTTGGTAGTTGACATACCTTGGCGTCCAAGAAACGGCAGAAAGCCAGCGGAGAGATAAAGCAGGTCGATGTGTTCTTCACGGCGAAGGATCTCATCCGTGAGGCGCTTTGTCTCTGCCATGAGAGAGATTTGCCCCTCCAGGAATATCAACTCGGCTGTCTTATTTGAAGCATGTAGCTCGCGCAGGACCGGCCTAAATTCTTCCTCATTTCGACCGACAATGTAGGCCTTCAGAGGGTAGCCCTGATTGACAAATTGCGTCAAGGTTGCGCGTCCAATCCCTGAGGTTCCACCAACAAAGACGGCAATTTTTGGAAGGGTAGCGCTGGTGAGCTGGGCATTGGAGGCTCTAAGTGCAGCAAGCGAAGCCATGGCAAGTATATTGAGCAATGTTGTTTATTCGAAGAGTATCTTGGAAGACCCTGGGGGGTAATGAAGCCTTGAGAATACCTTCATTACCTGAACAAAAATCGCCCGTTTTATATAGAAATCGTGTACCAAGTTCCGAGAGCAAATTCGAATGTGTCTTACAAATCGAAGATAAAACGGTCCTCCGTGTCATGACAAATTCATGATTCCTAGCAGGTGAAGGAATATTGCAGTCATGAGAGTCTCCGCTGGTAGAAAGCTCAAGAAAGCCAAAGCGATTGTAAAATAATGACGCGCATCCAAATAGTCCCGAGTCCGAAAGATGGACTTCTCGGGAAGGTAAGTGTGACGGACGGACGGACGGACGGAGCCGGCAAATGCCGAATGGGTCACCCCGTCTACGCTCAGCTTTCACTCTCCGTCCAACGTTCCGACTCGGAAGACGAACAGCAGTGCCCGCAGATCCAGTTTCATAGCGCCGAATACCATGGCGCCTAATGCTGTAATAGCTGAACGCCCAGCGGTATGTGTGTTGTAGACCTTTGGCATTATGCGAATATGGGGACGCGAACTAACGTACAGAGACAGTGCGACTTTTGCCATTCGAGAAAGGTTCGTCAAGCACAACATGCGATTCCCTGAGAGTTCAGATTCATGCATGAGTCATTCATACTATCTGCTCTTGTATTGTGTAGTCGTATTTATTGACATCCAAGCGTCCTAGATTAAATGCGACCGGCAGTTTCCATGTGCCAATTGCATCGAGGCCATAGTAGATTGCCGCAGAGATCGACCCAAGAAAAGTAGGCGCCAGAAAGGAGCACGGTAAGGAAAACAATCGTTTTAATTAATAGCTGCGCTCACATTGCCAAGCGTGACATCCTTGTCTGAAAGGCTTGCTGCGCTCGAGTCATCAGTTGCCGGTTTTCCGTCTCACGCCAGCCCGACTCGTGGTACAGTAGGAATCGGGTCAATAGAGCAGGAGATCATTCCGACCGACACCGGTGGCCTCTCTCATACCCAGCAAGAAAGCAATGAAAGGATTGAGAGGCAATCGTCAAATCCATTTGTTACCAACGCCAGAGATGGCTTGACTCAGCAAACCTCAGAGGGTACTCGATTTCTGCAAGGCGAGCTTGAGTCAAACCCATTGCTCGGAACAAGCAAGTCTATATTGATGAGGGAAGCAATAAGCTTTGTCAGTCGGCTCTCTAAGACATCGAACTCATACTTTGCGACCAATGCTTTTGACTCGTCTGAAACAAGTGGTAATCCTGAATCAAAGGTGTTTCCGCCAGAGCTGTTATATATGATGACAATGGGTGAGTCTGTTGATATCATATCATTGTTTATTTTGCTGATTAAGTGTCCTAGATACTGAGCCAAATACTATGAAACAGTCATTTTGGCCTGACCACGTTTCCTTCAAGACCTTGGAAGGAATGTGCTTGTCCATTATTGAAGGGAAAGAGGACCAAAACACGGTTAATTGCTACCGTGTTTGCGTCTATATGAAAGCCGCCGCGTTACTTTGCCGACTACCAAAGAAAGATCGGAGTTTACCACTCCGAAGGCACCTTGAAGGAAGTAAAAGGCAATATGAGCACGAGGTACATAAAGCTCTCTCCGAGATTGACTACCTTGCACCGCCAAGTTTGGTTCTCTTGCAAGCATTTCTATCGGGTGTATGTTGGACAGCCTTTTTACCCATTGACTAGATTGACTTCGATACTAAATTACTCACTGCCAGGCAATGTTCATGCAGAATCAAGGTGACATGTCCCGAAGCTGGACATTGACAGCTTTCGCATCTAGAACCTTGGTATCTCTCAACTATCACTCGATTGACTCAACTACTCCCTTCGACGAAACAAAATTTGACATATATGGGTCGTTGTATACGTGTTACTATCTCGACAAAATGCTCAGCGTGCTCCTGCTCAGACCACCCTCACTCCCAAAGCTGAAGATTAAGCCAGCAGACTTGGTCCGTTTGGACCCTCGGCTTCCTCTCAGTGCTAGTGTCAAAATCATGGTTGAGTTTGCACAAATCCAGGAAGGTGTTCTCGATATACTCAACCATACCAATAAGAATGATCAAGTCCCTGTTATTACCAAGCTTATATGGGACATGCATGAAATAAATACATTGATCAAAAAGGTAATCAACCCAAGTATATACTCAATATGAATAAAGAACAACAAAATTTCAAGTGGCTAACTCATTCGATCAGCATCAAAATCAATTACCTTTCCGAGGAACAAAGTATGAATGGGTTGCCATTGAGTTTGGCTATTATGCAATACTCTCTAGTATGTTGCACTTGAATCAACGTATCGTTCAAGATCGATCAACGCGGGAAGATTGCCTGCGGGCTTCTCGACAAGCGCTCATACGCCTGGTGAAAATTCAGGACGAAATTTACACGGATGCGAACTTCCTTGATCAGTATCCGTACTTTCTCACTTGGTCAGCCCTTTCTTGCAAGATGATTATGTTTTCGTTTCTAACTTCATCAGGACACTGCTGTTCTACCCTCTTAGTCCATTTTTTGTCCTTTTCTGCAACGTTGTATTTTCGGCGAATCTGGATGACTATGCATTGTTGGCGGAAGTCACCAAAGGGACTTCGCGCTTTTGGAAATGCATTCCTCTATTGCTGAGATACATAAACTTTTCTCGGCCTTCCTGGGAATAGTCAGGCCTCTGATACATAATCGCCCCAATTCCCACGTTCTCAACCCATGCTGGATGCTGCAACCCAAGGAAATGAACACACAAACCCAACCAACATGTATAATCAATTTCCTGCGGCAAACATACACAATCCCATCAGCTCTAACCTCAGCCAAGCAGGTGGAACTGATTTACCGGACCAGGGTATTGTCAGTCAAAATGGACAGGTTGTTCCAGAGGATGATGACACTTTGTGGGATTTGATAGATTATCAACCATGGCTGGGCTGGATGAGATCGGATGCCTTGACAGATAACCCCGCCTTCAATTAAATGTTTTAGTCATTTGGTGTAATGAATAACCTAAACAACTTTGCAAATAATGATACAGGGAGTCTGGACGGACGGACGGACGGACGGACGGACGTACGGACAGAGAGTCAATGTGCCGGGTTCACAAGTAGAAGGCATCGGAGGTGAACCCCATAAATATCAAGCCATTAAATGCAAAGAGAACTACTTAGTAGACATCAGAACTGTGTAGTATTGGACGTGCAAAGGGCTTTTGTAAATTAATTCAGAGTATCTCAAGATGGATTGAAGAAATGAGTCGAGGACATGCCAGCTGTTTACAGCAAATGTAATAAATGGAACATGAAAAGAGTGGGGAGCTGTAATGGCTTTCACAATACCCAAGGAATTGTAACATGTCTTCAAGTTATTTTGGATTTCGTGCTGGATACGAGGTACCTTCCGACTTCCGTCCGTTAAAATGCGGGGTTCTTTACAGACTGCCCACCTACTTCGCCTACCACACTTCGCGCTGGAAAACCGCTCGGGGTTAATAGAGCGCGAGCGAGAGCCGAGACACATTCATTATTAATCCGAGCTGTATATAAGGGATACGCTGTGCGCTCTTCTCACAGAAACTGAAAACGCTTGACTGATCAACGTTGGAACTCAAAATCGATACAGCATGCTTGTCTTGATCGCTGGTATTACCGGGTTCGTCGGTATTCCGTGTGCCAGGTCCGCATTTGAACGTGGTCTCAAGGTTCGGGGCCTAGCTCGCGATATAAACAATGTCCCGGAGGATATTCGGAAGCGGCTCGAAGGCTTCGAGACGTTATCAAGCCACTATGACATCGCTGCAATGGACCGGGCCACAAAAGGTGTTGATGCTATTATCTGTACCTTTGCTGGAATCCCTGAGATGTTCATGGAATCACAATTGTTGCTTATTCGGGCAGCAGAGCGAGCTGGAGTGAAGGTACGTAGGACCTAGCCCCCTTCTGAACAGCTGGCTAAGTGATTTTGAGATCTTCCACGCTACCTCATGGAACTACGACTGGACACTTGCTCCTGGTTCACACGAACTTTACGATGACATGCGGGGCTTCGCCCACCACGTGGCGCTTAGCTCGACCATCAAGCCAATCTACATGTTCACCGGTGCGATCGCGGAGTACTACTTTAAGCGAAGCCGATATGATTGGAACCCGGACACCAAGACGTTCAGCTTCCACGGGCCTTCGACATTCCCCACCCGATATACCACCACGGAAGACATCGGCAACTATGTGCTGGAGGCTATAACTGCCCCGGATGCTGCTGATGGGGGCTTTGTTCGTGTTCAGAGCTTCGAAGCCTCCCCGGAAGACATCGTCGAAGCATACAATGCTGCGAGAGAAGGCCGCATCACTGCTAAGCTTAACTGCTTAGGGTCAGTGCAAGACGCAGAAGATAAGTTGAATGAGGGAAGAGCTAAAAATGGGAAGAGTGGTTGGTACAACTTTATTCGGTATATCTATCAATATCATATCCCGGCCCGTTCTTGGGATTATGAGCCGGTGGATGTTGCGCGCTTCCCAAACGTCAAGCAAACTAGCTTGGAGGAATTCTTCCGTCGCAACCCCGACGTATAGTTGTGCTGAGGCGTGAGTACCTCGGACATCTAGGTCGCCGTGCCACCCATTCAGTATCTAGATAACTTTGCTCTCCTCTATTTTCCGATCATCGCTTTCATCTGTTCTCTCCTTCGCGTGGCCTTAGCAAGCTGAAACACATCGTAGCGACTCTTGTTCGAGCTTGGATAGGTCGTGCTGAATAAGAATATGTGACTGAGCTCTGTTTTACAATTCTTTCACAAACTAGTAGAAAAGCTCACGAGAATAAATTGCACTCTGACTATTCCGACATATGTGCTCTTTTTACATCGTAAAGACCGTGGAGTGTACCAAAGCCCCCACGGCTTTTTTACTTATTCTGGCGACTCGGCCAGCACGGTAGCAATTTTCGCAATGTGAATAGCTCTAGAAGTTTCGAATTTTTCGTTCAAAGAATAGCTTTGGACCACCTCCATCTGTGGGTCGCGTTACTCTCTGCTTCGGGCGGAATGACGGACGGACGGACGGACGGACGGAAAGCGGAGCGTCGGCTTTTTCGACGACAGCCCCAGTTTCATTATCTCACGACTTCAGGTCACCTTACCTTACCCTGCCAGCTGATTATCAAGCAATTTCCGGTGGTCGTAGCGAGTTGAAAACTCAGTAATGATAAAACTCCAGCAGTTGCAGACTCAGAATCACGACGAGCTTAAAAGGAATAGATCATGCCTATTCCCCTAATCATACTGGCATCATTGTGAAGTATCGCCATTCTTTCCAATCTACTACCTAAAAGATCAACGAAACTATCTCGCTTCTGACTCACTATGTCAAACTCATCTCTGGTTAACTACACTACCGTCACCCGCGACATCGACGCGCCGATCGGCGAAGTCTGGGGGCTCGTGGCAGGCTTCGGCGCCGAAAAAGCATGGTACCCAGGCGCCAAGTCTGTATCTCTTGAAGGGTTCGGACTAGGCAGCGTCCGCACCTTCAACTATGTCTATCCCGCCGGCAAAAACAAGGGCCAGGAATATACCTTCTCCGAGGAGCTTACAGATTACGACGCTTCCAAGCACTCCATGACTTTTCAGGTCCGAAGGCCCGATTACCCTGACATGGTCGCCTTTGGAACAACCGTCTTAGACTCACTCGGGCATAACAAGACCCGTTTCCGCTGGATTGCAGAGGGCTCGCCCTTGCCTGATGAGTTTATGGCAGTTTTGCGAGAGGATCTCAATGAGCGGTTCGATGGGCTTATTGTTGCTATTGCCAATCAGCTAGTCTAGGACTAGCGAGATTGACGTCCGAGAAAAACGGAGAAAAGCTGGATATTTCGAGCTCGATTCAGAGGAGGCTATATCATGATGTAAAAAGATTCGTGTCTAGTGTGTTCCGAGAGCTTCTGTTGTCAACAAGAATGTGTCTATTTTGACCATTATGTGGCCTTGAAGTAACTATGTCAAAGGCAAAGCGTTGTTAAGTGGTCCCAAGTTAACGAAATGCATTTTTGGAATTCTGCCATCGTTGCCTATGTCTTCTCAATAACAATCTCAGTCGTTTTCCAGATCTGGGCTTCCTGGCTCCTGCGCGAACCGCTTAGGTGTTGATTTTGGCCCCATTCTAAGGCCGAGGGCTCATTCTCGTAAATCGAAGCGGCCGATGTGCATGGACTTTTATGCCTTTCGTCCATCTCAATTATGCTTTCCTCGCTTTCGCCGATAGGTTCCATATCATACATCCTAGCCAATGCACGAGATGATCGAGTTTCTGATCCAGCGCGAGTCCGATTTGTAAGTGGCCCAGAGGCACTAATGTTATACTGAGGTGTGGTTTTGGTTTGGTTCGATGTTGACTTGAGAATGCTGAGAGTTGAGCGGGCGAGGGACCATACGAAGGGGGCATTAGCCATCCAAACGCCGATTGAAGCTTCACGCAAGTACCAGAATTGGTAACTCGTGTCGTAGATGTCGAGAAAAGTGAATATTTTGGAAATGACAGCGCAGAGAATCTACAACTCGGAAAAAAAAAGAGGTTAACATACATCATGCAATTGAAAATACCAATAACGTACCACCACGATACCCATTGAAAATATCACCACGATAGGAAGCTTGGATTGCCACCGTATATGAGTTCGAAACAGCATAGGTAGAATCACCAGAAGAATCAAAATATCCGAGCTAATGTTGAATATGATATGGATAATTTCGAAGCGGAAATAAGTGGCGCATTCACGCTGGGGCGGCGGCAATGTCCAGTATCCAGAGACGGGGTGGCAGTTCAAAACCAAGGTCAATTCGGTGGCTATCCACCCAAGCGCGGTATAGAAGGAACAAAATTTGACCCAGCGCTGTTCCTTAAGGTTTGATCTAATACTTGTTAGATTTGGATGTGCGGAATAGATGAGATGAACTCACGTAATTCGAAAATATACCAATAGCATGCACGCCTTCAAACAATAGATGGTGCATACTTGACACTGGAAAAGGCTAATCAGAGGTAAAGCTTCGCAATTTGTTCAAAGCCACTCACATGCTCTGAGGCGAATTCAATCTTTGAGCCCAAGATCCGCTGTTGAATTTCAGGGGCAGTAAATGACTCAAATTGACCTGGTTCGTATAAGGTGCTTCCATACTTGGTGATCTCGATGTTGGTGACTACAAACGCAGTGTAAAATAGCTGCACGAGACATTTAGCCTCATTCGATCAGGGAGGGCGGAACTGAAGAAGGTCAATTCGTACTATTGCCACGAACATCAAATAATCCTCAACTTGAAAATGAAATCGTAGACGCTTGTACCGGGCATATCTGTGATAGTCAGCGGTCAATCCAGTTGAAGCCGAGCCAAAAAAATGTACTGACAGTCGTAGGACGAAGAACCATATTCCTATACTGTACATTACCCATGACTCGACAATTAAATCATGTGTCGAGCCACCACCCTGGGTCGACATCTTTTGTGTATGGGAATGGTGATTCTCCGGTTGCCAAGCTGCACCGAAATCTCAAAAACACCATCAACCAGTGGGGTGGGCGATTGCGATTGTTTTGATAATTATAGTCCGTGTAGCCACTCGACCCACCAAATTCGGGAAGCGGCCTCATGTTTCCCGGGGCCGGGGCCAATTTACGAAAGCCAATCATGAGGATTGGGGCTAACGAAGCCAGTAATCAAGTTTGGACATCGTGTTCCTAACATAGACTCGCCGATGCCTTGACCCATTTCAGGGGCTGGAAGTCGGCTGAGTGCCGTGTGAAATTCGAGGCTAGGGTTTTTAACTTAGCTCTCCACCTTGAGTAGGTTGAAGTGAGTAGTATCTTGAGATTGGCTATCGGGTCTCGCCACTCAAACTGATTCCGTGCGTCTCCAATGAAGCCGGGTAGAGAGTGGAGAATAGATTAATTTGCTTTGTGAAGCACGGACGAGTAAATCATAAGGTGCGGAGTATTCCGACCGAATGTCGTGTGTCGAGACATGGCCAGGAGAGCCAACAGATGAACTCACCCGCAGAAGGAACCTTAGTCGTTGATTTGAGTTTACTACTGTGTGCAGTATGCAAGTATGCAAGGATTATTTTTTCTGGGGCTAACCAGGTCAAGTAGGGATCAACAAGGGGGAGGGGGGCCTGCTCCAGGGCGCATAAAGATTCGGATATTTTCAGCATGAAAGGGATGTCAGAACCATATCGTGAACTAGGAAAAGACCGTGCATATCAAGGTACTAGTGAGCTTTATTATAAGACCCAATGAGCCTTGGAGATGCAGAGTTGGGGTACTCTGTAGATTCAGGTGAAATGGGGCTGGGCCTGGAATGCGTTGGCTGCAAGTGGCTACGAGCACCAGATTTGCTATCACTCATGTTCCACCACGCAATCAACTGTGGGGCACCTCTTGCTGTGCACTGGAACAAGCCTAGTGGCGCTGCTAAGCATGTTATAAATGTTAAAATCGTGGGGGCCAAGCCCTGGAACGGGCCGGCTCCAGGAGGTACACCCAAGCGAAACAACCGTCTCCCACTAACTAACTCACGAACTTGCATATCCGACCCCTTTTGGTCTCGTTGTATCCGGGCATCTGGCCCCTATGTTGCATTCGTCGAAGAGACACGGCCCTGACCGAACTCTTTCACTGCGCTTCTCAAAAGTCTCGTGGTTTTAATTTTGTCATTCCCGTCTCCGATCGCCGTGACCAAATTTTCTCAAGATCTTGCTCGAGCTTGATCGACGCGCTTGCTCCCAGTCACTTTTTTTTTTTAGGAAAAAAAAGAACAAAAAGAAATTCACCCACGATGGAGCGAACTGGGGAAGACGAAGAGAAGAGTCTTCAGCATGCGCCAGCAGTTGAATCGCTATCACCAGAGCCAAGCTTGCCGTCGTACGCGCCGAAAAATGCGTTTGAGCGATTGAATACCCGCCTAGCACAGTTCGAGTTCTTCGAGTCGCGTGGCATCGAGCGCGTCCCACTTGAGGAACGCAAGCCCAGAGTGACGTCGGCGGATTATATGCAGATGGCTCTGCTGTGGTTCAGTGTGAATATCACGGCGAACAACATGGCCGTTGGTATGCTCGGCCCGGCAAGTTACGGGCTGGGCTTTGTCGACTCGGCTCTATGTTCCACTTTCGGTGCTCTACTGGGGGCCGCAGGTGTCGCATACATGGGAACATTTGGTCCAGTCAGTGGGAACAGAACTATGGTATGTTTTTGAGCTCACCGCGCACTTATCAACCAGCATATGGGTGTACTGATGTAGTCAGGTTGTGGCTCGATACTTTATGGGATACTACCCTAGCAAAATATGTGCTCTATTAAACATAATTATCATGCTCGGGTACGGTATGGTGGACAGCATTGTGGGCGGACAAGTTCTCTCTGCTGTGGCTGGCAATAACATGACCGTGGCTGTCGGCGTGGTCATTATTGTAGTTGTCACTTGGATCGTGGTCCTATTTGGAATGCGTCTATTCCACGTCTATGAACGGTAAAAAAACCATCGCATTATTCTCTGGCCCGGGTCCACTGAGATACTAATGAAATCATTGACAGATGGGCCTGGATCCCTCAACTTATTGCAGCTTTCGTCCTTGTTGGTAGTGCTGGCCCCAAGTTTGACACTTCGATCGTGTCCACAGGCTCACCGCAAACAATCGCCGGCAACCGTCTCTCCTTCTTTTCGCTCTGTCTTTCCTCGTCTGTCGCTTGGGCTCCGGCTGGTGCCGACTTTTATGTCTACTTCCCCCCCCCAGCGCAAAGAAGTGGAAGACCTTCACCATGACCTTTCTCGGTACTGGCATGGCCTTGACCTTTGCCAACTTAATTGGCGTGGGCCTTGGCTCAGGCACGGCCACTCATCCTGACTGGGCAGCGGCCGATAGCATTTCCGCTGGCTCATTAATCCTCGCTGGCTATAACGGACTCGGTGGCTTTGGAAAGTTCCTAGGCGTCCTGGTTTCCATGGGTCAAATTGCTAATAATGTCGCTGGAACTTACTCTGCCTCCTTGGGCTTCCAGATGCTAGGTCGCTACCCGGCTAAGCTTCCTCGGTGGGTTTGGACCTGCGTTGGCGTCATTATTTACCTTGTCTGCGCGGTAGCGGGCCGAAATTACTTATACGACATTTTCGAAAACTGGCTTGCGCTTATGGGTTACTGGGTTTGCATTTACCTTACGATCGCCTTAGAGAGAACACCTCATCTTTCGCCGATCAAGAGGGTTTGACTGGGAGGTCTGGGCTGATCGTTCAAAGTTGCCTCTCGGTCTTGCTGCGCTGACAGCCTTCTTGATTGGCTGGGCTGGTGCGATTGTTTGCATGAACCAGATCTACTTCGCCGGCCCGATCGCCAAGATGGTTGGTGACAGTGGCTCGGATCTCGGCATATGGGTTGGCTCGTCGTGGGCCATGCTGGTCTATCCTGGTCTGCGCTGGTTAGAACTGAAGAAGTTCAACCGGTAACTGAAACATGACTGGGGCTGTCTGGACATCTAATTGATAGTCTAAAATAGATGGAAAAGTGCTTTGAATTATAACGAATTTCAATGACATTCTGATTCGGCAATTCCAGGCGACCTCGAGAATGTAGCCAAGACCAAGCAAAGGACAAAAAGAAAGTGTAGTTATTGCCACAGTATCAGCAAGCAAGCTCCGTTATCCTCACAGGAAAATGGGATACGCGCACTATTAATATGAGGGCGCCACTGTATCTGTCAACAGGAACCGTCTGCCAGATGAGACAGAAGGGATTGCCGGCCCACAAGATCTACATAGACGCGAAGCTGCTGGGACTATTCCCTCTTTTAGTCTAGCTGGTCTCACGATGTTTCAAAAGTGGCATGCTCCACAATATCTGGGATGTTGGAGAGACCTTTGATCAAATTATGAAATTCCTACAACCTATAAGCTCTCGCTCATATTGGCCATCTGATCATTGCCCTAGGCCATAAGTGCCACGTAATTTCTTACTACTGCCACTACATATTTATCAGACTTTCTCTAAAACAATTCCCAGGTTGTAGACACCAAAGGACTTCTAGTATCTCTTGAGTCGCCCGAATAAATTGAGGTAGCAACAATCCTTCAAGTTAGCCTTAGCTCAGAGACGTTGGATTCTGAAAGAACAGCCATACGGACTCCGAGATAGTTTAACGTTTCTGCCTATATATCTTCTGGAATGATTATATGCCCAGGTATTCCTGCATAAGCATGTTCACTGGGTCAACTTAGCTCGAGATTATTTTGACCTACTACTGAGCCCTCATCCCCGCCTATCGGGTAAACGTCGCTTAATTGAGCCAGTGCAGGGCATGATCAGAAGGAAGCTGCCGTTGAACAAGGGGACTAAGACAGAAGAGTTTCTAACCCCTTCATTCCACCCGATTGCTTACACAATGAAAGGGTTTGATGGTATGCTAGGGGGACCAAGCAGAGATTTGAGCATTCAGAACCTATCTGAAGAGAATATAAGTACCTTATCCAAAATTTGGAGCCTAAAGAGAGAATAATCCAACCCCTTTATCCATATATGGAATCTACTTAATCTGAGATAGATACGCGGTTTTCAATATTACCTGCCAACCGCCAACATGTGGCTTAGGGATAGAGGGCTTCGGCAGTTGAATCTTGGCATATTTCTCATGTTCTCAACATCGGCTGCAAATGGATTCACCGGCGGCTTGATCAACGGTTTACTTGTTCTCCCACAGTGTGAGCCTCCCCACAATTTAGATGGTCCTTGGGAACTAAGATCACTGATATTACCATTCAAGTTGCCGTCTTCACGCGGGAATTGAGTCCCCAAATGCTAGGGCTTGTGATCGCGGCAGGCGGCATCGGGGGAATAGTGTCTTACATACCGGCATCCTATGTTGCAGATATCTTTGGTCGAAAGGCCTGCGTGGGACTCGGGTCAATCATCGTCATCGCAGCAGCGGTAATTCAAGCGGCAGTTCCGAACATCTGGGTGCTTTTGAGTTCAAGAGTTCTGGCTGGAATAGGGGTGGGAACGGCTTCTATCGCGGCACCCTTGCTAGTCACAGAAATAGCTCACCCACGAATGCGACAAACTGTGACCGCACTATACAGCTCTACTTGGTATTTAGGAGCCATTTCGTCGGGAATTGTTACTATCTCGTCGTTGAGCATACCAAATGATTGGTCTTGGAGACTACCCTGCCTTTTGCAGTTGATTTATCCTGTCCTCCAACTATTCGGGCTGCTATGTATCCCTGAGAGTCCTAGATGGCTGGTTTCAGCTGAAAGGAAAGATGAGGCCCTTGAAATTCTAACCAAGTATCATGCAAATGGGGTCGCTGGGGACAGCGGCGTTGCACATGAGTTTGAAAAAATGTGCGCATTAATCCCATTAGAAAAGACATTGGACAGAGAGGGCTGGAAAAAGTTTGTATCTTCTCGAGGGTATATTCATATACTGGCCATATGTATTTTGGTTGGGATAATGGAAGAATGGGCTGGTAATGGTAAGTCATGCCTAGACTAGCTCAGACACGGATGGTTATTAATGATTACAGGGATTATATCATATTATTTTGCGCCAATACTTGGATCCATTGGAGTCAAAAATACTATGGATCAGGCCTCTTTAAACCTCGGGCTTCAAACATGGAACCTTTTGCTCTCTGGGGTGGGATCATTAGCGTCAGAGAGATACGGCCGCCGGATATTATGGCTGCTTTCCACTATTTTTATGCTAGTGTGCTTGACCGTGATAGCAACCTTAACGGGACTTTACGCAGAAAAGGGGATATCATCTGCTGGAGTCGCCGTCATTCCCATGCTATTTCTTTTTTTCGCTGCATACGACATTGCGTATGCGGCGCTGTTCTTTGCCTACCCGGCTGAGATTCTTCCATTTGAACTACGAGCAAAAGGTCTAGCTGTAACCCTTTTGGCGGATTCCATTGGCGCATTTTCCAATCAGTATGCCAATCCGGTGGCATTTTCGAGAATGCAATGGCGATACTATTGTGTGTTTTTAGGATTTCTATCCTTCTTTCTTTTCTCGATTTACTTCTTCTTCCCCGAGACAAAAGGAAGGTCATTGGAAGAGGTATCGCAGATATTTCACAAGAGGGCATATACTGGGGAAGACGGGGAAAATAAGGAGCCAGGGATCGAAGAGAGGACGGAAGTGGCCCGCTGCCATGTGGTCTAAAGGAGCAGCGGACGGACCAGAGAATGAAAATAGATATACTAGTATGACATAGAAAATTAGAATTGAAAAATATTAACGAATCAAGCAAGAATGAGTTAAGCAAGAAACTAACAAAAACGAAACATACAACAGATATTGTATGTCGGTGCTTACCTAGCGCCCACGATTTTGGCTTAGGCGGCTCGCCGCCCTATTCAGTGCCCGTTCAGTCCATCACCTGAAGAGCTGAAAATGGGACACAGAAGTCAAAATCTAAGAAACTTGAGAGGAAAAGATTTAACGAAGTACTATAGTGCATAAGTGTGATATAATGATAGTTTTCTCCTCTTCTTCGCATATCTATCTAGTGTAGTTGGAAGTATCATCTCAATATGATATTAGCCAATATAGTAGGCCTTAGGCCGCCGCAGCGTAGTAACTAGTATATAGTATATAACCCTCCAACCCCTTTTAAGGAATAGCGTCGAGAACTTAGAATTTACAAACAATCCTTTCGTCGCGATATTGTTATCTTACTGTCCAGTTCCGTGATGTACGGTAGGTATAGCCAAGTAATTATATAATTGGGGCAGGGGGATTCAGGGCGTTAGCGCCTTATGTACTAATAGCTAGCGTAGGCGGTATGCGGGGATGTCCCTCAGGTAACTATTAGATAGTAATATCACCCATAGTCGTGATATCAACTGGGCGAGTGTCTACTAGGACCCCCATTTCTGAGATATTTCTGACTATTATTTGAGGTTCCTTGAGGCTTGTTGTTGGCCGGTCTCGGAAGCTTAGACTAGCTATAAATATGTATATATATAGGCAGAGAGAATGACTTAACCACTGTACTTCATACTTGATCTCGTTGGTTGCATCGTAGAATTGACAAAATATTGAACCCACTAAGATTCTGCCAAATAAATGCACGACTCGTGTCTCGCACATATTCACCGCCTTTACCTCGCCATTCCGCTGGTCGCGCGATACGCCATCGTTAGATAATAGCAAATTTAGTCCTGGCGTCTTTACAGAATTTCGTATTCCCTCTAAATCCTACTAAGAGCGCACACAATGTCTGAACTCACCGAATGTAACTGTGGCCCGGAAGGGCTGCCTTTATCTGTCAGACGGTATACCTATCGAAAAGAAGATTTTCCCCAAATCATTGAGCTTGAGCGCGAGCGCCTTCACCGTTCACTGCATCCTATTAGAACTATATCCGATGGAATATACCATGATGGAAATTTAGATTCCTTGGAGGAGTCTGAAGATGTGTTTGAATATGTTATTTTCGCTATTGATACGGCTACGTACGATCGTGACTTCCTAGATCCGAATACCGAACCAAGACTTTCTATCCACACCACATTCGATCAACATATCAATTCATTAGCCGTCAAAATGATCCTTCACGAACACGAAGAGCTTTCTGTTGCTCTCGAAACAGCTATAGGGGACGCGTTAGGTCCCATGGGGCTTAAAAGATCAGTCTACCACTACCGTTCCACCACATTTCCTGTGGCCAATGGCTCCAAACAACCAGATGCAGCATGGGGCCCGAGACGACCACCACCTGGAACTCCGCGAAGACCCACTGTGGTAGTGGAAACAGCAATCACTGAGACAAACACCAAATTACGTCGTGATGTTGGCCGATGGCTCGACCCAATCGATAGTCTCGCGAAGATCGTACTAGCCATAAAGGCAGACCGACAGCGCCCCAAAATCACCATCGAAAGATGGCAAAATACTGGCGCCAACGCAGAGATCGAAACTGTTCAGACCATCGAGATCATAGAAAGCAGTGAAGGTGACGAAGTCACAGTGAACGGTGGCCCGCTCCGTATTCCCTTCCATCTTCTCTTCCTCAGACCCGCCGTACCTCCTAGAGAGCACGATATAATTATTGATGAGCAGGAGCTCAAGGATATTGCCCAGTTAACCTGGGAGATTATTTTCTCGGGTTAATGCCCTCGCTTTGGTGTGGTTTTGTCTATTTTTATACTTTGTCAAGATAAGTTGTGTCTTCTCTCAAGATATGCCATGGAGTTAAGGATGCAAAACCATGGCGTTTCTATACTAAAATACAACCTCTATGGTCTTGAGTCTGAAAAAATAGATAGGCATTATTGTAAGATGTAACGAAACTAGATACGGTTGAGCGAAGAGCAATACTGTCGACGAAGGACTCTCGCAGGAAAAGGAATTCTTAGAAAGATTGTTCTCGCCGTCGGTGGACTCACCACCAAGTCAAATTGGTGCGTTTGTGAGATCGTAGCGTCTGAGGATAGGAGGAGCCTACGCAGTCGGGCTGGAAGAAACAGAGGGGTGACTTAATCACTATCGTAACACTATCGTAGCATGATCAAAATAATGATTGTTGATATCATGGCCGAATTTAAAACATTTGAAGTTCCTTGCAACCAGGATGCTCTAAACTATAAAGATTACCTTTTAGCTTTTCGATATGCTTTTACCTCTCACAAAAGCTTGTATCGTTCTATTTATCCTTTCGTGATGGTCAGGTAAAAAGTAATATACGTATCGTGATCCATGTTGACGACGACTGCTGTTATGAGATAGGCCAGTAGGATCCCGATGCCGATACTGAGGTCATGGCTAGCCAGAATTCTGGGAGGCTTTAATTGATGAAAGCTTCTCCGTTCCAGAGGAACAGTATGGAGCCGTTGGTGTCAAGGTCGTCGATGACATACTATCGCTCAGATATCTTCCTGAAGATAATATTTTTTTATGTGTCGACTTGAACCTTGTTTCCTTTTCTATAGGAAGGACAGATAGAAGTGTCATTCCTTCGAGGCTCCCAAAGGCAAGGCTGAGGGCTGGAGGCTAGTGTTGTCACGAAGATATTCGAAGCACGGCAGGTTTAGCCGAGTGGCCATGTCATCCGTTCAGGGAGTTCAGGTGAAGGGCTGAACAGACTGAAGGGTAAAGCGGCAAGGGCACTAAACCCAACCAATCCAAAAAAAAAAAGAAAAGAAAAACATACAACAGCAGGGATTCGCATGTGGTCACCCACCATACTACTAACCTGCCGGCGTGTGGCTTAAGTACGGCTGAGCGGACGGGAAGCCCTGTTCTCCACACCCTATGGTCGTATGTACTTGATAGCTACTAATAGGGGCATAGATGGCATTCCAACGCAACATAATTGCAGGAACTATCATAAAGACTTCAGCTAAAAATGGTGTGCAGCATAAAAAGAAGTCCAAAGCATATTCAATACACATACGTTGTTTGTAGACTTGTATACAAACAATATTATCTACTAGCACTATTCGGGAGCCTTTTTCGTTATTAGGGTAGCTATGTCCGTATAAAACGTGTCTATTTGCTTTTGGCTGAGTTAATCAAGTACCAAGTATGACATAGCAGGAGATACAAGAAGCTAGATCATGTATCGACAATTGTACTTGAGAACTCATATATTGACGCATACAAATTCACGCAATTCCATGGCGTACATCAGTGATGTACCCAGAACGAAGCACCAGCACCACTTCACAGAAGTCCGATAACAACATCGCCATAGATTTGAGCGTCCAAGTCAAGACGAACCTTGGCATGAAGGTTGAGGTGAACCTTGATCTTCAAAGCGCCCTTCTCATCTGGATCATTAAGCAACTTGCCGGGCATCTGAAGGCCGGCGCTGGAGATGGTACCCTCTCCACCGTGAACGAGCGCGCCGCCTCGAGTGGCGCCGTTGGTGTCATCGTCCGACTTGCCGCGGCGCCCGCCAACGGGACGAGACTCGGAGGGAATGCTAATAGACGGAGTGGGAATATCAGCTGCGGGTTTGCTTGGGACAGCAGACTCGACTGTTGGGCGGCGAGCGGAAACGGGTCGAGCAGGAGCAGGAGCAGAAGCAGCAGGAGTGACAGAAGGAGACTTCACGGGAGAATTGGGTGAAGTAAATGGATTGAAAGGTGCAATCGCAGGCGGCTTTGGAGGCGCAGTGATTGGTTGGGTAGGACCCGGCCGCGATGGGGCTTTTTCGGGGTCAGATACAACCGGGGTCCCCGGCTTAGGCCCGGTGGGATTCGGCCGCGGGGGGGCTTGTTTCGGGATCAGATAAAACTGGAGCCTCCGGCTTTGACTCAGGAGTCACAACCGACGGAATCGAGTCGATTGAGGTTTGGGTTGTCAAGGTATGCGTGGACGAATTCATTGTGCCACTGTGGACACCTGCGGAGGAGATTGAGGATGGCGACTGCTTCTGCTTCTGCTTCTGCTTCTGCTTGGCCTTTTCCGACTTGCTTCTGAACATGAGGAAGATAAGGGGAAGATGGGATCTAAATACCTGGCAACAGGGTCAGACATTGTTGTAGATTGCGGAAAGGTCTTCAATATTTAAGTGATCGGAGAGATGTGTGATGTATTGAACCGTATGATGAATGATGTAGTTAGTTGAAGAGAAGATGAGTGAAAAAAAAGATGTGGTTTTGCTCGACCTGATGCGGCCTTTTCTATACGGCGCTGGACCGTCTCTAGACCCTGCAATATGCAGCTATTCGGATCCTTCCATCATTGGGCTGGTCCATCAAAGGTCCACCTGGTCTATTTGCGGCAAGAATCATACGATTCAGCCAGGAGTGGGTTTTCATGCTTCTGTGTGAAGCTCAGTTGAATTGTCTCCACTCGAATTGAACTTGTACAACTGCATCCTGCAGCCGTAAATACTTGCATTTTTTCTCCTAACCCCCAATGCTCATCACCCCACAAAAGCAATATCAATATTCTCCGACGTCAGGGCACAACCCTTGCACGACTGGCTCAACCAAAAAAAATGGTCCTCGGAATTGTGATGATGGCAGCAATGCTGCCAACAATGATTGGTTTGAATGAGGCAACCCAGGGGAGCCGGGAACAGGAGGAGGCCCGGCGCAACGAGTCACGAAAGCAACGTGGCCATTTAGTGGCCACGGTTGCTCTTACACAAGGGACACCGAAAATGCGTCAACAGGTTGACAATGCCCAGGTCCACGTGGGTCTAGACGGGAGGGTAAGTTCTGTCAAACATGATAATCCTGGGGAATACACAATCCACTAACACCGGGTTTGGCCTCTTGCAGCTCTACATCACCAAGCATCCCAGTGCTTCCATGGTCCCCTTTAACGGCAGCTACTTTACGCATCCCGACTTTCCCCCGAACAACACTTCTGGCTTAGTGACCGTCAGTGGCGAGAAAACGCCCACTCTGCGGTGGGTATTTCGAGATGATAAGACGCACGAGATGCGTTGGGGCGGTCGCCCTGACTCGGAAGGCCACGTATGTGGGCCGTTTGACTGGACTAAGGATGAGCAATTTTTGACTATGGAGGGCTGGGAGGGTTGGTTAGCAGTCCGACTTCCGAAAGATGAGGCGCAAATTTTCGTTAATGGCGCATCGGCTAATGGCGCATCGGCTAATGGCGCATCGGCTAATATCAATGACCGTGAAACATGGAGGCTATATTTTGACGGCAGAGATGATGGAGCTGGTCTACCCCAGGGGTCTAAAGGGCTGGAGATACGGTTGAAGAGAACTACAGCCACTTCTTGATATTCCTATTTAGTCTGACCATCTGTTAAGCATTCCAACCAAAAATTGAAAACAAGCAGCGATGAACGAACCCCCAAAACCATGTTCTAGATTCACTTGTATGCCTCTCACTTAACTCAAACACGTTAATGCATGTAGCTATGCACAGTGTAAGCAAATGGATGCACCCTTTGTATTTGAAATCAATAGTAGTTCCAATAATATCGCCCGTTAGGCGCTAACGCAGGTAGATCTTGCAGATCCCCACTTATTCACTCCACATTGTAGCCTGAAAGGACGGCTGTGGCTGTATAGATCGTATGATCTTCCGGTTTCCACCGATCTGTCGATATACGCACAACGAACTGTAAATCATCATCTGGTCGAGCGAGGAACGGAACAATAATGAATATATAAGATCATTTTTCGCTCAGAATCTGTCAATTGGCTTGTGGTCCAATGCTTGGGACTAGGGGCCCGTATATAGCTACAAGCTGATTGGTTATCCCTCAATAATGGGCCAATGTTGTTTTGAGTGTAAGTAGTATAATAATTTCTCGAATCTCCGCCCCAGACGAATCGAGGCCGAGGTGTCTCCGTAAACCCGATGAACGGATGATCTCGGATCAAGATACGCACCTCGATCCCTGCACGTCTAAGATCGATCAGGGCTAGATCCACAATATCTCGGCCGTAATCAGGCCTAATTGAAATTGAGACGAATCCTTCGTTGATGGGTGTAACCTGATGCGACCCCGCACCTCTCATTACCCTGATCTTGGCTGATATGCCACTCACCGGCCGTCCTTTCGGTGACGGACACGCCACGGCACGGATGCCAAAACACTGTCGATTTGGACCAGCTCGGAGGAGGAAGGATTCTTCTCTTATCTGCATATTCTAACACGGGAAAGAGGAAAGCGACACGCGACAAGGTGGATGCCATTAGATAGGAAAGGGACAAGTAGGTATAGCAACTGTTTACCCACCCCTATTCACAGAATCAAAAACCATCCACAGTCTCTCAATTGAACGCTACCTCGTGTGAAGCTATATGTTTTTGGAGGGCCCGAAGATACCCCCGATTTTAATTCTCTCAATACGATTGTTGAATTTACAATGCTGCGGTATGTGTAAAGTAAAAATTCATTCAATATTAAACGCTACACAAAAGAACTTTCCAAGGATTTAGCTCGGTCGCCAGTTCCCTTTCGGTTGCCTCAACTCTCTCATAAAGAAAGGGGGAATGATAAGAAAAAGACCAAAAAGCCAAGCAGAAAAAGGCAAAAGGGAAAACCATATACGGTAGGCACATTGCAAGGTGTCACTTCTCCATCTTGTCATCACCACCAGTTTCAGACTTTGGCCAGCAGGTCGCGAAATCGCAAGGTTTTCCCATGATTTGATACCAGAGGGCCATGCAGTGTGACACTAGGGTCTTTATAAATGCAAAAATATTGCTGGCGCTGGTTAACGCAAAACGTCCGTACTCCTGCATCGACAGAAAGGCCTCAGGTGCCGTCGGGTCCCACAGATCACATATTCCTCGCGGTATGTGACCAGGGTGACAAATATCCCTTGTCAGTCTTATGATATTAGCATGCGACTGGGTTAAAGTATTATGCTAGCTTGTGGCGTTCTCAAAAACTGAATAGTTCCAACCACTGGTACGGGAACAGTCGGTTTAAACCGTCTTTCTTTCAACCATAGGAAGACAACTTCTTCGAGAATTATTCCATTGACACAGAGCACGCCAAATATGACCGACGGGAGCTCCAAAATTCTCCCCAAGTTTGATAAATATCTGAAATTCGCCTGTGACAATTTTCGACATCAAGACCGCCATCATATGCCTGATTATGAAGCGAAAACTTTTCGATCAGCAACAATACAATACAACTGGACACTAGAAATGTGGCAGGAAGAAAAGGCGAGACCAAATTGCCATCAGTTAGAGATACTAGGGACTGATATGAAGCGCCATATAAAAGCTCCACGACAGGAATTGACACTTGTGAGATTTCTGATCCTGCGTTCTTCGGGTACGAACATGAAATATTGGCAGGATTATTGTGCACATCAGACCTTGAGCGAAAGTCGGGAGAACATTGAGATCTTCCTTGACAAATTGCAGGATATGTACCAAGATACCCAGAACAGTGGCTGCACCATGGGATCGGCTCTGCAGGCTGCTATAAGTTGATTCTCCCGTCGGTGGAAAGATGACCGTCCTCAGTGCGACACTACCCAACCTTGGAACGGGTGCTCTGACTATGCGTGAGGATAAGAATGTTTTGGGCACAAGCAAGGAATCGAGCCTTTTGCAAACCGCCAGCGCTTTCTACAAGAGCTTCGCCGTGGAGTGCTCCAAGGCTCAAGTGTCTGTCGACATGTTCCTCTTCTCATCAGTAGGCGATTCATTGCAGCCCCCTTGCTGTGTAAACAGGGATTAAAAGTATCACTCTTATCTTAATTCTGACTTATATGGGCCGCAAATACGGAAGGATTTCCCAAGCATACTACGGCGGAGTACTCAGCTAATGAATGAGGTTTGAAGAAAATGGCGACCCGCTTCCATCAGTGGAATTATTTTTGCGGTATTCTGTCAGCACACCGAATGAAATCGGCAAGGATGGCATACGGCGCTCAATAACCGCAACCGGTGAATTTGCAACTGGTGAAACATAAGTTCCAATAGTATTTGTGGCGTTCATAAAAGTTTGTACCTGGCTGCTACGCCTACGCCACCCTCGATGTCTGCTTCTCCAATTACCTCCGCCAACACTTACTCACTTGCTCGCTTACGCTCTCTCTCCCCCTCCACGTCTCTAATTGCTAGTGCTTCTGCTGCGTCAACGCCTTAAATCTAATGGATTCTATGAGCCTGATCCATTCACGGAGGGGATAGCAGAAACTTTCGTGGAACAAGCTAAAACACAGGGTCGACTGCCGCTATGGAGGCCATAATCCTAGCTCTCGATTCAAGTGCCTAATCGACCATTATCAACACAGTTCGCCGTACACACACCCATAATCTATAACTGGACTGAAGCTTGTGAATTGAGGTAATATCAAGCGAAACAAGGGTTCGTATTGATTGATATTGTCGCTATAAAGGGTATTCGTACAGCCAAGATGTACCGCTGATAGTAATCCGTTTATATGAGAATTTATCTCATGTCCCTTTCCAATAAAGCAAAAAGAAATCGCCCAACAAGAGAGGGGGAAAGAAAGGTTTAGTTTTTAATTAAAATCCACGCTTTGACCGGTGAGCCCGCTCGCCCGGTGTATCGAAGATGCCGTTTGTCTCAACGGTAGTCTCAATCTCTGTCTGAGTGAAGATTTTGCCATCGGGAATGATTATCCTCTCCTCGCTCGAGTTGTCGTTTACGGTAGCGCCGATTTGAGTACCCATTCCACCTTCTTCTTTGCCATTCAATGTGCCCATTGTGATCTGGTTTGGGTCGGTGACTCTGGTGAAACCTGAACCGTATTTGCGAGCGTCGGTATTACCAGACCAAGGTCCGTATTTTCTGCCACTGCTGTACTCGCCGATGAAGCGGGGCAGGAAGCGAGAGGCAATAGCCTTAAAGGATGGGATTGAGGCGGCAAATATGCCGACATTTGTTTCGATGACGGACCAGTACATAGCTCCACTGATAGCGTATGTAGCATCGGCGGATGTGAGCATGGCGGGAATATAGGTAATTCGAATGATGGAGGAAACACAGGCACTATGGTGAAATTGTATTAGAGCGGATCAAGTCAATGAGGCATTGTTCGGTGTACACTTACAAAAGACCAAGACAAAGAATCAGGGCCAGCGCAATTTTCTGCTTGCGCGGCATCTGAAGTTTGAAGATGACTCGGATGGGAAGAGTGTAGGTCAAGAGATCGGTAAAGATGTTCAGTGCAGCGTTGGCCAGATAAAACACATTAATGTTGACACATTTTCCAGGACCGGCGCCGGTCCAGGCTTTGCTGATTGTTTGGCATTGAAATGCGGCGACGAGAACGAAAGAGCCTGCTTGAGCTGCAATGACTCCAACCATAACCCATGAAATTCGGGTGAGAGTCCGGTCGCCCAGGCGAGTGTAGAACCACAAGACGGATGTTTTAACGAACCCAAGGGTTGCGAGATAGAACATTGAACTCAGCCAAACCGCCTGCACAGAGTTGGAATTAGCAAAGGAATCAACTCGATCAATTAATAGATGGCTGTGAACAGACAAATCCGTAGGTAATCAAGTTGTTCGGATCAACATATTTCGCATGTTGACCGAGACCATTTTCAACCGCTGAGGTAGGTTAGCTCCTGACTATAGAGACGGGAAGTTCATAGCCGAGATCAAGGAACTCACCAACAATAGTGACGGCGATGAATGCCCATGATAATAGCTGGTGTTGTCAGTTTCTATTTCCATCAACGAGATCGACTCAATCTTACACAAGCACCGATGATGAGATCTAAATATTTGTTAGCCAATTCTCAATAAGCCAGGACAGGATAACTCACAGTCATCAACCCCCATTTTACCTAGAACATAGACGCGAGCAAACAACCGCAGACTCAAAACAATGAATGTTAAAACGGCGAATGCAAGACAAATTCCGACAACGACAGGCCCTTGTGAGCCATGATCACTTGTGATGGCCATGAGGAGTAAATAAAAGAGTGAATGCAAACAAGAAAACGGCAAGTCGAATCATCGATATCCGTTCAAGTTGGATGCGGTTAATTAGGAGTATACGTTGAACAAGCCTTTTACTAGTATGTCACCAGGACAAGAAAGACATCCAACGGCGTAGAAGAAATGAAAGAACGAAATAAGAATAAGAATGAGAAATACAATGGAGAAAAGCGCCAGAAGAATGTACCTTTGTCTTTATTCGAGGGTGGCACATGCCTGCCAGGATTTAACTCTGAAAAAAGAAAAAAAAAAAAAAAAAAATTGTCCGCCGTACTCCGTACATATGCTAGCGGCAGCATGGCACTGGTTCCTAGCAGCTTCCAGATCCACCGGTTCCAATAACGTTGCCGCCAAAAGGTGGCCAAGCCTGTGGGGATTGGAAAGATCTTACCCAAGAGAGAACTACAACCAGACGATTCAGAGACGCAGCAGCAGCTTCTCCTCGTTCAGACCGCCGATCAACTGGGCTAATGTCCGCTTTCTTACCTAGGGACTGGGAATATGTTTTTTTGGGCGTCGAGCCGAGACTCCAGAAGACTCGTCAAGCTTAAGAGCCATTTGATTTGCCAGCCAGATGCGGAGATGTGGCCGATGTCCCCTTTGTCGAACAGTGCAGCCGCAGGGAATATTTACTACGGGTCCACTACGTGAATTCGAACCACCTAGTACTCCGCACAATAGGTGTTCTCGTTCTCGTTCTGGGGTGGGCTCAAACATCAAACGGGAAGGCCCTGAAGTCAGGAGGGTACATACGGAGACTGAGCATCGGGAATAAGCAGGGAAGACAGAATGTGTGGGTCAGTCGGAAGGTCAAGTCTCGTATACTGCTGATCAAAAAGTCTGGATTGCCTTGCGTCAAGGTCCCCCAAAAGCAATTTTGGGTTTAAATTCTGAATATCTACTCCGTGCAATTACAATATTCTTAACCGACTAACCGGTATCTTGCGGTGAAAGGGTAAGAGTTGAATTCAAAAGTACATATGCACAGCCGATGTGAAAATGTACCATGTACAACGAGCACGTCCAGTAGAAATCGGAAATCGAGTCAAGCGTGGGGCATCGGCAGATCCTGCCGAATAGGAAAACATCGATCGACTGGCGAGTGCTGACTTTCCACTTCTTTTTGTTTGTTTTGTGCTCCGATTTTTTTGTCTGGTTTTGTTTTACTTCAACGTTGATCCTAATTCGCGGGTTATGACATTATCTACGTGGTCTTAAACTTTTGTTTGACAGGCGCTGCGGCAAGTTTAATGCGCCTTGTGTCTCGTAAAAGTGGCTCTCAAAGTTTACTCTTGCATGGACGACCAAGATATTGTGAGGAGATCATCGCAGCCAACGTTTCAGACGGCCCCGGGATCTCTTCAATGGGCGTCGCGATGTGCCGACCAAGAAGGCGTAAAAATCAGCAAAGATCCCCAAGATGACCCACTTAGGGCGCTATCCTAAAAGCAAATATGATCTGCAATCCTCATTCCCCCCGAGCCGTCCTCCTCGGACCCACCATATCCACTGGTGGGACACTCCGATGGTCGTCACCATTCAGCCGCGTCAGTTCTAAGCGAGATTGGGCGAGACACGAGCTTTCCGGTCGAAGAAATCAGGGGAAGCGGATGTTTTCTAGTCACAATTCAATGTCCATGTGATTTGCACTCTCCCGAGTAACAATTCTATTGTGCGCCGCGCTAAAATGCGAAAAGAAAAACAGGGGGCAAAACGGGAGAGACATGTCCTCGTGCATGCAGCTACAGTTTAGTGTGATGAGTAGCGGAGTAACTACGAATAGATGAGACACCTCCAAACACCATCAGTCCCATCTATACTCCGTATGAATACTCCGAACGCGCATGCCGATTTCTAACATTGCAATTGAACTCCCACGATCCATTCATCACTTGGGACGTCAATTTTTTATATATATATATTTTTTTAAAAAAAAAAATTCAAAAAATTCAGAGTGATCCGGAACGCATCTCGCCTTATCGATCACCGTTTTTGATCTGCATTCGCTATAAAAATGACACGATTGTAAACGAATCCCGGCACAAGTCTTTCCAATGGCCTTGGCAATTGAGGAGGCGGGGACGCAGATGGATACTTACCGAGACAGAGGATCACAACAACCGAAGGGAAATGGGGACATTGGATGTGGCGTGTACCCCCGAGTCATGCTCATCACAGCAGGGTCCATCACCCCTTGTTGTGGTATTCCCAACAAGGAAGTTGGACGGGAACGTGGGTGGCAACGGCATCATGTACGACTCCGTTGTGGAGAAGGATATCCGATGTCCATCGAGGAGGCACGATGATTCCGGATAACCGGGTTCCTATTCAAGAGCACCAGGTCCGAGAGTACGGCCTGTGATGCATTGACCAGTTCTGAGGCCCCGTTCTGGCTTGCGAGAATCGATTGATAGATCACCTTGGTATCGATCTAAGGTTAAGCATCCTCATAACAGTTTTCGGGCCGTTTTTCTCTCTACGCATTGCATTTAATAAAGGACTTAAGCAAATGAACACGTTCGTGAATTCATAGCGCAACGTGGCCGTGAAGACAGGTGGATTCATGACATTATGTTCCTAAATCCTGCAGGCAGGCGACAGGAAAACATCTCCTTCAAAGAGTGGAGACTGAGGGGTGGCAGGATCCACCACTCCCTAGCCTGACACTTAACTGCTCCCCACCGAGCCTTGTACAAATGAGGCGAGGGAATGGGTCCTCAATACGGAAAATCCCCCCTGTCGTGTGTCTATTCGTTCTAGGCAATTGCGATCCAGAATAACGATCATCCTTCTTGTGGATATAACGGCATCGAACGTTCCAGGAGATTGCGCCGGATCCTCTCCCTTTTTGGAAATACTTGAATCAAGAGTGAGTGACAGCTCGGACCCTATTAGAATGAAAATCATTACTGCTTCAGCAAAGACCCGTCGAGACACGAGTCTTGCGTCGTACCTAGGCATAGCTACGAGTACATGGTTTCCAAGAAAATCATGTCCATATATCCACATGAGCTATTCGTGTCTCCAGTCGCCAACAGGGTTCGTGGAATTACATCTCCACTGCATAACGGCGCCAAAGAAGATAGCAGTCAAACTAAATGACGAAGTGGACACATTTAGAGAGCGAAGGAGCATGCCTTGGTGATTTAGTTGGCCGTTAGACCCTAAACCCGAAATAAAAGCACTTGGACTCCCGCCGCGGGTGGATTGTCCATTGTGGCTCGGCACTGCCCACCCGACCAATGACTTTGTCTCCTTTATCATCCAAATGGCATTGAAAGGAGATGGCGGAGGGACTCTCCGCGGTTATTTTGAGAGTCATTTCTGCCCCTCTTGTTGTCAAAAGTTTCTAATCTGCAGATGTGTTGCATTTGAATCTGTCAGCCATCATAATGGGTCTCGCAGAGAGTGCGCTGTCACTGGTGACAGTCACCAATGTCTTTCTCGCTCTTTTTCTCTACGTCATCTCGAAATTTGTCTACCAAATCGTGTACTACCGGTTCTTCCACCCGCTATCCAAATTCCCAGGTCCCTTCTGGGCATCCGTGACCCGTCTTTGGATTGCGAAGCAGAACTTGGCCGAGACGGAATATCTTACCTTTCATGAACTTTCTAAGACATACGGTAAGATTCTCGTGCGAGAGAGGGGTGATAAATACAGAGAAATAACTAATTGATTGCTTTTTATTAGGTCCTGTCGTTCGCATTACTCCCACATTGCTGCTGGTCAGCGACCACTCCAAGCTTCCCAAAGTCTACCAACGCAATGTGGACAAAACTGGACACTATATCACGGGTAGCTTCGGTGAGAATGAAAGCCTGTTCAACATGAGGTCCCACAAGACTCACGCAGTGTTCCGGAAACACGTTGCGGGACCTGTAAGTTCCAAAGGACAAAAAGTGATTCACGAGACGAGTGTTAACAATCAATACAGTATAGCTTCACCAATATCAAAAGTATGGAGCCAATGATCGACGCGCGCATCCGCGAATGGAGCGACAAGCTCAATGGCACTTTTGTCAAATCCGGCGAGGCTTTCGACTTTGCTTGGTGGGCAGTGTAAGTTTGGCACAACTAATTTCAATCGAATCTGGCTAACCTATTGCACAAATAGCTATATGGCCTACGACATCATCAGCGAAATTGGTTTCGGCGCTCCCTTCGGGTTTATTGAGAAGGGCGAAGATGTTGGTGGCCTCATCCAAGGTTTCCACGATGGCCTCCCTGCCTTCGGTTTCCTTGCCCGCCTGCACCCTTTTACATCCTGGATGAAGACAACTTTCATGAAGAAGTATCTCGTCGCCACTCCAGAAGATAACACGGGCATTGGTGTTCTGATGCGCTTCCGTGATCGGCTCATCAAAGAGCGCATCGAGGATATCAACAGTGGCAAGCCGGTCAACCGTGTCGACCTTCTCCAAAAGCTGATCGAAGCTCGTACCGACGAGGGCAAGCCTCTTGATTTGGAATATATTCGCGCAGAGGTTCTCCTGGTTCTACTTGCTGGAGCCGATACCACTGGTACCGCTTTCCAGGCCTTGATCCAATTCCTCCTATCCAACCCGGAATCATATGACCGCATGATGGATGAAATTGACAATGCGACACGCAAGGGACTTATCTCCGATATGCCCCAGTATGACGAAGTCATTGAGCACTTGCCATTCTTCGTAGGCTGTGTCAAGGAAACCATGCGTCTTTGCCCTTCTGCCCCGAACATTTTCCCTCGCTACGTCCCCGAGCCTGGTCTGGAGCTATATGGCAAGTTTGCTCCGGCGGGTACTGAGATCACCTGCAATCCGTATCTGGTGCACCGTGACCCGGCTTTGTATGGCGAGGATGCTGAGGAGTTCCGTCCTGAGCGCTGGTTGGATGCGGAGAAGGCCAAGTTGTACAACAAGTATAACTTCGCCTTTGGATATGGTTCCCGCGTGTGCCTGGGACGCGACATTGCGATGATGGAGCTATTCAAGGGCCCCCTGCAGGTAAGATCTTTCTCCCGTACATAGGCTGTGGCGTCGAATTCCTCATCTTACTAATTCTTCTTAGTTCTTCCGCCAGTTCAAGCCCGAGTCCGTGAAGGACAAACCGACTGCTCAATTTGTGGTGAAGGGTGGCGTTGGCTATTGGCGGGATGTATGGTTGACCATCTCCAAGCGCCCACAGGTCACTCCTCCCGTCAGCCCACAGTAGAAAAAGGGACGTCGCTCCAAATAGTTTTTCTTCAAAATATGTACAATTAGGTACCATTTGATCTTTTACAGAGAGTTAATACTTCCTAAAATTCTCGAATGGATAGCGGCTTCTTATTACTCAAACATATTTCAAGGTATGGACTCCCAGGCTGTACTACAATCGTTGACAACAAGGAAAATCGTACTGATACGTCTACACCCAAGTTGGAACCAATTGCCAAATTTAGATGAAGGCCAAAATCAATGCTATTTATTGTAACCATATATAAAGCAAATCTGCATATCATCTGAAACATAAAGTGCGGAGTGAACCGAGACGAGCAACTTTTTCAAATCCGTTGGAAGAGAGAACCGTTTGTAGAAAACAGAAGTGCATTGATACCGAAAGGGAATCGTACGATTTAGGCAGAGCCATCACCCATAACAGCAGCCTTAAGACCAAGTCAGTATTAGAACAATCGGGATCAAATTTCAAATCATGAAAAGGAGTTCCAGGCATGACTTACTCTGGCGACGTGGTACAGAGGAGTGATTCCAGTCCAGTGAATGAACTGCAAGAAGTTAGCAATCCGTTTACCCAAAAGAGCCAAGGTCGAATACATACCTGGTTAACACCCTGGCCAGTAAGAACCTCAAGTCCAGGGATAGTCTTCCAGCCCGAGTCGGAAGCGAGCTGCATCAGCGCGGTTACTGAAGGCTTGTAGGCCATCTCAAGAAGAACACGGGGCGACTGGCCCTCAGAAGACTTGCCAATGACCGTGCCGTCGACCTGCTGGGCACGCTCGAACATCTTGCATAGAGTTTCACGCATGATTGGGTCGATGGGCTTATCGGCAGGGATAGTGCCGATGGCGACTTGGGGCACAGTGTCTAGCTGGCTGTGGTTGTCGACAACACGGATGTTGTAGCTGGTGGGGAAAGTCGAAACCATTCCCTCAAGCTTGCTAGCAGTACGACCGATAACGTATATGGGGGAGAAACCCATGTGGTGCAGGGCGAAAATGGCAGCACGAGCGGTACCACCACCGCCGACAACCACGGCGCTCTGGGTACCGTTGGAGCCGTAGACACCATCGTTACGCAGAGACTGAACCATTCCTTGCCAGTCAGTGTTGTAGCCGACTAGACGAGGGGCCGCATTGCCGTTGGCGACAGGGACAATAGTGTTGACGGCGCCGATAATCTCGGCCTCTTGGGCAACATCGTCCAGGAGTGGCATGATGTCCAGCTTCAAAGGGATGGTCACAGAGGCACCGCCAAAGTCGGGAGCGTGGATAAATTCCTTGACGTCCTCAACATTGGTGGTCTCTAGGCGGCCGTAGCTGTGGGGAAGACCCATCTCGCCGAACAGGGTGTTGTGGAGGGCAGGTGAGCGCGAGCCAGAGACAGGCGAACCGAAGATGGCGAACTTCTTGGCCTTAATCTCACCCATAAGCGACAGGCCCCTGCGGATTTCAGTCGCAGAAAGTTGACCGGGAGCAGCCTTGAAAGGAAGGCTAGGGTGGGAGACGGGTGTCATGAAACCGTTAAGGATGCGACTGAGCTGGCCAGTGTCACCCATGTTGATGGCGATCAATGGGGTTTCGTGAGCCTCCTCAGCCCAGTTCTTGAATTTCCGCAAAGCGGTGTTGTCATCCAGGGTTTTGGCGACACCAACCAGCTTGATTATATCACCATACTCCAGGGCACGGTTGTAAGATGGAATCCAAGACATGTTGGACCACGAGAGCTTGCCTTGAGGGTCGTGGTGAGAGGCAATAATCTTCGAGTGACCCTTCATCTCAGAGACGGAACGGAGGAGCTCATCGGGGAAAGCAATCTCAAGATCAACAAACTCGCATCCCGAGCGGAACGCCAAACGGTAGAGCTGCGCGGCAGCTTCATGGGCATCATCGGGGAAGCGACCACCCTGGCTCTTGGTACGGATGGTGAAAATGAGGGGAATCGTAACACGGCGGCGGAGGAAAGACATTTGCTCGGCAACAAAATCCACGGAGGGGATATCGTTATCCGAAGCCGGATCTTTCAAGAGATCGACCCGCAGTTCCACGGCATCAGAGCCAATACAGGCCTCGCTGAGGATCTCACCACATTGGCGCAAGTCGGGTAGAGTCAGGGAGGCGAAGAAGGAGTGCTTCTTCTTCTTGATAATGCTGAGATTGTCCTGTTGGCCAGTGACAACCCGCATGAAGCGTTGGAAGTCTTCTGAAGCCAAGGCAAGCTCTGTGTTGTTGGAGTGTTGGCTGTAGTACTGAATGTTGCTGCATTCTTGGAACCAGGGCTTGCGACGCAGCCATACTCCCATCATATCCTCCACATAGGCAGGGCGAAGCTTGTCAATCTGGAGGAAGTCCATAACTTGCTTGATATCACGCATAATAAGGAGAACATTACCCTTGTTCTTGTGATAGTCAGCGAGGAGTTTACGGGCCTCGGGCATCTCAACTACACCGCCACCGCAGGCGAAAACATAGCCGGTAGGTCGGTCTTTCATAGCACGCTGAAGTACGGAAAGCTCCGCATCGCGGAATCCTTGCCAGCCACGCTGTTTGATCATCTCCGGAATGGTGATTCCCTCAGTCGTTTCTAACTCGGTATCAAGATCGATGAAAGGTCGGTCGAGGCTTGATGCAACCCAGTTTCCGGCGGTGGTCTTACCAGCTCCACGCATGCCAATGATGAAGACGGAAGCACTGCTTTTCTCCTCCTGTGTGGAGGTAGCCAGCTCCTCTTCACTCAGCTCCTTGCCGTCAAGCTTGACACCGAAAAGTTGCTTCATAGAGTCCCACCAGCCGGGCCATGTCTTTCCAACACACTCCTTCTCGAGAATGAGAGTAGACTTGGGGGCCACAAGTGACAAGACGCTGAAGCTGAAGGCGACACGGTGGTCGTCGTAGCAGAAAACGCCGCCGGCGGGTTGACGGAGGGTAGACCGCTCAATGCCGTCGATCTCAATACCATCGTCGTGTTCACGGCAGACAACACCGTACTTCGCAAGCTCATCCTTCATAGCCTTGATTCGGTTACACTCTTTGACGCGCTGGTTGGCAATTCCGTAGATACGGGTGGTGTGGTTTGAGCCATCGCCACGGGCGACAGCGGCGAGAACAGAGGCAGTTAGAAAAGCATCAGTCATAGGCTCCATGTCCACGTTGGGCAGCGGCCGAAGAATGCCGCTAGTCGGGCCAGTGACAGTGGTGGAGTAATCGGTTTGCTCAACGGTGCAGCCCATCGGCCTTAAGACGTCGACCGCAAAACGAGCATCACCCTGAAGAGACTTAGAGCCAATGTTAGGAACGGTGCAAGTGGTACCGCTGATGGCTGCAATGGCAAGCGGATAAGTCGCAGAGCTTGCATCACTCTCGACAACATATTCGGCAGGGTTGACATAGTGGCCCTGGGGAATGTGGTAGGTGTGCTCCTCGGTGGTGGACTTCTTCACGTCAATACCGAAGGAGCGCATCATGGCGGTGGTCATGTCAATGTAGGGCTGGGATATGGGCTTGCCTCCGACCAGCTTCAGAGTCACAGGCTCCTTGGCATAGGGAGCACACATAAGCAGTGAAGAGACGTACTGCGAAGAAACCTTCGCAGCAAGATTAATGCTACCTCCGGCGAAGCCACCGGAAGCTCCAATTTTGAGGGGCAGGCTGCCCTTGCTCTCCATATACTCAACACTAGCACCATTGACGGTCAGAGCATCAACAAGGTCGCCGATAGGCCTTTGCTTCATTCGGTTGTTACCGGTAAGGACACTGGAGTCAACGGTGCTCGGGGTAGCAAGAGTGGCAACAGTTGTCAAGAAACGGGAAGCGGTTCCAGCGTTGCCCAAGTACAAGGGAGACGGACTGGCCGTGATATTACCTCCCATGCCGTTAACGACAAGAACTTCACCCTCCTCTTCCCAGGAGAAGGTGGCGGCTCCCAGTCGCTCGAGGGCGTTCAACATAACCTCAGTGTCATCGGAGTGCAGAAGGTTCTTGATACGGCAGGTGCCCGAGCCCAATGCAGCGAGAACAAGAGCGCGGTTGGAGATACTCTTAGATCCAGGAGGCGAGCAGGTCACATTAAGAGTCTTGGGGACGCCGGGGTGTACCTCGACGCTAGGTGCCAGAACAACTCCAATATCTTCGTTGGCAACGACACTAGCCTTGGGTTCGTGGGTGCGTCCAATCGCTGACAGAAGAACGATCTTCTTCTTGGGTCCGTCATTCTTCTTGTCCAGGGCCATGTTGAAGATCAACTGATCCACTGAGCAATGCTTGCCAGCTGTCAATTTCCTCACACGAGAGTCCTTCATAGAGGTTGGAAGGCCGTAGGCGGAGATGCACTTGACAACACGGGCCACAGCAACGCCCTTCAGGATGCCCAGGTGTCGGGCAAGCTCGGCCTCCTTGACCATACCAATGGCAACGCACTCGCCGTGGAGGATCTGTGGGGTAAGAATGGCTTCAATAGCATGGCCAATGGAGTGTCCCCAGTTCAGAAGATTGCGGAGACCACCTTCACGCTCATCTGCGGATACAACAAAAGCCTTGTGGCGGGCAGAAGCCAGAATTCTGGCCTTCAGGATATCGCGAATGCCGTCAAAGCGGCCTTGGCCAGGCTTAGCCTCGCCACGAACAGCATTGAGGATCAGGTCCGCATTATCTTCGAGCGCGGTGAATTCTTCCTCGCTCGAGATGGCGGCTGTCTTGATAACTTCGGCCATGCCATTGATGAACTCTCGGACAGGGAGTGTCTCCAAAAATTCGAGATCAATGTAAATTCTTGACGGTTGCCAGATGGAACCGATCAGGTTCTTACCCAACGGCGTATCAATGGCTGTTTTACCTCCAATTGAGGAATCCACCATGGCGAGGAGGGTGGTGGGGACTTGCACATAGCGAACTCCACGCATGTAGGTCGCCGCAATGAAACCAGTCAAATCACCAATCACTCCGCCGCCCAGGGCGATAACGACAGAGTCGCGACCACATGGCGGGTTTTGGCTCAACATCCAATCTTCAATGTCGGCTTTGGTCTGGCGGGACTTCGAGCTCTCACCGGGGGCGGCATTGTAGACCAACAGGCGCGGGGCAGGGTTGACTGAGGCGGCGGCGGTTTCGAATGCTTTTTGAAAGCTTGGGGTATAGATGGATCCGAGGTTGGTATCGGTAATGAGGACATAAGTCGTGGAGGGCAGGCCGGTGATCAGGTCCTGGGCCACATAGTTGCGCCACAGGCCAAAATCCGCGACGATGCTCTCCCGGCCCAAGATACTGATCTTGGTGGGCTCGGTCATGATGATGGACAGGAACGGTGTGATTTCGATATGTGCAATTCCAGTTTCCTGCTCAATTCATTCTGGGAATTTTAGTGTTTGGCTCTTTTTGGAGGGAGGGGAGGATCTTCGGGGAGTTGGGCTAATTCCTCCCCCACAATCGAAGTTGAAGCTAACGATTGTATGCAAGGCGCGCACCAAGGAGGAATTGAATGCCAGCTCTCAGCCGCAGAGATGAGCAAGAGAACGTACCTGGGACTTCTGCACCGAGAGTCAGCGTAAGACCTGGCAAAATGCGACCAGCCAGGAAGATGCTTGGAAGTAATGACTATGACTGTGACTGAGTCAATAATTCTTTCCCCCTCCCGATCTCGCGGCAGTTCTCTCTGACCGCCTTCGGTGAGTCAGTCCAGCTGAGCCACTAGCACATCCACTATTACTAGACACATATGGAGGAGCACTCTGTAATATTGTTTGTTTTGGACTTGCTTTTTGTGATGCCTCAGCTGGACTTGTCGCTGCTCGTCCTATTGACCGCCCCTCGCATATGCGTGGCTGAACCTGTCACTATTTTACAGCCCTCCCGAATACATATACTTCCCCCATTGGTGAGCTACTAGTGCCTACCACATCTCTCTGCAGGATCTATTGCATGAGATGCAGGAAGCCAAAAAATACAAAGACTAGAAAGAACCTCCTTGGAAAAAGCGTCCTGAATCGAGTGCGAGGCAAATAAACATCTTATGGTCGTATAATTTCATTTTTTTGTACATCTCGCAGGAAAAAAAAGAACCAAACGCCAATTCTCCTCAAAACTCCTCCTATCCAGTCACGAAAGATGTTATGAGGTACATATCATGATGTAGCGACGTGTGATAGAACGAGAAAAGCTCTCTGTCTCATCAGCTATCACTACTAGTAGTGGCCGCCTCCCCGGTTTCCACGGTATCGGCCACCACCACCACCGCCGCCACGGTAGCCACCCCGGCCCCGGTTGTCATGAGAACCATAGCCACCGCGGTGTCCACCATGTCCATGTCCATAGTGATCCTGCTGGTAACCCTGATTATATCCATACTGGTTGGACATGCCACCACGTGGGGGTCCGGGTGGTCCTCTTGAGTAGTCACCACCGCCTTGTCCAGGGGAACCCATCCCGGAGCCATGTTATTTTGTTGGCCGGGCATGAAACGGGGGTCGAGATGGGCAGCAAATGGGTTGGGACGGCCGGGTCCTCCTTGGTTTCCTCCACGGTCCGATCCGTAGTCCATCCGTCCACCGCGGCCGCCTCCCCTGAATGGTGCGCCACCGAAGGAGCGGCCGGAGTTTTGGGCTCGGCCCTTGACGGCACGGACATCGGCCGAGTTCAGCATGGGTGTAGCGAACTTGACGCCTCGAAGCAGCATAGATTTGTGAACATGTTCGGATTTCGGGATGGTATAATCGACGCTGTCAATTTGTTAGTGAGCTGATTACAGTGAGAGTGGAAAGTAACTTACGTGAGTGATCGATCATCGTCGAGGCTGGGCATGCCATATTCCTCCAAGTCAGACACCAGGGAGCCATGGGGAATATATGTCTCACTACGCTCGACAATACCAGCTAAGCCCTCACTCACTCGCATGTTCAGGTTGTACTCTGCAGGGCCGGGCTTCTTGGAGTAGAAATTGCCGACGAGGTCTTGATAAAGCGGATGTTGATCCGACAACAGAAGCACTTCTGTGCCATGAGTGTTGCGGTTACGTTCATCATCAGAAAGAAGGGGGTATTTCTTCTCCATGGCAGCAAGTAGGCGTTTCTCATCAATGAAAGGAAGCAAGATCACACCCTGCCAAGCAAACTTCTTGCCATTCAGATCCAATGGGAAGTCCTCGGGGTAGAAATCAATGATCTCACTGTTCGGATCGCTCATGAGGTCGTGGAATACCTCGGGTAGGGCGTGGTTAGATGATGCCGGCAGGACACCCATCAGCTGCTCAAACGGCTTGAACGGCTTACCCTTGTCGAAGCTGAGATCCATATCGGCAATGTCCACGAAGTCCGCGGCAAATGGGGCATAGTGGTATGGGTAATACCAGGTCCACGAAGGGCAGCCCTGGAAATAGTATAGCAGAACCCAAGCGAGACCTTCGGCATAAGCGCGAGCAACCTTGTGGCGGAACTCGTGGTCCTCAGGATCGACACCGAATTTCTGCTCGTAGTAGCGATCAGCGAATCCAGGCTCCCAGAGGCGAACGGTATCCTCTGGCATCTCATCCTCCTTCTTCTTAGGAGGGGGTGGAGGAGGGGAGTCTCTGCCCGGGGTTCCAGATTCTCCGTCCTGTTCGTCGGCACCGTCAATCTTTCGTTTCCCAAGAACCGATGGAGATGTTGGCTCCTCATTGCCATTCGATGCTTCTTCGGTTTGGGGGTTGCTGGAAGCGTCCTCGGTACTAGTTTCGTTTTGAGGGCCCTTCATGAGTTTGCTCTTCAAGACAGCAGCAGCACTTTTGTTCTCCATATTGGCACGGTAGACATTTCCACGGTTGCCGACCATGCTTTGAGTCATCTCTCTGTTCTCCTTGGTCAGGTGTCCTCGAGCAGGAGTGATCAACTCCAGGGCTGCGGGAGGAGCATTATCGATGCCGCCAGCACCACCACGAGAGCGGTTACCCGGCGCATTATCATGCGGTGGGGAGCTGCGTCTCCGCTTGCTGGCACGCTCTTGATTCCGAGCTTGGTCTTGTTCTTTGCGCCTCCTGTCGTTGGCCTGCTTTCTTTCATCTGCCTGACGACGACGAGAGAAAATCGCACTTTCTTGTTTGGCCAATCCTGCCAAAATGAGCTGGGCCCTTTTCAGATCGACGTGTCCATCCTGGGTGAGATAGCCTCCCATAGCAGGAATATTGTCACGCCAAATAGCGATGAGAGTGTCAATGCCGTTCTCACGAATATCCAAGGAGGGCAGATGCGGCAAGAAATCGTTTCCGACGAAGAAACACATGAAAACCCAGTCATCGAGCGCGCGCTCAATATCGAACGGGAACGGCTGCTGAGGGACATGCATTTCAACGGCCAGATATTCTCTCAGAACCGAAACGTGAAGCCAAATAAAAGGCTTGAGTGGCGCAGCGTGTTGCTTTTCATCGAATTCTCCACTCTTCTCCTTTGCTTTGCCGGTACATTCCTCGGCCTTGTGTCCAGGTTGTCCGCACAGTCTACATGTCCGGGGCTTTGACTCTTGGAAAAACACATCCTCACGGAGAATTCGGAAATGAGGCTCATGAGTCGCGAGACCCAACATGATAAGATCGGCATCCTAGTAATTCAGAATCAGTAATTTGCAGGTATGTGTTTGTGACAATAAGTGAGGCTTACCAAACCATAGAAGACATGACGGGTATTTGGGTCATGCTCTGGTGATGCACGCTGCGAGCGCACGAATTCCATAATCTTGTGCTCACCTTCTCCAGGAACAGTAGCATCTGAGATGATGATTTTCATCTAAGATCGTTAGAATGCATGATACATAGTTGAGACGTAATAAATCGTGTCTTACCTTCTCCCAAGCTGGGTCAGTGTTCAGCTTATAGGCGATCCAGTAACGTAATGATGCGGCGAGTATGTTCATGAACGGGGTTCCAGGTGTAATGACATTGCTGTCCCAGGTCTTCTGAATCACCTCCTCCTGCATGACTGCGTCGCCGCCCTTCTTGGCATTTTGTCTAGCAAGCAATTTTTGGAGCTCTTCTTTCTTCTCGTCGTTTTCTCTAGCTTCTTGGGCGGACCGGAAGCGTCGGGCACGCTGCTGGTTCATCTTGGCTCGGGGAGCAACACCATCTAAGTAGAAAAACAGTATGTTAGTATACATCAGACTCCAACTGTGTAATTAAATAAAATTGCGCGAAGTCTAGATTTGCACGTACCGATAGCGATCATGAGGAGCTTTCTCGGACGGACCATATTGACCACTCGATCAGTATATCTGAAGACCTCCAGCATCATCTCTTGCTCGTTCGCGGGGGTGGGCGTCCTTCCGGATGGGTACAAGGATGAACAATGCCGTTCATATCGAGGTAGAGATTGTCCATTTCCTCGCCGTTGGGGTTCGGGCGCGTAGTATCGACTGGAATCGGCTCTCCATCCACCTCTTGCGGAAGCTCCTCAATCACCGAGGAGATGATCTTGGGGTACTTGTTGGAAAGCCATCGGAACAGCGCGGGGACACCCATATTGATGATGCGACTGTGGGTTAAGCTTAAAGTCTTGTCAAATTGTCAAAATTGGCGTTGCGCTCGAATGCGGTATGTTGCAGACGCGATAGGCCTGATGACGCGCACGGAATGTCTGTAGTTCACAGATAGTCTGTGAGTTGAAAACCGGGATCGCAGCGGCTCTCGACGACTTGCGAAATCGGATCAAAGAAAAAGTAAGCCCCTCGTCAAGGAGATCGCGGCGCAAGTTGGGAGGGTTGCGAGATAAAGACCAAAAAGTCTCTGCGGCGAAGGTGAATTGTTTCCGGGCGGTCGGGGGAGACTTTGAGCAGTTCCGGCCTTTAACCCCCCTTTGGTCATTCGTCGGGAGGACAGCTTTACTGCAATCAGCTCTCTGCCCTCGGGGCGTCCACCTTTTACCTTCTTGTTCTTCACTCTTCGATGCCTATTGATTTCTACCTCGGTCGGAGGTGACCATGAGATTACGAGCTAGCTGCGATGTTTCGAATTCTTGAATCGCAAGCTCCGGCCAAACAAACGGCTACGGACACAATCGAGGTGCTCAGCAACAGACTGCAGAGTGCAACTTTGTTGGAGGATCGGCGGGCTGCTATCCAAGGTCTGAGAAGCTTTGCGAAGCTCTATCCTGCGTCGGTAGCCTCTGGAGGCCTACGGTCGTTGATCAGTAGTCTTCGCAATGACGGCGAGGATGTTGAGACCACCAAAGTGGTCCTTGAGACCCTGCTGATGCTCTTTAATCCTGATGAGAATAGCGTGGGTGCAATTTACAGCATTGAACGCCATAGAGTTATGCTAATCACTGTCCATATAGCCCGAAGCATCAGATGAAATAGCTCTTTGGCTGGCGGACGAATTCACCCAGGTAGGGCACTGCTGTGTGCATACCTAGTACCCGAGACTTATGCTAACAATGGAGACAGCGACAGGACAATATTACGATCCTTCTAGACCTTCTCGAAACCAAAGACTTCTATTCTCGACTATATTCATTGCAATTAATGTCCCATATCAGCAGCGCCAGACCCGAGCGAACCCAAGAATGCATATTTACGGCGCCATTGGGAATTTCCCGGCTTGTCAATGTACTTACAGACACGAGAGAGCCTGTCAGAAACGGTATGGATCATGTTGTCTTAATTCGTTGTTGACATGAAGCTAACAACCATATCTGTCAGAGGCCCTCCTCCTCCTTATCGCCCTCACCCCCGCCTCGGAAGAACTACAAAAGCTGGTGGCATTCGAAAATGCATTCGAAATCCTTTTTTCGTTGATCGAAGCGGAGGGTACTTTGACCCATGGAACAGAAGTGGTTGAGGATTGTTTATCCTTGCTCGCTCATCTACTGAGATTCAACGTTTCGAACCAATCATTCTTCCGTGAGACTGGCTGTGTGAAGAAGTTAACGAAGCTTCTTTCCGATTGCGAACAAGAAATGGAGAGTGGCGACGAACCTGCGCCAGCATGGGCCCTCGTTCATCGAGACAAAAATGTTTGGGGACTATTGGCGATCATTCAGCTATTTCTGGTTCGTGGCGGTGTTGGGACACCCGCCAATCAAACAGCTTTCTGGCAGCATGGTGTTACGGAGCAGGTCCTCAGTATAGCGTTTGGGCAGAAGTTCAGCGTCAATGTTACATCAAAGGTAAGGCTTGCGTGGGCATCATTTTTGTGCTTTGCTAACCCCATCTAGGCCCTCTCGACTTGTGCCGATCTCATTCGAGGGAACTCACCTTTGCAGGAGAGGTTCGGGGACATTGAGGTGTCATGGGGATCTCGCTCGCGGGACGACAAAGCCGCCAACGGACATGCGGAGCCAGAACGTATCAATGTCATTGAGGCTTTCCTGAAGCTCAGTCTTCAGCCCTCGCCCAACAGCATGTTAGATGCCCGCCTCGCAGCGTGCGAATGTATGAAGGCTTTCTTTGCTCATCACCCCGGAATTCGGATGCATGTCCTCAGGCGTGCAATTGAAGGACACGAAAGCGGACAGGATCGAATTCCAAACATCCTTTCGGTATTGCTCATAGCACCCGAATCACGAGGAAATGCCGACCCGTACCAAGTCTGGATGGCTTCTGTTTTGATGTTCCATTTGCTGTTCGATGACAACGAGGCAAAGGCCACTGCCATGAAAGTGACCGAGGGCGATGCTGAGAGTGGCGAAGAAGTTGTCACCAGTGTTCAAACTGTGATTGGGAACTTGATTACAGGTTTGCAACGTGGCGACGATGAACGCATCACTGTTGGCTATCTGATGTTACTCTGCGGTTGGCTTTTCGAAGACCCAGATGTTGTGAATGATCTGCTTGTGGAAGGAAGCAGCATCCAGACCCTTTTGCAAGAGATAAAGCACCAGAGAGCTCCCAGTAAGATAATGCCGGGACTCTGTACTGTTCTCTTGGGAATCATCTATGAATTCTCAACCAAAGATTCTCCCATCCCCAGAGTCACATTGCATAAACTGCTTCTCGAGCAACTTGGGAGAGAGCAATATATTGACAAAATCACTAAACTGCGGGAATGTCCTTTGGTTCGTGACTTTGAAGTTTTACCCCAGACCTCCGCTGGGCAAGTCGAAGGTGGGCTCCCTGAGGTCTTCTTTGATCGTTCTTTTGTGGAATTCCTCAAGGACAACTTCAGCCGGTTACTCCGGGCCATCGACCGTGAACCCGGATTCGAAATCTCGGTCGTTGCCAACGGTGTTGAAAAAGGTGTATCCCGTGAACTCGTCGACAGTCTGCGTGCGGAACTGGAAGACCGGAGCCAAACAGTCCAGCAGTTGGAGTCGGACCTCGTTAATGTTCAGCGGAAGCTTGAGCAGGAGCAATCGGATCATCGCAAGTCGAAGGAATCAGGGTCTATGGAGGCGTCCAAGTCCCAGCAATCCCAACAGTCTCTTCGATACGCGCATGCGCAAGAGCTATCTAGAGTGGATGAACAGCACAAACAATCGAAGAACGAACTTCTCAAGCAGCATAGCGAACAATTACGTGCTATCGACAACCAGCTAAAAGAAGCTTCAGCGGAGTACGAAAGAAAGAGCGCGAAGGTGAAATCGCACCACGAACAAGAAGTTGCTGGTTTACAGAAGACGATCCGTGGCTTGGAAGGAGAGATCTCAAAGCTTGGCGATAAATATGCAGGCGAGGTCGCGCAGTTGAAGAGAGCTATCGGCGAACGGGAATCGGCGATCACTCAATCCAAAGACAGCCATGCTGCTCAAATTTCCGATCTACACCAAAAGCTCCAGGGTTTAGAAGCCACTCTTTCATCGGCCAACAGTCAACATCAGACCGAGACTGGCGGCCTTCGAGCTTCGATTAAGATATTGGAGTCACAACTGGCCACCGTCAAGTCCGAACACGAAGCCGAGACTGCTGACCTTAAAAAGGCTCGACAGACCCTGCAGTCTGATCTTGACAGGGTCCAAAAGTCCACCGAGAGCCTCGAAGCTGCCCAGGGGCAGCATGATGCAGAGACTGCTGATCTCAAAAAGACCATCGAAAAGCTGCGGTCAGACTTGGAAAAGTCCCAGGGTACCACAAAGGACCTTGAAGCGGCAAAGGGCAAGCAGGAATTTGACGCAGCTGGGCTTCAGAAGAAGATCAAATCTTTAGAATCAGAGCTCGACAAAGAAAAGAAAAACGCTGCTCAATCAGTTAAGACCGCCAAGGGACAACAGGATTCCGAAACTGCTGAGCTCAAGGAGACGATAAAATCTTTAGAATCGGATCTCGACAAAGAGAAGAAAAACGCCGCCCAGTCACTCGAAACCGCCAAGGCACAACAGGAATCTGAAACTGCTGAGCTCAAGAAGACCATCGAAACCTTGCGATCAGAACTAGACAGCGCTAAGCAAAAATCTAATAAGGATAGCCAGTCTGCAAAGGACCAGCAAAAATTCGAAGCGGGAGATCTTAAGAAGACCATTGAGACTTTGCGTGCAGATCTCGAGAAGGCACAGCAAAAAGCGGCCCAAGAACTCAAGACTGCCAACGGAGAATTCTCATCGAAATTGTCTGCGCTCGAGACACGTACTGCTGACGCTGAACGCAAGGCGCAGGAGGTTGAGTCACAAGCTCAAAAGGCCACCCAGGACCTGAAAGATGCGCAGGCCAAGCTTGAACAAGCTCAGTCCGAGGCCAAGGAGAAGGAGGAGGCCCGTCAAGCTACCCAGACGGAATTGGACGACCTGCTGATTGTATTTGGCGATCTGGAGGCTAAGCGGACCGAAGATAAGGTATGGCTACTATCATTACTTTTGGGGAACTGTCTAACATCTTCTAGCAACGACTCAAGGACCTTGGCCAAGACATTTCAGAGGACGAGGATGATGATGAAGACGACGATGACGAGGAGAGTGGAGACGAGTAGATGGTTCTGTGTTCAATCCGTGTATAGCGAAACCCGACTTGTCAATTTCGAAATACCATTTCTTCCTGTGCTTGACCACTGCTTTACATGTGTATACCATTACAAAATCCGAATGTTTGCTACATAATGTGCATTGTGGTGCCTTTGATACATCAGCTTGTATATGTTGCCAGAAATAGGAGGCGGTGAGCGGGGAGGGGTACGCAGGGCGCACTGTGGCTGGCAAAAAATGTCCAATGGCGGGGGTGACTCACGCTTTCTTTGACTCTCCTTCTTTCAAGATTGTCATTCCACTCGATATCGCAACATCACCATGTCGATGGACTTCCCTGCCGAGGAGGAGATTGTTCTCCAACGGTGGAAAGAGATTGATGCCTTTAGGCGCCAAGTCGAGCTCTCAAAGAATAACAAACCATGGTCCTTTTCAGATGGTCCTCCCTTCGCGACTGGAAAGCCTCACTATGGCCATCTTCTAGCTTCCACCATTAAAGATATCGGTACGTAGGGCGTCACTTTATCTCTGTATATTACTAATTGTGCGGTTATAGTTCCCCGGTACTGGGCAATGAAGGGATACTATGTCGAGCGGCGGTTCGGCTGGGACACCCACGGCGTCCCCATCGAGTACGAGATCGACAAGAAGCTCGGCATGTCCGGCCTCCAGGCAGTTGAGAAGATTGGAATTGAGAAGTACAACGAGGAGTGCAAGTCCATCGTCATGAAGTTTGCTGGCGACTGGAAGGTCACCATCGATCGATTGGGTCGTTGGATTGATATGGAGGACAAGCCGTATAAGGTAAGTCAGCGGTCTTCAATATCCCGTGGCATTTCTCGTACTATTACTAACTTTGATTTCTTTCTTAAATAGACCATGGACCCCACGTTTATGGAATCCGTTTGGTGGGTCTTCAAGCAGGTACATCGACGCATTCAAAAGCACATTTTCAAGCAGAGATTAACTCGTCTTCCTAGCTTTTTGAGAAGGATTTGGTATACCGAGGATATCGAGTGATGCCATACTCGACTGCGCTTGCGACTAGTGAGTGACTTGAACAATCTGGAAGCAGGTGCATTGACTAATTTCTCTTTACTTTTTCCTAGCTCTGTCCAACTTCGAAGCCTCTCAGAACTACCAGGATGTACAGGACCCTGCCGTTGTGGTCAACTTCCCTATCATTGGGCAGGAAAATACCTACGCCCTGATCTGGTCTACTACTCCATGGACGTGCGTGAAGCTCTCCCATTGCATACGGCACAAATGCTAACACAAAGGCAGTCTCCCCTCCAACATCGCCATTTGTGTTCACCCCGACTTCGAATATATCAAGGTTTTCGACGAGGCGAGCGGTAAGAACTATATTCTGCTTGAGTCTTTGCTCCGAACCCTCTACAAGGACCCCAAGAAGGCCAAGTTCAAGATCGTGGATCGCATTAAGGGCTCAGACATGCTGGGATGGAAATACGAGCCCCTCTTCGACTACTTCTACGAAGAGTTCAAAGACCACGGTTTCCGCATTTTGAACGATAAATATGTCACCGCGGATGATGGTGTTGGTCTTGTCCACCAGGCTCCTGCCTTTGGTGAGGACGATTACCGGATTGGTTTCGAGCACGGTGTGATCAACGACAAGCGTCTGCCTCCCAACCCCGTTGATCCGAACGGTTGCTTCACTGAGGAAGTCCGGGACTTCGTGGGTCAGCACGTCAAGGCCGCTGACAAGCCAATCATTAAACACCTCAAGGCCACCGGCCGCCTCGTTGTTGACAGTCAGATTACTCACAGCTACCCATTCTGCTGGCGATCCGATACTCCTTTGATCTACCGTGCTGTGCCTTCATGGTTCGTGAAGGTCACTCCCATCATCCCTCAAATGCTCAAGGGCATTGAAGACTCCCACTGGGTCCCCTCTTTTGTGAAGGATCGCAGATTTGCCAGCTGGATCAAGAACGCTCGTGACTGGAACATTTCTCGCAACCGTTTCTGGGGTACTCCCCTGCCCATCTGGGTCTCTGATGACTACAAGGAGATTGTCGCGGTTGGCTCGGTCGAAGAGCTCAAGAAGCTGAGCGGCTACGAGGGTGAGCTTAACGATATTCATCGTGATAAGGTGGACCATATCACCATCCCCAGCCAGCAAGGCAAGGGTGTCCTCCGCCGTGTGCCTGAGATTTTTGATTGCTGGTTTGAGTCTGGTAGCATGCCTTATGCCTCTCAACACTATCCCTTCGAGAACAAGGATCAGTTTGAGAAGAGCTTCCCCGCTGATTTCATCGCTGAGGGTCTGGACCAGACCCGTGGTTGGTTCTACACTTTGACTGTTCTTGGTACACACTTGTTTGGCAAGCTTCCCTTCAAGAACTGCATTGTGAACGGAATTGTCCTCGCAGAGGATGGTAAGAAGATGTCGAAGAGACTTCAGAACTACCCTGATCCTTCTTTGATCATGGATCGCTATGGTGCGGATGCGCTGCGTCTTTACTTGATCAACTCTCCAGTTGTCCGTGCTGAACCTCTGCGTTTCAAGGAGAGCGGTGTCAAGGAGATCGTTAGCAAGGTTCTGTTGCCTATGTGGAATAGCTACAGGTTCCTTGAGGACCAAGTGAAGCTCTTGAAGAAGGCTTCCAATGTCGACTTCGTTTTCGACCCCAAGGCCGAATCCACCAACACCAACGTCATGGATCGCTGGATCCTGGCCAGTTGCCAAAGTCTTCTGGTGTTCGTCAACCAAGAAATGGCTGCCTACCGCCTGTATACTGTCGTCCCTCGTCTGTTGGGCCTGATTGAGAACACTACCAACTGGTATATTCGGTTCAACCGCAAGCGCCTCAAGGGTGAGAATGGCGTTGACGATACTCTGCACGCCCTCAACACTCTTTTTGAAGTCCTCTACACTTTGGTCCGAGGTCTTGCTCCCTTCACCCCCTTCCTGACCGACAACATCTACCAGCGCCTCCTCCCTCACATTCCGGAATCGCTCCACGCCGAGGACCCTCGCTCTGTCCACTTCCTTTCGTTCCCCGAGGTACGAGAGGAGCTTTTCGATGAAGTTGTTGAGCGTCGGGTCGCTCGCATGCAGAAGGTTATCGAACTTGGCCGTCTCTCTCGTGAGCGCCGCTCCATTGGTCTGAAGACTCCTCTCAAGAGCCTTGTGGTCATTCACCAGGACCAGCAGTACCTGGATGACGTCAAGTCCCTAGCGTCATATATCGAGGAGGAATTGAACGTCCTGGAGCTTGTGCTCTCTTCTGACGAGGCCAAGTACAACGTGCAGTACAGTGCCAATGCCGACTGGCCTACTTTGGGCAAGAAGCTAAAGAAGGATGTCCAGAAGGTCAAGAAGGCTCTGCCCAACCTGACTAGCGAGGCCGTCAAGGCCTTCGTCGCCGAAAAGAAGATTCTGGTCGATGGTATTGAGCTCGTGGAAGGCGACCTCGTTGTTAAGAGAGGCATCAAGGAGAATGCAGGCGCTTCCAACCTGGAGATCAACACCGATGATGATGTTATGACCCTTCTCGATTCTGAACTGCACCCTGAGTTGGCGGAGCAGGGTATTGGCCGTGAGATCATCAACCGTCTCCAACGCCTGCGTAAGGCCGCCGGACTGGTCCCCACGGATGATGTCAAGATGGAATACACCGTGTTGGAGGATAAGGACTCGATCGGCCTTGCTAAGGCATTCAAGTCTCAGTCTCAGGCTATCGAAAAGGCTGTTCGTCGTCCGCTTGATGAGCGTGCGGTTGTCAATGGCAAGGCTCCCAGCGCCGATGAAGAGGGAACCATCGCACAGGAGGAGCAAGAGGTGCAGAACGCTACCTTCCTGTTGCGCCTTGTGAAGCTGTAAAGCGCTAACTTAAATTATGAAAATTTTGCCTCTGTGGATACTCTACTGCATTTCTGGTTGTTAGAAAAGAAATATCATTTGTGTTATAAGATCAAACCTTCATATAATATCAATCGGCTACAATAAGGCTCCACCATGGTCAGTCACTGGCGCGACCGCACATTGCCGCCTGATGGAATTCAAGTTCAGAACTTGAATTAATCCTGTTTGAGGAACCCACAAAACCGAGGTTTTCCTAGTTAGTATACCGGGTTTATTAGCTAACCTTTTGGTAACATTTACGGCAGTAATTTGACTAGTACGTAGCTGATTTATTTCCCAGTGACTAGCTGCTGGGTTAGGAGATCTTTAGTGATCGAATTGGTAAATTGACATCATATGGTACATTTTCGTATTATACAGGAGTTAAGTTGGCATCCAAGTGCATCGTGATATGGTCGCTGCTGAGTTCAACCCTTCTTGGATGCGGCCTGTCGGAATTAGCCGGTGAATGACTATATCAATATCTCATGGACTTACCAAAACGCAATCCTTGAGCTTCATAAACTCTTTAGCACACATATCCTTGTGTACAGAATTGTAGTCTGTGACTACACACTTGCCATATGCAGCAGCCTACTTGACCTGTTAGCTCTTGTTCATCTTATGTAGAGTGGGGTTCGTTGATACAGACCTGAACCGAGCATTGAGCAGTGGCTCTGGCAAATTTCTCAACTGGACGGGTCTTTGTCGGCATTTCGGCCAGCAGTATGGTAATGATGACCACGCCTCGAGCTGGGGGTTGTAGATTGAATAGTCGACAGATTCAAGACCAGAGCTGCATGGGGGGAATCCTCCGGCGCCCAGGAATGTTACCTAATCATCACGTGCACCCTGGCATGTTTCTGTCGCGACCACCAAAACAATTCGGATTCGCAGTCCATGGCGCCGGATTGATTCCCCAATTTATTTGCTATTGCTATTCCTTTTTGGTTCGATCGCAGACTAGTCTCTGCGCATGTCTTGTTTGATCGGGATTCGCCCGCCTTCGCCATGATTTGTTTGGTCCGTCGTCTTTATGACCCAGATGCGACAAGCGCGCTTTAAATCGCGAATTTTCGATGCCTCCGATATCCTCGCAGCGACGCGCCTCAACCGAAGAGAACTCGTCCCTCTCTGACGATGGTATGTAATTGCCGCTTCTACCCGAGCCTCAATCTCGGAGTCTAACGTCTTTCTGCGACCTAGATGTCGGATTCCTTTACCAAGTTGTCATTCGCGCCGAGAGCCACCCCGAGGTTCAACAGCTTCCATTCCGAGCCCTGTTCGCGGCATATGATGAGGTTATTCTCGAACATGGCGTCAATGCCGATCCGGGCCATACGTGCCTGCGATTCCTATTCAAGATGGGAAATAAAGATGCGCTAGGGACGACACTCTTCGACAAGTTCGAGAATACACTCCAACGAATGGGAATCGTGATTGAACTGGGAGACGACGCCTCTACTGGGATCAACGAAACATTTGAAACTGGGCAATACTCATTTGAGGGCACGCGCAGCCAGGCCGGCGAGGACAGTCATATTCCTAAGACGAATGGGGTTCCTATCACGCCTAGGAGACGCGCTTCATTTAATACAACGGTAGATATTGGCGAGGATGTGACCCAAAGAAGCTTCATCGAGCGCCCGAGCTCTCGTTCCTCTATGTCACGACTTCAAACTGGGAAGCCCGAATTCGCTACACCCAGACTGTCGCCGAAACCTAAAATTCAAAGTTACCAAAATAGGTCACCGGATCGCACGGACTTGATTGCTCAATTTTTAGAAATTGGCAGAGGTCTGATCAGTCGATTTGATAATGCGCAGAACAAGAAGGTGGAAAGGGAAGACCCACCGCTGACCAACGGAGTAGTGGCACGTTCAGCTGTCAACCATGACCGTTCTAAGAGAATTGCAGCGGCTTCGAAACCTCAACGGTCATCTTCCATGAGCTCAGCAGACAGTTTCCAATCGGATGATTCCAAATCTGCTGTGTCACAGACCACTGAACACGATGCTTTCCTGAAAGAAGAAGCTCCGCCTGAGCTTCTGTATCGCCCCCAGCTTTCAGATCTACTCCGGGATGCGTCTACTTTCAATATGTATCGCCAGCGGGCTATATGTCGTCGGATTCTCCCGCAATGGTTTAGAGGGGCGTTGAAGACACGGCAAATTCGTGAAAAGAGAGAAACCATTGCGATAAATCATGATCGAAACACTCTGCTTCGACAAGCATTTGAGCCATGGCGCGCTATCATTCAGGACAAACGCCACACAGCCAGAACTGAACGCTTCTTCAAGCATCTAGATGAACGCGCTAATAGAGCTCGTGATCTTTACCTAATGACAAAGGCTTTCACGCATTGGGCTCAGCTGACATCCGAAGAGGTCGCCCGGACATCGGCAGCCCGGCAGCATGTCTTGAGTATCAAATATTTCAATGCCTGGCGTGAGATAACTGCAGTCAACGAACTCAAGGCTCAGCGCTTCGCATTGCGGAAACCTTTCAATAGGTGGCGGAAGAAAATGACCGACCTCAAGGCAGCGGAAGCCCAGGCTGTAACAACCCACAACGACAACCTTCGACATACTTCTTACTGGCAATGGTTTTGGGGCTTTTGCGACCGCCGTGCTCCTGAATGGTATGATAATCGCCTTAAACGGCGTTCGCTACTTTACTGGCTTCGCAACTTTCGGACCAATCGAGAACGAGACCACGAAATCGACGTTCGTAACAGACGCACTGCGCTAGGATCTGTTTTGCAAGAATGGTCTCAAAGGTCTAGAATTATGGTTTCGGCACATCAGCAAGCTGAAAGCATCCAACGCCGAGAGGCTCTTAAGGAAACATTTGATGAATGGAGGATACAATCCCAATTAGCTCCTGCTGCTTCCGGTGTCTGCAACATGGTGGACACTAGGATTCTTCGGAATGCCCTTTCGCGGTGGGTTTCAAAGGCCCGAATGGTTGAGCAAGCGGAAGATATGGACCGATACCGACTCCAGCGTAATTCATGGACAGCCTGGAACGATACCTTGCGTTGCCTTGCGCTTCAGGCTCGAATCGCTGAGCGACTGAAAATGGAAGCCATCTACAAGTGGATTTTGATGGAGAGATACCAACTCATGCGCAGGATACATGAACAGCGTATCAAGCGCGAGATTTTCTCTCGCTTTGTGACGAATACGAGAGATACATACACACGACTATTATTCCATGCGGAAAGTCACGAAGATAATCGGGCCGAGGATTTGGTAAGGTCTAAGTTTGCGATTTGGCGAGATCAACTGTCGATCCAACGCGAGCGGGAATATGCAGCTTTTGAGTTCTATGCACCACGCTTGGCTCAGGAGTCTCTTATGGCTTGGAGATCGAAGCATCAGCAGATCGTCCAAATGGAAGGCTGGGCTTCTGACGCGGAATTCTACTTTTTGATGAAACGATCCACGAAACGTTGGCACCAAGCGACATTGGAGTCCTCCAAACGCCGACGGAAGGACGCATATGCTAAAATCAGACGAAAAATAAAAGTCAATATAGCGTCTAAGGCATTGTCAACTTGGTCATCTAAGACACGGGCTGTCGTGGACCTGGAGGAACAAGCCGAAGACGTCAACAGAACGAAGCTACTGGGCGTTGTGTCTGTGATATTCCGAGGATGGCATGGGCAAATGATCAAGAGATTCTCGGACTACCAGGCAGCGGATAGGCACTATTTTAATCAAATTGCCTTTGATCAGCTCATACAGATGTCAGAGACGTTCGTGATTCGCCGTGAGATGGAGGACCAAGCGGACTCAGTATACCGCTCTCATATCCTGCGCCAGGCGGGCTCGGCATTCCGCAAACTCAGCCTCCGCATTTTCCAGATGAGGAGTACGGTTGAAACAGCGGAAGCAATGAGAGAAAGAAACCTTCGAAAGCATTCGCGAGCCCTATTCCGTGACTGGGTGGATGAAGCTCGTATCAAATTGGAGGCTCGCGACTCGGCAGGCCCTGCCTTAACGCCTGCGCGATATTCAAGCTTCGAAGGAGGTAGTCGCCCTGGGTCTGCTTTATTTGATCCATGGTATCAGAACCCATCAGAAACGCCATTCAAGATGAGTGATTTCACGGCAACCTCCCAGGAGCCAGTCTCTGCGGTCTCCGCAAGCCCATTAGCTACGCCCAGCTATCTGACATCGCCATCCAAACGAGCGGCCCGGGCCCGAGCTCTTGCCCAAATGTCCACCACCCCAGCTACACCTCTCCACACACCTTTCGCCAGTCGTCTCCTGCGCGCTTCTAATTCCGCCGCCCAAACAGCTTCATCTTTTCGTCCCCGAACCGGTCGCCGAACCTCGATTGGGACCAGTGTTCGGTTTGTAGACGAAGAGCTGCCCGAATCCCCGACGGATGGCCGCAGATCCGCAAATCGACGACCTTAACTTAACCTCTTCTTTCCCGATATATGACGACACTCCATCCGATTTTCTACTTTTCACAGCACCTGTACATCAACGACCATTATATCACTGTCTCTGCGATGCTTGCGTTCAAGCTCTTTGTTTCATACCATGCATACTCGGCGTAGAATATGGGGAAGGAGGAATGGGGGCATTCTGTTTGAGTAACAGCCCATACTAGTACGTACTTTCGGTACATACATGAACTTGAATGAATATGAGCAACATTTTTCTGTCACCTTGAATCTTCTGTGTAAACCTTGGAATATATGACCTGTCCTGCCCATGTCGCGTTGTCAGAATCTAGAACTTGAAGTAGCCCTGGTCAACTTGAACTTACCGGAAATCACTACTAGTAGTAAGTAAAGATAAACTCGTTCATAGTACAAACCCAGTTCGCCGAGTATCCAGACATTCTTGCTCAATTTATATAGTGGCAGGTGATTGCCGTTTTGGTGGTTGCACTGAGTGGAGCGAGCGTAATCGCCCGCACTCTTCGGACCCGCTTGGATCTCCCCTGCGCATCATCAACCACCCCCAGCACCTGATCAGTAGCATTGTCCCTTGTTTCTCCTTGCACCCTTGATCTCACTTACCTGCAGGGACTCAACCGCTCAGCCTGGCAATGGTGTGAAGCTTCGCGCGCAACGAGCGTTCCCCCCCTCCCCCCCTCCCTCCCTCTATCCAACCCGCCTCTATGCGAGCGGTACTGCCGGGGAAACCCCCAGCGAATCTCCAGTCGTTCAGCACAGCACTGTGGAATGGACTTCGCGTGATTGTGAGTCTCGTATTCTTGGGACCCCTCTTCAGCTTGGGAAACCTTACTGTCTTTTCTCATTGCTAATCTGAGCCCACGGGCGTACTCACCAGGCCTATATTTCCGGCCACGCACTGGTCATCCTTGGCGGCCCGCAAACGCTTCTTCAAACGATATATGTCGATGATACCGATACACTAAATGCTGTCGCCTTTGACGAAGAGTCGGGAAAAATTGCCGTGTGCGGTGGTCCAGAAGTTTTCGTCTACCACCCATACGGCATCCAGGGCGAGACACTTAAGGTGCGCATACCGAGAAGAGGGCTCAGGCGGAGCTCTGTCTCCGATCGACTGCTGTCGCATTGGATGAGTGCAGCTAGTATTGACCTATAGTTTCTTTACAGTGGTCTCTTGCCTATACTTTCCGCGCCGACGATGACGACGAACCGATCCGTACTCTATCGTGGGGTTCCGAGAACGAGCTTCTGCTAGGCAACTCTCGCCTCGCTTTGTGGTTTTTGAATGATAACCCGCGTCTGGTCTGGAAGAAGAAGCTCGGGACCCCCGTCAGTCTTGCATACTTTTCTCCTGATGCGGCCCTCGTCGTGACTGTTGGATTATACGATCGACTGGCCAAGGTGTGGAAGCGATTGGCGTTCGGCGATGAGGTACGGTTCGAGGTCTCGTACCTCCCGCATCCGAGCATTATCACTGGAGTTCATTGGCGACTGCCCCGCCATCGGGGCCAGTCTATGGGAAACGTACTTTATACTCTATGCGCGGACAATAAGGTTCGAGTCTGGGCTGCGACAGATCACCATGCCCTTTCGCCGTTGGAATTGTGGGCAGACATCGACATGAACGTCTCTGTACAGCCACGAGATGCTTCAAATGTCGAACAAGGTCCCCAGCGACGATACGGCTTCATTTTGGACAGTCGGGATTTCTGCGCTGTGACCGAGCGAGCCGTTGAACGGAACACGGGCAGCAAGGACAAGCATGCGTTGGAACATCTTATCGAAGTCGCGAACAATAGCCCTGAGATCTGCGTGGTGATTGACGGCCAAGGTCACATGTCTGCATGGGCCTTGGAGGATATTGGCTCGAAGGCTAAAACCACCATGAGTGTTTTCAATATTCTTCACGTGGAGGGTCTTGAATTCGGCTTCATGTCAGATCTTACGGCGGCGGAAGATTATGCGCAAATACGCGTTTTCCAGAGTAAACCCGCCGACGACACTCTCAGTATCGTCGTGCACCATTTTGATGGTCGAATTGAGTGGTATGACTCCAAGGTGGATGTCCTATTTGATCCAGCGCCCAGGAGGAAACGCATAGTTCCAAGGTCATCTTGGTCGGGACACACGGCTCCAGTGAAAAAGATTGTTCGCAATGCCATTGGCGATACGATCATCTCTCGCACCGATGAGAATAAAGCTATGATCTGGAAGCAAAATCGCCGGGAAGGTAAATCGATGATTACGCATAAGAGCACATTATTCTCCGAGGATCACATACACCGCACGTGCCTTATTGAGAATGGACATTTCCTTGTCAATCTTCACCACAACGGCGTGTCGCTGTGGGATTTCAGCACCTATCATGCGAAGAAAATAGCCTCCTTACCTTTCACTCTATCGAGTAAGCCGCTATGCGTGCTCCCGCTTCCTACTCCAGATGCAAGCCCAGACAGAGCTTATGTGGCAACCATCGCGGCAGATTCGCATGGCATCGTTTGGGAGATTCAATGGAGTGGACATGGCGACCGGAAAGGTCGAGATGAAGGAAACATATCCTGCGAAATGCGTAGATTTTGCACATTTGATATGGGATTAACGGAAGATTTGGCATATATTCAGCCTGTTGACCCGGCGGGACATAAAGCAAAATATTCTGGCTTCTTTGACGCCTTTTCTCCAGACATTGCCCTCTCCTACACCCACAGTGGTGTCGTCCGGACCTGGACGGCTAAGGTGGACCGAGAAAAGGCTAAGGTCGAGTGGCTGTTGAAGTCTACCGTCGACACTGCCATTGAGAACCCATCACTGGCTAGTGGAAGTTCGATTCGTAAGGCTGCACTTGTGGATCAGGATCGAACTCACCTAACGATCTGGGACACCAACAATGCCCAGTTGGAGTTTGAAGAGCATTTCGCTCAGCATGATAGCATTCGGGACCTGGACTGGACTTCAACTCCTGATATGCAGTCTATCCTTGCCGTCGGATTCCCCCACAAAGTTGTTTTGTTATCCCAGCTACGCTACGATTATTTGGACTCTCGACCATCTTGGACCAAAATTCGTGAAATCTGGATCCGCGATCTCACACCTCATCCCATTGGTGACTCTTGCTGGCTCACAAATGGCAATCTTGTGATTGGTGCAGGCAATCAGCTGTTTGTCTACGATAAACACTTTGAAGTGGCAGATCGTCTGATATCTGAGCTTCGTATCCCATCAAAAGGACAGCAAGCTGTTGACCTCTATGATGTTGTAGGCCGACTCAATGGTCCACTGCCTATCTTCCATCCGCAATTCCTTGCACAGTGTATCCTTGCCGGGAAGACTAGCTTGGTGCATTCTATTTTGATGAATCTCCATCGCAAATTGAAGTTTTACACAGAAGGGGATGGTTTGGATGGTTTCTTGGAGATACCGCTGGAGCATTTCTATGATGAGAATAGTGTAAGTCTCTTTGCTGAATTATCTCCAGCTGTGCTAACCAGAACAGATATCCCAAGACATTTCGTCGAAGGAAATGCGTTCATCCTACGTTGACGCTACAGTGGAAGAGGAAGTCTCCTCTGTTGTTGATGAAAATGTTGCGACGATCTTGAACGAGAATCTTTCTCGTATTGCGCTGCCTCGGCTGTCTAGCCATGAGCAGTTTCGCCTCGTTGATACGATCGAATGTGTCGCGACTGTCGAGAAGCATCGGCGATCAATGGATGACAATGCCGCCCGCTATCTCCTCTTCTTCCGACAGCATATGCTAAGGAAGAGCCAAGGCGTAGCAAATAAAGATCGAGTCTCTTGGAGAGAGATTGTCTGGGCTTTCCACAGCGGGAGTCAAGACATTTTAACAGATCTCGTGTCGCGCCAGTTCAACGGCAAATTGACGTGGAAAGCTGCTCGAGAAAGTGGCATCTTCATGTGGCTTTCTGACTCAACAGCATTGGTATGCATCTGTCCATTTCAACCACCCGTGTTCGAACTAACATTCATCTTAGAAAGCACAACTTGAAGCCGTTGCACGCAATGAGTATACCAAGACTGAAGAAAAGGACCCAGTCGACTGCACACTCTACTATCTCGCGCTTGGAAAGAAGAACATTCTCCAAGGGCTGTGGCGCATTGCGCATTGGCATCGCGAACAGCGTGCTACTCAGCGTCTATTGGCCAATGATTTCAAGGAAGCACGTTGGAAGACTTCTGCACTCAAGAATGCCTATGCCTTACTTGGGAAACGCCGATTTGGTGAGTTTGCACCTCCGCCCAATTCATGATCATGTAACTAATATCTGTCCCAGAGTACGCGGCCTCATTCTTCCTTCTAGCTGACCACCTACGCGATGCTGCCAATGTTGTCGCCACCCAAATGGGCGATCTTCAACTTGCGATCACAATTACCAGAGTCTACGAGGGAGATAATGGGCCCGTGCTCCGCGAACTGCTAGAAGACAAGCTTCTTCCTGAGGCCGCCGCGGAAGGTAATCGCTGGATGGCCTCATGGGCTTTCTGGATGCTTGGACGACGAGATATGGCAGTGCGAGCACTCATTGTATGTTTCAAACCCAAGTAATCTCTCGCATGCACTAACATAGATCCAGTCTCCAATCGAAACCCTGCTTTCACCCATTCCTACCACCCCAGGGAGCCCCGGTCGAGCAACACTTCAATCCAAGTCCTACCTCTCCAACGACCCCGCACTGGTAGTTTTATACCACCAACTCCGAGAAAAAACCCTCCAAACCCTCAAGGGTGCCTCACAAGTCCGGCCCCGCGAAGAGTGGGAATTCGTGCTCCGCAACGCCCGATTGTACGACCGCATGGGCTGTGATATTCTCGCCCTGGATCTGGTGCGCCACTGGGAGTTCTTGGGCGCTCCCCCCACATCCAAGTCATTGCAGTCACAACCGTCCCTCGAGATCAATGAGAATGGAGTCGATTATCGGAAATTGCTTCGCCGGCGGAGCAGTCTGGTTGTCGCTGATATGCCGGTCCGCCTTTCCAAGACGGATGGTGCCGCAGATACGAAGGATTCTTCTGCCATTGACGATTCCCAGCAGAAGAAACCTGCACAAAAGCCGAAGCCCCCACCAACCATGTTTCATGAGCCAGATTCGAATTCGTTGCTGGATAGCTTTGGGTTCTAGACTGGATTTAGTGTTGATAATGTACTCTCAGCGAACAATATTTTTTTTCTTCATTGATTATATGTGTATCTTTACAGCGACTAGGCATTGTATGGTTGTTTTTGGGTCTTTCCAGTATACGGGTCGTTTTTCTAGTAAAAACTTTGAACAGCTTGGCATGTATGAGATGACTGGTATCAATTCTTTGATTCAATATACACAAGGCTAACTAAGTGGTTCTTTTCCATGTCCAATAAATCGCTCATAATAATCTCCAATGCAAATCCTTTTAAACAAGTCGCGCCTTGCGGTTGCGCAGCACAGACAGCTTCCTCCTCGACATAACAGTCTGGTTTGCGGGAGCAGTAGCATTCTTCTGGTGAATCTTTGCATCCGGCAGGTGTCTTGTGGCATTATGCTTTCCAGTAACCAAGTGCGAAGAGTGCTTCGCCCTCATCAGCTCCATGATATCATGAACCACCTTCTCGCTCTCGGCATGACCAGCGTCATTGACACGGCTTTCATCTTCAGGTCGGCGCTCAGAGTGTTGCTCCTGCGCTATAGACCAAGAGTTCGAATTCGAGCCGGGAGTCTGCATATTGTTCGCTTGCTGAGCAGAGGCTGTTTCGTCCAGCCGGGGGATGTCCTCGGCTTGATCTACCAGAGACTCAACAGCAGCACCGCTCTCGCAGACCAGCCTCACCCATACTTCGCTATATGCGGCGAATTGGCGGGGCTTGCAGTCGCTTACTTCGACACCATTGTGGATCTCTTGGGTGATAAGAGGTGGGTCGATGCACGAGGGGACCTCGTGGACGGTGATGTTGCAGTTTGGTCCTCCTTCCGGTGGGAAAGGGTGGCCTTTCTCGTGGGAGACCAGCTCCGCGTCTACTGAGATAGCGCTAACGAGGTTGTGTTCGTAAGAAGGGACGCCGATGTTGGCGCAGCTTCCGACGGTAATTTCTTCAGCCGGGGCTGTTTCTTCGTAGTTTTCGAATGTGTCGAGGTTGGAAAAGGGCTCGCCGGGGCAATTGGGGTAGAAATGCGTCCATACCCGGGCAATTGTGCTGGCGTGGATTGGGGTGGAAAGGAGGAAAAGGGTAGCAAGAGCGGAATGCATGGCTGCCAAGGTTGAGATGTAGATCCTTAGATAAGATGGTTTTTCCTATGTCTAGAAGGATCTGAGTAGATGATGATTGATACTAGCTTAGATGAGACCTTGGACAGTTAGGGCTGCCCCCAACCCTTATATACATCCTCATTCCGTCCCATTAAGATCGAGATAATCGGATGGCAGGTAAGAATGACAGGCACGGGGCTGGCGGGGAGATGAAACGCGGCTCGCACGCTGAGCGAAGTAAGAATGGTCTTCTTCGTCATACTCGGTGGCGGGTTAAGTCAAGCTATTCATTCAACCGCCAGTGGGAAGCCAGATCGTACATTCTTTTACCCGAGTGATCGATTTCATGTCGATCCAGTACCACATGGGTAGTCCTGGTTGCTCAGTCTGGAATGCGAGCGCGCTTTGAACATTCCTGAGCACGGCGGTGCGCCTATGAAGTAAGTAGATCGTGAGTAGATCGTGGGGCGATTGTGTCAGTTGGCTGGTGGAGCCTGTTTATTTGAATTTTGTTGTCTCTACGACCAAGAGAAGGAGAGCATCATGAAGATGTAATGTGAAGCATAATTCGAGACCATCTGAGGTCATTGGTATATCGACAGGGCTGTAGACCGTGACGTTTTGCTGGATTCTATCAAAAAAAGGGAACACCATCTTACTTCATCTTCTTCAAATCTGAGTTCTCCCTAGACCGAGGCTTGTACTTCAAGACGGACTCGCCAGTCTCGTACCCGCTTAACGTATTCGAACGCCTCCCTCGGTTCTTGATGGTATGGATCTTTCGGTCGATCTCTTCCAAATCACCTTCTGAATTGATGGTGCTCAGTCCCTTCATAATAGGCGCAGCAGCCGGACCGGTTGACCTGCTTCGGCTGCGCTCCCGACTCGTCGCCTCGCTAGGTGGCATGCTCTTGAGGAAAGATTGATAAGCATCTGCTTTGTAGGGATCGGTGGGGATCTCGGCATCAACATCAGGAAGAATTCCGAATCCGAGATCATTGATAGTCTGTGTCACTTGCTCTGAAAGTGCTTCTCGGTGATTTCTCAAATCTGAAAGCGACGAAGAAGCCAGTGGGTCAAGGGCCACGAGAAGTGGCATGAGGGATTTGATGATATCCATCCCAATTTCTCCAAATCGGAGCGCCGCAAAACTGACAAAAATCATGTGTGTAAAGAAACCGACTGCGAATACCCACAGCGGGATGAAGTCGGGGATGTATGTTCTTGCTATCATCCACCATGGCACTGATTGCGTGTAGTAGCCATCTAGGCGATTGTAGCGGAGCCAGACTGTAACGATAATTGTGTAATAGGCGTAAAGAGTGGGCGCCAGTCCCATGGCGACAAGGATCTTCCAAGTTCCGACAACATCCCGCCCTTGCAGCTTGACGACCGAGGCAGCAAGCGCTTTTCGTCTCTTTTTCTCCGAAATGACTTTTGTTGTCACGAATACAGGCCAGAATAGCAAAACACCGGGAAGGACTCCGAAACTCAAGACAAGAAGTTTGCATAGGCGATAGATGAGAGTGATAAAGGTGAGCCACCAGGGCTTCTCCTCCACATTGCCCCACTCAACCTGATGGTCCTTGACTCCAAGCGACTCCAAGCGCCGATTGTAATCCTTGACAGATTTGCGGAGGCCCTGAATCCGGGGGTCATCATGATACTTCTCATAGCCCTTGAGCAATCGTCGGTTAAATTCAATGACTAGGGGAAGTGGAATTTTCTTGCTGATTGGATTGTAAAGTTTTCGAGTAGACTGAACCAAAATTAAAGTTTCATGGTCGGGACTGATTTGAGTGACAGCTTCAAGGCCTTCGTAAATCGTTTCGAGCAGAGAGCCCACGGCATTGCGCTTGCTAGTGCCCCCGGCTTTGAAAGCCTCGATCTGATCTGGGTGCACGTGGATGGGTCGGCCAAATTCAATGACACCTCTTGAGCGAAACTTGTGTGCATGGAAATAATTCATGCCGCAAGGCACAATAGATAAACCACAATTCGGATCCTGGGCCAATGCACCGAGTGACATCAGGGCGGCGCCCGCCTTTAATGGCAGCAGGTTGGAACGGTCGTGACTACCACCTTCAGGGAAGATACCTATACAGCCACCCTGGTGAAGCTCTTTGTAGACTGCATCGAACATCCGACTTTGGTCCACATGAGGGGCGAGCTTGAACGTCACACCCTTGCCGCCTTTTTCACTGGTAGGTGGGGAGGTGAAAGCCTTCTTGAGTCGAAGCGAAGTTGGCCCCAGAATCTCATCAATCGATGCTGTTTGAGGCCCTTCAGGTCCCTTGACGGTGAGTTGTCCGCCAGGCATATACTCGGGTTGAGTGAAATCGGTATCAATTCCATTGATCAAAGTTGGATCGCTGTCCGGCTCCGCTAACGATATCGTGCCTTTGCCAGGTTTAGCCAAATCCATGGATCGGACAACCGGAAGGGCACCCATAAACGATGCGAGGGTTCCGATATAAGGTTCGTTCATCGACTTTTGCGCAATCAGGAAAGAGACGCGACGCTTTGCCTGTGATTTAAGCAGGTGCATCAAAATCGCCGAATCAACGAATTGGTTTGCGTGAGGGGCAGCCACGATCAGAACAGGGCTTTTTTCCGGGATTCGCCAGGCACCGCGAGGGTAGATCTCGCGGAAGAAGAGGTCCAGAGCGAGAGTGAATAGCCACAGGACCAGGTCATACAGCCACGGGATCATCCGTCGGCGTTTGTCCGAAGGACCCGCCATGATCGCCAGAAGATGGAGATCCGGGGTACTTGAAGCTGCAGATTCAACGGTCGCTGATCATCCAGATCATCCAGAGGGAGGCGGTTGGTGGGGGAAGATCGATGCGTGAGCGACGTGTTTGTGACACGTCAAAGTGGAAGAATGAGGGGGCGAAGCGGAGAAGAAAAGAAGCGCGCGGGTAAAAGTAGACGAGGCCAGATTTACACTACGTCAACAACAGAACAACAACAGAACAACACCATATATCATATATCACATCATGCAATGCCAGCGCCAGTACCACTCGACTCTAGGGGATTAAATTGAGAGTATGCGAAATACAGAATATTCATGAAACAGGATCCGAATGAAACCAGGTCTTCCGTCTTCTTCAGAATAGGCCATCATCAGAGCCATCAGCGTCACCACCAGAGCCATCAGGGCCGCCGGGTCCTTCAACTCCACCGAGACCATCGAAGCACGACATCTTGAAGGAGACGTAGGTGGGGTCGAGGATATCAGGTAAGCATTGGCCTTGGGCGACAGGGCCACCCTCGAAAGGCAGGAAGTAGATGGGCTTGCCGGAGCAGTCTTCGCTGTTCCAGACGGTCACACCAGAGCATAGCAGGGCATCCTTGGTGTCTAGGTGGGCAGTGAAGGAGTAGTGGTCGACGCTCCAGTCACGGTTGACGACGGTCTTGTCGCAGGTGACCGGGGTAGCGACCACGGACTCCTTGGCCTTCGGCTCACCGTGTGGCGGGGCGCCAACAGGACACTCCTCCCAGGATTGGAATTCAATGCTCGCGACGGGGAAACCGGCTTGGGCGCCTAGGGCCAGAGCAGCCACAGTAGCCAGAGTCTGTATCAGATCAGTATTGGCTTTTGTGATTAAAGGATAATCGCGATTGCTTTCTAACCTTGGAGAAATGCATTTTGTTTAAGAGAATGGACGGTTTCTGCAAAGATGTCGGAATACCAGTACTTGTCGAGTATCAAAAGAGTGGACGGGGTCGGAAAAAGATGTTTTCAATGAATCGTCCGATCCCATTGCATTTAAGTAGACTCCTTCGGGCATTCTGGCACGCGGAAATATGACCCGAGTAAACACGAAAACGCGACGGAAATTCGCCTGTCAAGAGCGCGGAATGCAGGCATTGAGCAGGGATTGGCGTAAGCCTTGGAATGTAAGATCTTTAAGGAGAACTTTAGTTGGACTCGAGGGTTACGGAATGGACTTTCATCAAGGGACCGCTGATCATACTCTACACCGCTCATCATACTCCTTCGGGCAACCCGCAAATAGGTAAATCCTTGCCAACATGAGCATAAGGATTCACGAGACTTCTTATCGCTGTAGACAATCAGTCATTAATCTTGCGGACCGTCGTTGGGTCCAACGAAGGGTTAAATGCTGGATCGGGCTGCGCAAGGACCCCTTGCGGGACAGCAACAGACCCCAAAGCTCATCACCATTAAACTGACACCGTGTGATGAGTCGTAGAAACCATTCAAGACTCAAATTAAACACCCTGGAGGGAGGTGAAAAGTGGCCGGCTGGTCATTTTGGGATTTTATTCCGCGTGATACCGCGGAGGGACATCGCAAAGCGAAAATCGCATGTAGATTCTGCTGGGATGGGGACCCCCCTAGGTTCATCTGATCGTATGAAGAAGAGAAAAAAGATGTTGCCTGCAAGAAATTCCTCTGCAGAAATCCTCCGTCTATGTACGGAGCATAACTCTAGCCGCTGGGCTTTCGGATCAGGGCCCTCTACTTCCTATCTAGGGAAGTCCACACGCTGGGGCTCGTTTAGCTAGCTTTGATGCCCTCTATGCCCAAGAAGGTAAGCTGTACGTGCTAACATGTGATTTTCGCCTCACTCCGCTCCAGATCCTCTACGTTGTGACGTTACTGCAAACCACGATTCGAATTCTGAATCTGTTGGGACGCGCTAAGGGCGTTCCCCGCATTTCAGACTGACCTTTGGAGCAATTTTCCATGTGAATTTGGGGCTAGTAGCACGTAGAGAAGGTGTATTCGATGACACACCAAATAGTTATAGCTAAGAGAATACACCTAGGCAGAATAAATCATTGTCCTCATAAACTTAAATTGGGATATCACTGTCATCCGTGGATTAGTACGTTGTGGCAGCATGTGAGCACCATAGATCGTTATATATCTCAAGCTGAGCAGGTTGAACTACGGACTCGGATTCAATGGATCAACTCGACGAGAAACTTGAACTTCAAACAACTTGAAATTCAAGCTAAAGACACGTTCAGTCCAAGGTATTTCTTCAGAGCATATCACTCAAAGTAGTACAAAATGTCTACTGCCAAAGAACGTCTTGTTCTTCTGGTCCCTTCTACCATCGTCGAGACTCTCCTCATCATGACCATTGGTATAACCATGGAGCGACCAGCGACAATTTTTGCTTATACATTATCGGTCAATTTTGTCTTAATGTTTATATGGAATGTCTTTATATGGCCATTCTTCCTAAACCCACTGAGGCACTTGCCAACTGTACATGTATGGAACCATCAAGGGCAGTCAATATAATATCGCAGCTAATCATTTCTTGGCTTTTAGGGTCCTCTGATTGGTGCGAAGGTGTTTCTGCGCCATCCTCGTGGCAAGATTGCTGTCGATTGGCTACGAACTATACCAAACGAAGGCCTAATTCACTTTCGCGAGGCCCTGAACTTTAGCTTTTTGGTCGCCACCAACCACCGAGCATTGATGGATGTCTTGCATACAAACAGTTATGACTTCGTAAAGCCTCCAGGTGGCCGGGCATTCCTTGCCCGTGGCTTAGGGTATGGGCTCATTCTCTCTGAAGGAGATATGCATCGGGCGCAGCGCAAGGCCGTCACCCCAGCTTTCACAATCAAGAATATCCGCAGCATGTATCCCTTGATGTGGAGCAAGACCCAACTGTTTCTTTCTCAGTTGGAGAATGCAATCAGACTTGACCCTGCGCCCGGAGAAAAGTCAGGACAGGCTGGATTTGTTGAAATTGGTGGATGGGCAAAGTAAGTGGACCTCGCAAATAAAACGGTGAAAAGTATTCCTGAGAAGCGCGTAACTAACCGGATCGCAACTTCACCAGTCGCTTGACTTTAGATATAATTGGCCCTGCGGCCATCGGACGAGACTTTCAGTCACTTGAAAACGAAAATGACCCTATATCACAAAACTTTACAGCAATTCTGAAGCCATCTGCTGATTTACTGTTCTTGTTTGCGGTGTCTATCATATTGCCTCAGTGGCTTGTGAAAAGCATCCCCTGCAAAGCAAATATTGTGCTCCCGCGCAAGGTAGGCTATTTGCGAACGGTATTTCATGACATTCTTCAAGAAAAGAGAAAACAGCTTGCTTTGGAGAAAAACAAGGATAAGAATATCGAAGGTGATATTTTGGGTACAATGATGAGAGGTGGAGAGTTCACCGATAACGAGCTGGTGGATCAAATGCTCACAATTCTGGCAGCTGGGGTATTTCTCCCCATTTCTTTCTAGCGAATATGGAGTCATCGATAACTAACAGTCCTATTACAGCATGAGACGACGGCCGGTGCTCTCACATGGTGCTGTTACCACCTCAGTATCGAACCGCACATCCAAGACCATCTCCGACAGGAAATCCGCGATACGATTCCTTCTCCGGATGCTTCCGTTTCATGGCAGGATCTAGAGGGAATGCCCTATCTCAACGGCGTATGCCAAGAAGTTCTACGACTCTACCCCACGGTCCCCATGACTGGCCGCGAAGCGATTCGAGAGACTACAATCGCGGGCAAGAAAATACCGAAGGGCACGACCGTCGCTTTATGCCCCCCAGGCCGTCAACCGCAGCTACGAATTCTGGGGCGAGAACGCAGACCAGTTCCTTCCGGAGCGATGGATCGACACTGACTCCGAGACAGGAAAAAAGTCTCCGAACAAGCACGGTGGTGCATCGACGAATTTCGCTCAGATTACGTTTCTCCATGGGCCACGCGCGTGCATCGGCAAAGATTTTGCAAAGGCAGAATTTCGATGTGCGGTCGCGGGTCTTTTTGGAAACTTTCAACTCCAATTGAAAGAGGCCGAGCAGAAGATTACATATGGGGGAACTCTGACGAGTCAGCCTATTGAGGGTATGCATTTGAAGTTGACCAAATTGGAAGGCTGGGAGTAGTATGTTGTGCTAGACGGATTAATGAGATGAACCCTTATGTTATTAATGAGAGAATTGAAATTGGTATTATTATTTTTCAACAGACAACTTCTTCTCGACGTGATTGCACTGGTTTCCCTTAATCTTTCCTATCTTCGGAAATTCACGAGAGCAAGCTCGGTATCGTAGGCGACTCGTGCTTTACATATGCCTAGGAAAGCACCTTCAAAGAATATAGCAGATTGAAAGTATACGATTACATAGCGGAACTCAATCCACGTGCAATATTGTCAGTGCGTCAGCTTGATGTTGGGAGATCATCATCTTTGGGACGCACTCTCCCTGTCCCCGCACTTCAATAATGGGGCAACTCCACATTGCAAGGGGGGGCCCCTCAACAGGGTTGATCGGTTCGCGTTCATGGATTGAGCGAATAGCATTCCAGGATGTCTCGGTATTGACAGATGATCTACCGGCGCCAGCACCGAGGTAGCAAGGACCGGCGCCCCTGTGATCTCGTTCCAAGAGGGGCTGACCGAGGCAGCCCTAATTTCAGGCTGTTTCGTTCATGTGGGCCGGGCCACTCCAGTATGAAACAGGGTCCGGTTATAACTCAAAATTGGGCCCTCGAGAGTATATATGATTATTATTTTTTGATTACAATCAAGAAAATCCAGGGCTCTCTTTTCAATTGCTCTACAATCTACCCAATATACACCATGACCGTCACACCCGATTTGTCGACCGGGTATGTCGGAAACCTGACACCCGACCAAGATTTAAAGCTGCGTGAACTATGGATCATCCTGTTCACCTCTATCTCCTCTGTTCTCTCTAAGATATACGACGTACCAATCCCAAAGGGCTCGCCAAGCAAGCTATTCGAGGTTTTTGAGAAAATCAAGGAGCCAACTGTCGATGCCATCCTTAGTGCCCTAAAGGGAGATGACGCCAACGATACACACCAGTCAAATGGCACAAACGGCACCAATGGTACTACCAATGGCGATAGCCAAGAGCAGAAGTCGCTTGACAAAGTGGAAGACCTCATGAGCAATGGCGATGCCCAGAAAAACATTAAGGAGGAAATGGCGACTCGGAAGGTTTTGCCAGAGCACTTTTCCGTTGTTTTCGATCAACTGCGCAAGTCAGGCGTCAGTGATTCGGAAATTAAGTCTATGGAAAAGATCCTGGCAAAAATGACCCCCCAGGATATGTGCTTCGCTATCCTAAAGATGGCGAAACAGGAACACCCCGACAGCTTATTGCTCCGTTTTCTACGAGCCAGAAAGTGGGATGTTGGAAAAGCTTTCACAATGTTGGCAACCAATATCTTGTGGAGAAAGGAGATGGAGGTTGACGATGATATCCTGCCTAAAGGAGAGTTGTATGCTCTTGAGCAATCTCGCGATGACAAGCTATCCACCAAGGAAAAGAAGGAAGGTAATGATTTCATTGCGCAGTTGAAGACTGGTAAGAGCTTTTTGCACGGCTTCGATAGACAGGGCCGACCGGTCAACTATGTGCGAGTCAAGATTCATAAACCTGGGGCCCAAAGTGAAGAGGTCCTTGAGAGATACATTGTTCATGTTATCGAGTCAACTCGACTAATTGTGGCCCCGCCCGTCGAGACAGGAGTATGTTACTGCCAGAGAGAAGTATATTTCGACAAGAAACTAACAGCTCTATAGACTATTGTCTTCGATATGACAGGATTTGGCTTGTCGAACATGGTATGTTCTTATGAAAGAAAATCGAGGAGCAAATTAGCTGACTTCTACTGATAGGAGTACCAACCAGTCAAGTTTATTATCAAGTGCTTTGAAGCAAATTACCCAGAATCATTGGGTCAGCTTCTGATTCATAATGCACCTTGGATTTTCTCAGGTAAGCCAGTATAATAATTGCTATACTCTACATAATCAGGAACTCACATATCGAAGGTATCTGGAAACTCATTCACGGTTGGATGGACCCAGTTGTCGCCTCCAAGGTGCACTTTACCAAGTCTGTGAAGGACTTGGACAAGTATATTTCCCGCGACCAGATCCCGAGAGAGCTCGCTGGCGACGAAGACTGGGAGTACAAATATGTCGAGCCCAAGGAAGATGAGAACGAAAGAATGAAAGACAAGTCCACTGGTGATGAGATCATGTATGAGAGACTGATGATCGGCATCAAGCTACTGGCGTCAACAGCTGCATGGATCTCAGCTACTACCTATGCAGAGGGCAAACAAGATGCCATAAAAGTGGAAGAACTGAAGGCGCGACGAAGCACGGTCGTTGAGGACTTCAGACAGAACTACTGGAAGATCGACCCCTATATCCGGGCGCGGGCGCTCATTGATCGGTCTGGGGTTCTCGAACCCGGTGGCAGAGTGGTGGTGACCCCAGAGACTACCAAGAAGAACGGCTCCAGTTCTGTTAAGATTGAATGAAACTGGCATTCTCGGTACTTTCTATTATATCCCCTTTTATGTATCAACCGATCAATGGTATTTAAATGTCGCGAACTGTTGATGCTTTCCATATATCTTTGCCAGTCGTATGCGTATCACTTCAAGTTGAGACTCAGCTCACGCACCATTGCCCACATGGTAAATTCTTCTGCTGCATCCCAGAAACCCTTTGGGCATTTTTGACTACCCACTACCTTGAAGCCTTGCTTCAACCAGTAGTCGCCGGAGTTCTCTTTAGCCACTCGGATCATAATCCGCGCTGGAACACTTCCCTTCCCACTCTCGCTTCGACGGCGCAAAAGTTCGTCTTCGCAAACGTTCACCAGACGCCCTGCCATTCCCTTCCCGCGGAACCGAGCATCGGGCGGAATGGCCACGACCGCGAGCTCATAGTCCCCAGGGCAGGCATGTTTTTGGAAGATCTGGTCCACTTTGTCATTGACCACCTCTTCACTTGATTCGTCGCTGAAATCATCATAATCATGGGATTCCCACAGTCCATCGTCTTTCCATGGCTTCATGCTGGCTGTGCCGACCACTTCGAGAGAGTCGGGACCACTGGACGCGAATGCAACTGCGGTAAAGCCATTAGGACCAAGTTCTTCCGTGAGTTTAGAATCGGATAGCAATCTGATTTTGTCTTGTGAGAATTGAATTTTCTCTGTGTGCATGACTAGATAGCTGGCGTTGATCATCCGAGTCAGATCGGAAAGCCACGGCTGCTTTCGCAGCTCGGCAGACGTGAAGAGCGCAGTCTGGATGGTCGGCGCAGAGTTCATTATTTCGTGATAGAAGTCAACTATGCGAAGAGGGGCGTAGCAAGTTGATCAGAAGGAGACTTTGTATCCAGAGAGGATGTGGAAATGATGCCTTTGGCTGGTTATCTCAAATCTTCGCTGTACCTATTGAAGATTATGGTGGGGTCTGCGAAATAGGAACACACGTTTGTGGCCACTGAGTCATAGAAACTGATAGGTTCGGGCTGGACTTACTGTTATTTGCCTGGCGTATCCAGACAAGAAAATGCGGAATGTCCCCGGTTCTTGCTTGCCGAGTGGGGCTTGTCAAGCGGAGTTATCCGATCCGACCAGATACATATAAAACTTCGAAATCTTGTAGTAGCAAGAACTAGATACTCAGAATCTAGAAACCTTAAACTCAGCTTGAAATAGGTATCTTATTTCGAGTTTTGTCTCACTTCTATAATGTTCAAGAAGTATACCTCAGAAGGCGATCTTACAACCATAAATTGCTCTTAGCTAACCAGAGGGTATAACCTTTTAGTTCCCTTTGAGTATTTAAATATATCTGATATTCATATGATCGGATTCAAAATATTCTAATTCCACCAGGACACCTTTTCGATATCCTATATCGCTTCATGTGGAGTGACTAATTTAGAGCTAGCTGATCACATCTCATAGTCGTCCTTGACAATTTTGGCTTTGTAGAAGTGCTGGACTTTGTCGCGCGGGCCTTTTGTCGAGGAAACTCTTTCGAGTCGGAACCTATTGGAGTGCCATAACCCATAGCTACTGGATACCGACTATGTACCTGACTACTTCCTACTACCTCACGGGTTTATACTCCCAAGGGCTGGGTGACGTCAGGTGACCTATCTTATCGCGGCCGGGGATTACCAAGCTTCCCCAACTTCCTTCTTCCTCCTCCTTCAAACGCTCCCCATGACGGATTTACTCGGCCAATGAATTACCAGACCATCAGCATGGAAGGCCATGCCTCCGAGCCCCAGCATCGCACCGTTGACCGGCCGTCATCCCCAGACGAGCCAGCAGAACCCCTCGACGACGTACCGCCGAGCCCACGAACCCCGACCACCTCCGCGCAGAGCTTCACCCCACGCTCACTAATCGTTGGCCTTATAATTGGAGCCCTTATTACGTTCTCGAACACATATTTCGGTCTACAGACAGGATGGATCAGTACTATGGCTATGCCTTCTGCTTTGATCGGGTTCTCGGTCTTCAAGGTCCTTACCAAGTACCTGTCGTTCCCGTTTACGCCGATCGAGAATGTCCTGATCCAGACTGTAGCGGGCGCTGTTGGTACAATGCCGCTGGGATGCGGCTTTGTAGGTGTGATTCCCGCTCTTGAGTTTTTGCTGAAGGACGGTGAAGATGGACCGGCTGGAGATGGCGGGGAAGGTGAGGGCGGACCTCTGAGGTTAGGCTTCGGCAAATTGGTTGTCTGGAGTCTTGGAGTCTGCTTGTTCGGAGTGGTATTCGCTGTACCTCTGCGAAAGGAGGTCATTGTGCGGGAGAAACTGCGCTTTCCAAGTGGTACCGCCTCCGCCCTGATGCTACGGGTTTTGCATGGTGCGGGGAAGGACGAGAAGTTTCCTATAGCGGCCCAGCGTCAAAGTACTGATTTGGATGGCGAAACCAGATCAATTGATCAACATAACGGGGAGGAGGAGACCGGCCGTTTGCTTAAATATACCGATACCGAGGACCAGACAGAGGACCAGAAGGATTGGCGGTCCAAAATGCGCCTGTTGATCAGTGCATTTGTAGTATCAGGCGTTTATGTAAGACTGATGCTCACTCAGTGATTTTTTGAGTACTCAACACTAACTCGACTAGACCCTCTTTTCCTACTTTGTCCCATTCGTCCATGACATTCCCTTGTTTGGAGTGGAAATTGCCCATAATTGGCTATGGACCCTCAACCCATCACCTGCTTATATTGGCCAAGGCATTATCATGGGACCTGAAACATGCATGCATATGCTATTTGGGGCCGTGATCGGTTGGGGGATTCTCTCTCCACTTGCCAAAGCTCGTGGATGGGCACCTGGACCTGTGGATAGCTGGGACGACGGAAGCAAAGCCTGGATCGTTTGGATTTCGCTAGCTATCATGCTTGCTGACTCTCTGGTCAGCCTGGGATGGCTTGTCGCTAAGCCATTGGTCAGTCGGGCCCCTGCATGGCTGGCCTACCTCCGCTCAACTCGACTTGTTCGATGGATCGCTCTAAGACTTCACCCTGGTGGTCATTCATACATCGATTACTCCTCGCTGGACTCAGATCATGAGCCACTGCGATTAGAGGATCATGAAAATGACCCCGATCACGCCACCCACTGGGTGACACCTACAACAGAAGACGAGGATGCCCCACCCTCACAGTTGATATCCAACCGTACAGTCATGATCCTGCTACCACTAACCCTAATCCTGAACGTGGTCTGCATGCACTACGCTTTCGGCGACATCATATCCCCATGGCTATCAACACTAGCCACCCTCCTCGCAGTACTCCTATCTATAATGGGCGTACGAGCCTTAGGCGAAACAGATCTGAACCCAGTATCTGGCATCAGCAAACTAACCCAACTCCTCTTCTCCCTCGCCACACCGTCATCACACTTCTCCCGCCGCACCGCACTAGTAACAAACCTCCTCGCCGGCGCCGTCTCCGAATCTGGCGCCCTCCAAGCCGGCGACATGATGCAGGACCTGAAAACAGGCCACCTCCTCGGCGCAAGCCCCAAAGCCCAATTCTACGGCCAGATGATCGGCAGCGTTGTCGGCGCTGTGCTTTCCACGGCCGTGTACAAGATGTACGTAAACGTTTACGAAGTTCCCGGCGACATGTTCCAGACACCCACAGCGTTTGTCTGGATATTCACTGCGCGACTCGTAACCGGCCAGGGTCTTCCTGAGATGGCGTGGCAGGCATCTTTCGTTGCGGGATCTATCTGGGTGGCACTGACAGCCGCGCGTATCGTTGCTGCTTCGCCTTCATTTGCCCACAACGGCCAACCACCAGTTTGGAGGTCTTGGATTCCAGGTGGCATTGCCGTTGCCGTGGGCATGTTCAATGTTCCTTCTTTCACTCTTGCCCGAGCTATTGGTGGTATCATTGCTTGGTGGTGGGCAAGAAAGCACGCAGCGCCCGCGAACAGTCGTCCTGGATCCAGTGGAGCTGTGGATGGTGCTGGCACTGTAGATGGAGACTCCACGCGCGGTCAATCCTACTCTCCTGAGCAGGTAGCTGAGAAGGCGGACGTGGCTTCTTCGACTGTCGTTGTTCTGGCCTCGGGTCTGATTCTCGGAGAGGGAATCATGAGTATTGTCAATCTGCTTCTGGCAAGTGGTAAGGTGCCTCATCTTTAAATAGACTCTGGCCTTCATGAACTTGGCCTTGAATGAAGCATGGGCAATTGAATTGCCAGTGCATAAGCTTATTTTTTTCGGGCATGTATTTACGCATTATTATACACTATAAATAGGTATTAAATGACTTTGGTTTGGGGTTTTGAATATTTCAATGTTATGAAGCATTTTTGCGGGTTATCAAGATACCAATCAGTCAAGTAGTAATAACAGAAGTTTTGCAATCGAATAAGTTGTAAAATTTTAGATAGTTATCTAGATACGGCCTCGCAGATCCTCCTTAAAATGTTACAGGTTCCAGGGTATTCAAACTCATTACCGAGTCATTCGCAGTCACGATCCATCCAAGAAAAGGAGAAGATGGAGGAACAATCTTCAAATGCAGAAGCCAAAAAGTTAAAGTGTAGAAGAGAAAGGGGATGGGGAAAATAAGGCAGGGCAGACATGTAAGTAAGTGCAATCAACTTCGAGACACATTTATTTCTGGTGCCAGGAAGCCATCAACGACAAGTTAAAAACACAGGTAAGATGGGATCGACGAAAATAAAAGAATAAAACAGAAATTGACAGTGGTATGTAAGGGGTAGGAATTTCGTCACGGAGTCGTACTAGGCAGGCTCACTTCCGTCCAGCGGGGAAGGTTGTCAGGACAAGGCTATGTCTATGTTCTTGGGCAAGTCCTCATTCACGAGTTGCACACCTAGGCCTCCTGGCTACCGACAGGCTTCCGGTTGATGGATCCCTGAGGGGAAATAGGAGGGGAGGAGCTCGCGGGAGGCGCGGAGGCTGGAATGGCAGGGAGCTGACTGGTAGGCGCCGGGGCAGGAGGCGCTGCAGCTAAAGGACTCGGCTTGGGAGGGAAAGCAGCGCCAACGTTGGGTGGAGAAATATTACCAGCACTGTTGCTGCGCTGGCGCTGGGTAGCAGGCATGGCGGGACGCTGCATGCCAGGGTGACCGTAGGGACCAGGGCTCATGGATCGAGGTACTGGCATGGCCGAAGGACCTGGCGACATGGAACGTGGACCAGGGCGTCCTGGAGCTGGAGACATTGATCGTGGACCGGGAGACATTGATCGTGGACCGGGAGACATGGCTCGTGGACCAGGGGACATTGAACGAGGACCAGGAGACATTGAACGAGGAACCGGGAATCCCGCGGGTGGTCCTCCGGGGTAAGGGCGCTGCTGGGGTGGTGGACCAGCGTATCCAGGACCACCAGGGGATCGAGGGCGTGCATCTCCGGGGTAGAATCGACCAGGAGGCATGCGACCGTTAGGACCCATCGGCGGGCCGCGAGGGCCAGGGCCAGGGCCTGCACCAGGGGGTGGACGTGGGCGGGGCTTCACAGGGCGGGCAGAAAGGCATGATCGTGGCGCCACTCCTTGCTGAGAACGGTCGAGGCGAACACAAAGAGCCTTGATGGGGGGTTAGTACGTATTTCGAAGGAATTGGATTTAAACAGGAAAAACTCACCCATCCATCGTCGTATTCATGAAGCATTCGCACCAGCGTACCGATGCGGAGACCGATCTCATCCTCCGCTGAGGGATTGAAGTCCATTTGAACTCGGTGAACATTATCAGCACCAGGACCGGCACCAGCAGCACCGGCAGCTCCTGCAGCGCCAATTGCTGCAGCACCACCAGCAGCCATAGCAACAGATGAGACCGACTCTCCGTCGGCACTGACGGGGCTTGGGAGGTACCAGGAACCGAATGGGCGTCAGACTCAAACGAAAGGGGGCGATGAGATTGTTCATTAGATGATCCTTGAGAAGCAATGGCTGCAGCGCCAACGGCACCGACAGCCGCGGCACCAGCACCAGCACCAACAGCAGCCGTGGGACTAGCAGTAGGGGTCTGATCAACGGGACTGAAAGGATTGACGGGGTCATTGAACGGGTTCTGGCTACTACTAGCAGACTTGGGCGGAGTGAGAGGAGGCGAGTTGCCAGTAAGGTTACGCGAAGTAGCCGCTCCAGCACCTGCAGCTGCACCAACTGCAGCACCAGCTGCGGTAGCAGTGGCAGGGTTGAAAGAAGCACCGTTGCTCAGATCCGGGGCGAATTGAGTGACAGGACGAACGTTGAGAACCGGGGGCGTCGAAGGAGTCGACGGCTTGATAGGAGGCGGAGGAGGCGGGAGACCGAATGACTTTTCGTCCATAGGCTCAGCGACTTCCTTGCTCTGCTTCTTCTTGCGGATGAAGAAGAAGATCAAGGCGGCCAAAACACCAACACCCAGAATGACACCAATGGCAACACCAGCCTTGGCACCAGAGGACATTCCCTCGGATGCAGCGCTGGTAGTAGGCGAGGCACTCGCGGCGGAGTCTGTAGCCGATGCAGTTGATGTGGCGGCCAAAGCATTGATATCTGTGCTAGGATCGGCGGTAGTGCTGGCAGAAGTGATGAAGGAGGACGTCTTCTGTGTCTCAGCATTGGTTTGCGTAGCGGAATTGTGCTCGGTGGTCTTGGTTGCCTCTGCCTTTGTGGTATCCATGGTCTTTTCAGTTTCCTTCGCAGTAGTCTTGGTCGAGGTATCCTTCTCGGTTTCCTTGGTGGTGCTGTCTTCGGTATGCTTAGTCTCCTTTGCTGTTGGCTTCTCCGTAGCAGTGGGCTGGTCATTGTCGGTGGTCTTAGTTCCAGCCACGGCAGCACCAACACCCTGATTGTTCTTGGTCGCAGTCGCAGTCGCAGTATCATCGTCATTGTTATCACCGCCCATCATTGTCTTGAAACCCCCCCACCGCACCTTCAAAGTCCTGGGACAGGGTCTTGTAAACGTAGACCACATCATCGCCGAATCCCCGTTCCTCCAGAGCCCCGTCCAGGGCCCCCTCCAGAGCCCGCTCGGCGAGGGCCTGGGCGGGCGGTGGATGTTGTGGTGTGCATGCCCGTGCACCATATTGAAAGATGATGCTTCTTGATATCGATCGCGAAGCAGTAGAAGTTGAAGCGACAATCGCTCCTAAAGAGAGAAGGAGAGTAGTAAACTGGGACCAGGCCAGGATTCCAACGCGAGTCGGGTGATTCCGAGCACCGCGTCCGTGGTCAGTAAGCACAGCTCTCGCGTTATGCGGAATGTGGATAGAAAGAATGGACAACCGGATATCAAGCGCCGCCGATAACCAGTCGAGAGAAAAGAAGGGACAACGACTTCCAGGCCGTAGGGAATGAATGACCGGGGGGGAAGGTGAGGGTGAGAAAGTGAAGGGAGAAAAGGGAAAGGACCAGAAGGAAGAGTCCGGCTCACCTCGCATCTCTCTTGATCCAACGGAGTTCCCAGATGAGTACGAGTAGTGTTCCCATGCAACAGGGACCCTGACCCGGTATTTACTGGTATTGTAGATACAAGGCTAACCTATTTTAGTGAAGATCTGGGATTTGGGGTCCCCTAAGTGGTCCAATATCTAACGGTACCTGGTAACACTAGTACATGAAATGAGGACCCCCAATACGAGGTGGCCGAGACCCAGACCCAGTGCCCTTCACTGTGCCATTCGCTGTGCCATTCGGCGGTTTTTAGTTTGCTCGCACTGGAAATTTGGATTGGGATTGGAATTTCTTGGGGGCAATTGGGTGAGGAGGAGAGGATCCACTCGATACATTCACAGAATCCAGATCGCATATCGACTTTTTGTGATCAAGGCTGGAATGCCACAATCCCTTTAATCATGATGCACATGTACTCCGTACTCGTACAGAGTACACAATAATGCGATGAGATCAATGAGATCAATGAGATCAATGATACCCCGGCCCGTGGCCCCCATCTCGTGCTTCGCTAAGAACCCTGCGCGGGGCACAGACTCCTTACGGTTTCACCACCGTCCTCTCTCCATCATCATTTGCCCCGTCCCCTGCAGGGCTAATTTCCGGGCCTCCCGGCGAACCCTCGGCTCTCCAAGCGGTGTCAAATCACATCACATTCAACAGGCCATGTCCCATTCCTAACTCGTGTGCCCTGCCCTTCGATCCATTCCTGCCTTCGCATGGTGGTTATTTTTAATGTCGGGGATACTTCCAAGCCCCATAATTAAATTAATTGCCTGAGGCGAAGGCGATCCTCTCCCCCTTCGGATTCAATAGTTAATGACCTTGACTGCCTGCCACCCTCAGCCCTGGAAATGAATGCCAATGCGGCAATGCCTGTGCCTGTGCCTGTGCCTGTGCCTGGCTCGCGAGGCTGATGCACGGCCGCCACTCCATCTAATTTTTGTGGCTGAGAGGCGTTTCAAAACTCATCATAAATTAATGTGTGGAGAAGTAAGGATGTCGGAGGGCCTGTTGAAATTAACGTCTGTTCTCGAGCCACTTTGCTCGCTCGCGGTCGCTTACCTCTTCAGCGGAAAACCGTTGCTGCGATTCATAACAAAGCAAATGGCGTACTAAATCCCGCCCGTTGGAGGAAGTGCCCGGCAGGATCTCGTCCCAAGATTGACTGGGTAACGGGTGGAACTCCACCTTGCCCCAGTCCGGCAACTTGTGTATCTCCTATGTATACTTCCTGTTAGTTTCGAGTCGTCATCTCCTGTCGGTAGGTGTGATGGGGTTCATCCTCACAGGCCATTTTTGCTCATCAGGGGTCCCCAGCGCCTTGAAAATTGAGAAAACGAGCGACAAGTCACTCCCAATGGGCCCGGAATCAAATAGCTGCCCGTGCCCGACCGCAAGAGCTTCTGCCACAACACAACCCGCGGCCCACTGATCCAACGCGGTCCCATATCCCCTATACCCAAACAGTATCTCGGGGGCACGGTAGGATGTAGTCCCCACGTCTGTGATCTTCTGGTCGGTCGGCTCGGAGCCCGGGTCTCCTTCCTTCCAGGAGATACCAAAGTCGGCTAAGTAGGCCGGGCCCTCGGCTGAGTCCATCAGAATATTAGATGGTTTGATATCCCGATGAATAATGCCGAGCTTGTGAATATGAGCAAGTGCCTGAAACAAATCGCGCAGAATGTGTCGCGTCTGCGTCGCAGTGACCATATCCCGTCGCAGCAGGTGCTCAAAATCATACCGCAGGAAAGGAAGGACCAACACTAGTCGACCTCCATCGAGAGTGAAGGTCTCAATCAACGGAATGACCTTGTCACTGCTTGCTTCACGAAGTAACCGTGCCTCCCGTGGGGCATCATGAGGAGCTGTCATGAGATGCGGGATGGTGATTTTGACGGCTCGTACTGTGCCATCCTTGGCTGTTGACTTATAAATGGTAGAATGAAGCCCATCAAAATGATGGAAGCATGATGCATATTGACCGAACTGTTGACCGGCCGACGGGTCTATAGATGATGATCCATTTGCATCTGCACCTGCATTTGCGTCTAGTACATCTAGTTGTTGGTCCGAGCTGATGGTAGCCGGAGGGGAAGATTTGGATATCTCCGCCTCATCGATGGCCTGTTGGCACAGGTGGTCATACTCTTCCTGAAGCCCAACATGAGCGTGTGAAATTCAAGATTGTCTCTCTCTCAATGTAAAACAACGGACCTTGGAGGTAGCCTGGTCGTAGAACGCAGTTTCACATTTCCTGGCCTGTGCTTGAGCCTCGGTGAAGGCAGCCGACGAAGATGACTGTTGATAGGCGGATGTACTACGATAATATGAGAATGACGAAGACAGAACACAATTGGGGTCATTGGGACTCAATTGACTGACAGCGACTGAATAGTCCTGAGACGATCCGTAAAGCCTAGGGCTTTTTTCCAGTCCATGTTGTGTTGATGCAGAAGAGTAGTAACCAGTCGTTAGTTAAAGTGTAGTAGTGTAGTAACTAACGCGGGTGACAAGGTATCATGTGACTGGAGCAATCGGGGCTGAGGAGTCACGCGATGCGGCACGCTGATTGGCCACCGCCCCAAAGGTCGCCCTTCCCGGCCATCGTCATTCCATCCCCATGGCCGCCCTCGGCGACACCCTATGATTCCCGCATTCATTGATTCCCCGCATCCTCTTCCCAAGCTCTTTTCTTGTGTGCTCCCATTCATCTGATTATGCGCTTCGTGGATTGTACACAATTTTGATCGCGATACCATGGAGCTCTCTCGGCAGGAGTACCCGGCGCTGCTGGTATGCTTGTCTCCTCACGAACCTCATCGAGTTCAACCTCGTCCTACCTGAATACCCACTGACCGCGGAAACAATGTTTCTATTGGTTTAGGCTACTCTGCATCCCCATCAAGCAACTACCATCCTCAATGATCGCATTCGAGTGATCAACAAAATCCATACGGATATCGCGGACTTCCTCCAGGTATGACGGCCGAGGTCTGGTTTCCGCCAGATCCCGTTCGATTTCACATTCTTGGGATATGCGGGGTGTGATACTGACCTGTACCCGACAGGAACGACGTCGCTTGGAAGAGGTTTACGCCCAGAGCTTGCGAAAGCTGGCGCATCGCCCCCAACTGGACAATGGCGCTGCACTGGGGTGAGTGGAATCGTCTTGGAGAGGACACTGTCGCCCGATTGGCAGCAATTAGAGTGGCTAATCGTCTTATAGTATATTCCAAATCCCCTGGCAACGAATTATCAACGCCACCGAAACCCTAGCCGTCTCGCACGAGACCCTTGCGAACAAGATTGAGGAGGACGTGGAACGGCCTCTCAGGGAGTACAGCAGCAAGAACCGCGACATGCATTCGATGTCTGGAATCCAGAGCAATCTGGCTGGATTGGCCAAGAATGTCGAGACTGCGCAGAAGAAAGTGGACAAAGCCAAGGGCAAGGGTACGAAGGGCGCAGACAAGCTAGCCAATGCGGTGGCTGAAGCAGAGGAGATGAACCAGCAATGGGACTCCCGCGCACCGTTTGTTTATGAGCAGCTCCAGGCCGCTGATGAGGGCCGACTCAACCATCTTCGCGATGTCCTCACACAACTTGAAACACATGAGGTGGACCAAGTTGAGCGGGGTCGGCAAGCCGCGGAAAGTTGTCTAAATGTTCTTCTTAACGTTGAGACCGCCGATGAGATCAAGACATTCGCCGCCAAACACGCTGGGGATCGGGTGCCTCTCTCGCCGGTCCCATCGCGGAGACAACAACCCCAGGCGGATGCTCCTCCTGTGGCCCCTACCACTCCGGCTGCAGTTTCGACACCTGTCGCTGAGCCACTTGAGCCTCCTCGCTTTCAGGATGATGCATCCAGCCAGCGATCGGAATCTGTGCAAACTCCTGTCCCAAGAGCGGAGACCACCCCTGCTTTTCAAACACCACCAGGTAAGCCATTGAATCGATCTATACTCTTGTCAAACGTGACTAACATGAATTTACTTCCGCGTTGAAGCCCCCGAGGCAGTTCCCAGGAACACTCCTTTGGGTGGCTTGAGGCGACTCGGCACCGTGATGAACCGTCGCAAAAGTGTGATCGGACCATCAGCTGGAAGTTATGAAAAGAAGTCCGAGAAAAGTACCGAAGTCCATTTGGTCCGTTCAAGAGAAGCGAGTCCGCCAGGGATATGCAAATCCCGGAATCGCCGCCAACAACTTCATCGGGTCGACCAGGAACAGCCTTGACCGAGGAATCAGCACGGAATCCCAGTGTTTCACAGGATCGTACTGGGGTGGAAGCCGCTGTGCCTGCTCCAGTTTCCCAGCCAGAGCCAACCACTATGAATGGTACTTCGCCAGAGGCCCAAGCTGGACTAGTTAGCAATGGCACTACTCAGGTACGTGGCATTCCTCTAAATTGATTTAGAACTTTGCTTACTGGATTCCCAGGCCCACGTTGATTCCGAAGGATTCACTGAACGGCCGTCAACCGTCGACGAGATAACGCGTGCGCAAAGAGAAGCATCAGGGTATGTGAAAACCTGTTCTGTGGTTAAGGACATTATACTTACGAAACCCTAATCGCAGATTCGAGGATTCTGGTATGAACTTGACTATTCGGGATCAACCTATCTTTGAGGATGAAAATCAGGCCCAGCAGGCAATGGATGACATGGCGAACACCTTGCGCATGGTAAGCAGTACTCCGTGACACCAAAACTCCCACGGTCATCGTACTCATACATTCCATAGCGAGCTCCGATGAGACGGAACGCAGGCACTATTCGGGGCCGTCGTGACGTACGAAACACGGTATTCGTTCCGAACTCAAGCGCCGAAATGACAGCAACTCAAGCCGCACCAGAATTGTACGCTCCGTCCTCGCCAATCAGACATGCCCCGTCTCCTAGCAATGCGACAGAGGAACATGCTATGTCAGACACCACGTCTATTCGCTCAGGACACACAATCCAGGGGGCCGCCCCTACTATTCACCCTGAGCTCCATGAGTCTGGTCTGAATGCATCCATCATTGAAACAGTCAGCGCATGGTTCTCTGAAGGCAGCGTGACCAAATCTATGGTAGTTGGAGAACTGGCTTTGGCCCACAACCCAATCCCAGGGACCACAGCAGACGCCCAGAAAATCCGTCTGGAGAATTTCCCAGTGTTGGAAAAGGTTGCCGCCAACCCGCACTTTGTTCACGGAGACACCGCGGATGAGAAGCGCGGTGAATACGACATTCAGCTCGGCAGCATTACTCGACCAATCCCAACTGTCGCTTTCAAGTACCAGCTGCACTTGGATCCTAATAACCCATCAGCATACTGTCCAGTTATCTTCAAGCCAGCCTGGAATCTACAAGAGCTCCAAGCCAGCGCGATTATATTCTATTCCCTCAACCCTGCATTCATCTCGCCATCTGCTGACCCTATCGTCTTGAAAAACGTCGTGTTGACTGTCGGCCTGGACACCTCCACTGAGGATGAGGTAACCAAACAGCCGCGCGAATCGGTCGCCCATGCGAGCAGCGCCGTCATGCACCCGAACTCGGGCGCCAGCTTCCGCCGCAAGACTTCTTCGGTCACTTGGAGGATTCCTGAGCTGGAGGTGAAGCCACCCGGCTCCGGCGAAGAGGGCAGGTTCCTTGTGCGCTTCTCCACCTCTACCCCGGGTCCTCGCAAGGGTAACGTCGAGGCAAAGTTCGAACTCCGCACCAATGAGACCGGTGCTCGCCTAGGAATCAGCCAATCTGTCTCTGACATGTCCACGAAAGAAGCCGATCCATTCTCCGATGCCGCGCCTCAGAGCCCGGCCCCCTCTGCTACCTGGCAGGAACTCCCAACTGTCCGTAAGCTCGTCGGTGGAAAATACGTCGCTGCTTGAATAAGTTTTTTGTGATCCATCTTGTTCATATATACCCTGTCTGGAGTCGAGTTGTTTCCTTCACATTTTGTCCTTTATCATGGAAGATGCGAGGGAAAGACGGAGAGAAAAGACTGAGGATGATTGATAATGTTTGCCCTTTTGCCCCTCCCCTTGTTTATGGCCCTTCTATCGGCTTTCCGTTCCTTGCAAATAGCGCGCCTTTTGGTTTCTTTTGTGAATTTGGTCTTGTAGCTAGGCATTTAACTTGCGTATGTACGTTGTGAAGACCTCGGTCTTACAGTTTTCGAATCGGATATTCTCTTGTTTATTGAAACTTATACATCATAACTCAACTCCACAACCACCACAAGCCTTCAAACAGACCAAGGTCGGACCGCATTCAAAAGATCCAAATGCACCTGTGCGTCACCAGTTCTCTTCAAAGCCTCCTCAAAGAAATCCGGCCCAATACGCTCACTAAAAAGCAAAACACTCCCCCAAATAAAATCAGCATAGCTTATAGTCTCACCCAAGAAGAACAGCCCTTCAGTCTGCTTCAGCGAAGCGGTAGCTTCACGAAGAACGGGCTCTGCCTCATTCCACGCTTTCTCCCCACCCTTCGTCTCCTCGAGCTCTTCAACGCTCATCCCGACAAATGCCTTGCGAGTCCGGTACCAGTGTTCCAAGCTGGCGTCGTTGAGAATTCGCTTTGGGACTTGGTTCAGGAATATAGGCATGATGGCGCCCATGTATTTCCACCAGAGAGCGTCGACTTGATCCACGATGCTGGAGTCTAGGTGGAGCGAGGGCGAGGGGTGTTTGCTTTCGAGGTATTCTGCGATCGGACGCGAATCCATCATGTATTTCCCGTCAGGTGTGATGATTGCTGGGATTGTGTAGCGTGGGAATTTCTCGTTAGGCGGAAGGCTGTAAGGGTAGTAGGTTAATATAATGTCAACATAATATTTTTTAGTATACTTGTAGACGTACTGGTTCTCCAATTCCGGTGTGATCTCGGGGTATTCCAGCTAGGGTGACTCATTAGCGATTGTCGTAGTTGCTGGTTTGTTCAATGTACCCAGCGAGTGTTATAGTCAATTCCCTTGAAGTTTAAGACAAGGCGAGCTATCAGGTGATACAATGTTAGCAAATTGCTGCACAATTGATTTGACCTGACTATGTATTGATTGACGACGCACTCTTCCAAGGGTTAGGGGTCCATGTCGAACCAGGCGACCTGCTCGCAAGGTCGTAGAACGTGTACTGGTTGGATGACATGGTTCAGGTCTGGGAGTTACTGGGCGTAAATTGAATTGAGAAGGAGTTGAGCAATGAGGAGATGGATTCCATGAACAATTGGAGGGGCATCCTTATTTATCAGCACGGGTGGAGATCATGCCGATCTTTCGGTGGTGGATACTCGTACTGTAGACTTCCTCGTACTTCCAAGGTTAATGGCCGAAATCCTGCCAAACAAACCCCGACAGTCGGGCACCGAATCTGGAAAGTAAGCATTGTGGTTTCAGAGAACTAATAGTACCACAGGGCAAATGGGTTTGGCGCTTCTTTCTAGTTTCTCACTGGGAAAAGCCATTAAGTGAGATGTGGTTAGTTTCATCTCGTATCGTTGAGTGGTGCATGTTGCTAGAAGCTGACTGTAGCCTTTAAATTTGCATCGACAGGGTGGAGAGTAGTACAAGTGGGGTGAAGTGACTATGGCTCTGACTGTGAATCGGACTAAGAGGCAGGGTTTGGATTATACTAGTAGCCTTCTGAAGTAGACTTCATACAGACAGCCATATATGGTACATAGACATAGTGCAGCGAAGCACAACGGATTACATCACATTAGATCCGGGCCGCTCTGGTCGTCTTATCATAAAAGTCCAAGGTCATAGCGGCCAAGAAGCAAGGTATATCCTTCCGTTCCTCCACCCAGAACTTGATCAAATGCTTGATCTCCATTGCGAAAAGACTATTCGGTCCCCGGAGATCTTCATCGTCCCGTTCTCACCATCGAAAACGATGGAGTTCTCACCTCCATCACCCATGCTACCAGCGCCGCGGGAGTTGGAGGGATCGTCGCCATCGCCGTGGCGGTAGGCCGAAGAAAGATGGAACATAGAAGTCACTCGAACACGGCCGTTCGGGAGGAAGTCAAGTTTAAAGCCGAGGAGAGAGGCGACCGCTTCGCGAAACTCGGAACTCTTGGCCGTCCAGATTTCTTTGAGACGACGCATGCGCTTCTCCTTGTCTGCAATGACGCGATCCATGTCCTGCATCTCAAGCTTGAGACTGTCAAGCGTGCTTACGGGGACAGCTTTCACGCCAGAGTTCTCCCCGCGGAGCTGAGCGAGAAGAGCCTGGTTCTCCGAACGTAGTGTTGTCAATGTGGACATCTTGATCTTCTCGGCCTCGGCGGTCGGATTATCGCGTAGTTCGAGAACACGAGTGCGCGACTTAGATTTGAGAGACTTAATTTGAGACTTGGCGGCATCCAATTCTCGACGTCCAAGTGTCGTGGCCTGCTCTGCTTTAGAGAGGGCCTCCTGCAATTTGCGGTTTTTCCGCGTGAGTACAGAAAGACGTTCACTGTCGACCTCGCCTTCTGCAGATGACAAGGGGCGCTTGGTACCCCGGGCCTGGCCATCATCTTGAGCTGGCGGAGGTGGCGCCTCCCTCTTGGAAAGTTCCTCGTGCGCCGTTTGGAGCTCATTGCGGTACTCATCCACAATTTTTTGTAATTGTGCAATCTGCTCCGCCTTTTGCTCGTCATAGCTCTTGTCTTCATTCATTGTGATTTCCTCCTCATCGAAAGCCTTGAGTTGAGCCCGAAGATATTCGACTTCCTTGACAGCCAGAACACGCTGTCGCTCCAGCCGTGACTTAGCCCGAGCCTCAGCTGCTGCGGGGGCTGCACTAGAGCCATTGGCAGAGGAAGAGGCGACCCGTAACTTTTCGATTTCTTGGCGAAGGGTAGCTTTATCATTCTCCAAGATCCTAATCGCTTCATCCCTCTCGAGGAATTGCGCATCAACAGTGCCAAGTCGATCAACCAGCGTCGCCACTTCAATTTGCGCCTCTGCCAGCGCTTTGACAACCGCTTCAGGAGAATCGAATTCAGCCGATTGATTGTTGTTTTCAAGCAGGCTGGTCCAAGATTGCCGTTCATCCTCGAGAACCTGTTTCTGAATCTGCAGTGTACCGACCTCGGCCTCCAAGTCTTTCATAGCCATTAGCTGGTTCTCGAGTGACCTCTTTTGCTCCTGGACCACCTCGACATTCTTCTGGACCTTCCGTAGATATTGTAGTTCCGCGCCTTGTTCCCGACCCGTCGTCTCCAATTCGCGAATATGGCTGACTTGTTCAGAAAGTTCTCTTTTTAGAACGGCCAGTTCTTCGGCATCGCTCCCCTCCGATTTCAGGCGAATGTTCTCCGACTCAAGCTCCGCAACTTCGGTTTCGCGTTGAGTCAACTTTTCTTGTGTTGTCTGCTGGGAGGTGCGAGCCGCGTGGAGATCATTTTGAAATTCCTCAATGGTCTTTTGGAGAGATGCACGAACGGTTTCCAGTTCATTTATCTGATACTTAGAGTGTCGCTCCTGGTCGGACAAACGTGCTTGTGAATCGTCTAGCTCCTCTTGTAATGCTTGTCTTTCATCCTGCAGTGTTCGGTTTTTGCGTTCGAGGCTCGTCCTGTCAGTGAGTGCCTGCTCCTGTGCCTCCTTTAGTTCCTTTGCCAGGGTTTCGCTCTTGTTGATGGCGCGATTCGATGCTGACTCTGCTGCCTGTTAAATAACACCGTAAGTGAAGGAACATTGAAGAATGTCAGGATGAGGATAACGTACTTGCGCTTTTCGGAAGTCCGCATCCGCCTTTATTTGAATCTCACGAGTCTCCTTCTCATGTTGCAAGGTTTGTAGTTCCTGTTCTTGCTTGATATTCTCGAGTTCGTATCTCAGGGTGCTGACTTGCACCCGTAATTCATCCTTCTCCGCATCTGTGTCTCGAGATTAGTGTCTCGTCGCGTCTTGTCTTTGTTAATGGGTGAATGGTTCCTCACCGCGCAATGGGTGTTGCGGTAAAGGTTGGGAATGGGTAGTTTGAGTAGATTGCCTCAGCGACCTTCGCCCACTTGCTGGAGTCGAGGGCGAGGCAAACCCAGCAACCAACTGGGATGCTGGTCGCGTCGACTGACTTGGGTCCATGGGGGGCCCCGGTGGTTGTGATGGCGGATGTGGCCTGTCTGTCCAAGGAGCGTCAGTGAGACTCGGCCGCGGACCAATTGTCTCGAACCCCTTGAGGAGTCACGCTTTGCACTCGAGTTCTTAAATCAAAAGGATAGGATTGAGAGTGTCTCAAGTGTGTTAAAGCTCACTGGCGACTGCGGCGGATGTTTGGGCCTTAGTCATCCGACCAGAGCTACCGGATCGGGACTAGCGTCTTCAGAAATTATTTCGGAGAGTTGCGCAGCGCACTTTTTTCTCTACACACCATCAAACACACCCCACCACCTCACGCCCCCGTTTTTTACACAATCGTCATAATGGGCAAGGACAAGGTCGAGAAGGAGAAGAAGCGCGCTGAGAAGAAGGAGAAGCGTTCCGAAAAGGACGGCGTTGCCAAGCCCAAGAAGGAAAAGAAGGAAAAGAAGGACAAGACCGCTCTCGCCGATGCGGTAGAGAAGGAGATCACCAGCCAAGTCCTCGAGGGACTGGACCAAGCCGCCGCTGCCGGTGTCGCCGAGGTTGAGGTTGATGCCATGGCCATCGACCGCCCCGTTGGTGCTGTTGTGCCTTTCGCCAACCCTCTGGTTGAGGACAAGCTGGCCAAGAAGGTTCTCAAGACCGTCAAGAAGGGTATGCCAATCAATCCCAATTCCTCGGAAGAATCATCTTTTGCTTCTGTCATCTTCTCGTCTGTTTGTGCTTGTAAATTTGCCTTGCTTCCCTCTGCAACATGCTGCAGGGCCAGTGCAATGCAAATCGAACGCATATTTGGAAAACGATGTGGATTGCCATCCAATTGAACTATTCACTAATCTATTTCTTATTTTACAGCTGCCGTCAACAAGTCTCTCAAGCGCGGTGTCAAGGAGGTCGTCAAGGCTCTCCGCAAGTCCGCCATCCCCGCCGCTAACGCCTCCATCGATATTCCCTCCGCGGTCGTCATTCTTGCCGCTGACATCTCCCCCATGGACGTCATCTCTCACATCCCCGTTCTGTGCGAAGACCACGGTATTCCCTACGTTTTCGTCACTTCCCGCGCTGAGCTCGGTGCCTCCGCCGCTACCAAGCGTCCTACTAGTGTGGTCATGGTGACCCCCAAGTCGGCTGGCAAGAACAAGGATGCCGATAGCGAGGACTTCAGCGGAGTCTTCGAGGAGTTGGCCAAGCTTGCCAAGAAGGAGTGCGAGAAGCTGACCGTTTAAGGTGATTGCTTGCTTGCTTTGTCCTTTTTCGCTTTTGTACCCACCTTCCTGGTTTGCTAGTGGGTTCACGTATTGTGTACAGGTTATGGTTCTCGTCTGATAGGACTGTGCATGTCTTTGGGGGTTCGGCCTTTGGGTTTCTATATCATTTCTTTTACCATGTTTGCTTTTCTGCTGTTCGGCGTTCTATCAACGGTGTATGAAAAAAGGCAGGAAGAATTCCCAATGAGAAATCACCCCATACATCCTTTTGAAACTACCATCGTACTTGTCAAAACACGGCACTTACCTAAGTGGGCCTCCATGCGATTTGGCTTGTCAGTGGATGACATTCCATGTGCGCAATCTGCGGCCCAGTCCGTGCCTCGGTGCTGCAGTGTTTTGATTGATTTCCATTTCATAGATTTCGCTGGTTTTAGTACGATACCACGAAGCAATCATCTAGTCACACAGCTTGACATTTTGTTGACATAGCACTACTATCTGACTTGCCAGGTAGAGCGTGACAGCACGGTTACACAGCCACTGGGTTCTAAGTTGTAATTGAACTTGCCTATCAGTTTCCGGGATCAGTGAACAAAAGCTCGGCTGGTAATCCCAAGTGTCAGTGTCACCACTTCGGGTGGAGATAGAGAAAAGAAATAAAAATGAGTGCAAAAAAAAAAAGTCCCGAATTGCTTCAATAATGGAAAACGGAACTCGCACTGGCCATTGCTAGCGTCGAACCTAGCCGATCGGCCTTGCATCCGACCCGAACTATCAGGCCGGTGGCGCTATCATTCCAGGTTGCTGAATCTGATCAATCCCTTTATTTCTTAAAAGGTCGAACAAGGGGGAGAATTACATACCGCACCACAGATGAGATCAAAATTGACCAATTAGAAGGAGAATAGACTCAAAAATCCCAACTAGCCGGATACATCTATCTTCTGCCTCGCCCCTCCTAGATTCAAGACTTAGTTTTCTGTCCAGATTTTTGGCGTCTGGTAGGTTGTACGTGGTATCTTTCTCGTCTAGAACTGCAGCCCTTGCGGGAGGTCCCCCGGTCACCCTGTTGCCCTACCCCAAATCGTCATTATAAGAAACGCCCACGTCGCCTCGTAAATGTAAGATCTCTTTTTTCCCCTTCGGCGTTCTTTCTTGCATAGTTCATACATATCATGCGTCACCCGACATTCGTTCTATAATCAACATATTCTCTCCTTAATATAATCGATACTATTTCCGTGCCGCTGAAGATGATAACCCTCTGTCCTCGGGCCTGGGCCGTGACTGTGCTTCTTTTGACAAGTGTGCATACGGCCATATCTCATCCCATACAATCATCGCAATGGGTGGGGAGTCGTGATATCAATGATGCGAACACGCAACACGCGCGTACGCCCTATGATGAGGGAAGAAGCTTTTCGTCTCTCGAGTCAGCACAGGCCAAATTCAAATTGGTCAGTTTCGCATCTTTTCCTGCCCATCGTTCAAAGCTCCGACTTTTCTGATACTCTATGAAGTCGAACTCAGTCAATAGTGACCCAGCCATTGAGGGGGAAGAACTCGACAACTCGTATACCCCGGGTGACGATGTGCCCGCTAAATCAGTTGTATCAGTCCTGATCCCAGTCTCACCCATCTCGGTCAACTCACATGAATTCTACGGCTATGACGATGAACTTGGAAGTGACCCCATCAATTTGGTCGAGGTGACGAACAAGAAATACGGCCAAATGTTGGGCCATCCGAAAATACCATATGATGCAATTCATGGATACGAGTCTGAATTCTACTCTTCGGGACCAAGATATTCGTCCGGCCACTACATAACGTTTCTCTCTTATCGAGTTTCCATCCCTCTTATGAAATTCTTCCCGGCGTCTTTCCCAGCATTCCCGCTCCCCGGTATTTTTACGACGGTTATTGTTCTTCTCGCCTTGGTGTGGGTTGCGATTTTGGCAATCGGGTTGGTTGAATTTGGCAATTATTTGTGGAACGGACATGATGAGGCGAATGAGACAGGACAACGCTCCGTTGAAGATGGGTTAGATGATGACAGTGAAGAGTATGAGCTTTCTGAACATAGTGAAATGTCGAAATTGCCTCTACATCCGGTCGAATTCCCTATGCTTGTGGCAGAGGGCCCCGATCACGAAGGTTCACTTTTGATGTCGAGCACCTCGGACTTGGAATCAGAATCGGAGGTTGACAATCATCGAGTCATTTGAGTCAGAACTTACTCGGAATATTTAGGCGATAAATTAATCAAGCGTATATATGCTATGCTAATTGGTGATCAATGGATCTTTGTTCAGAGTAGTTAAAGTAATTTGTAACTGTTTCGAATTTTTGTAAATATATTTTACATCATGTAAAGATATGCACTCATAATCCATCGTGAGCCCAGCTCCAGGCATGGGCTAGCTAGATTAACAAAACGCTTGCTAGCTCAGGTGAATTCAATAAAGCATTAAGGGTAAAAAAAAGGAGCCCTTTTTAAGCGCGCTGGTCCCGCTCCAGAGCTTCAAAAGAAGTCGGGTTGCCAACGTGCTCCTGACGAGGAACACCAGCGTTCAGCGCGCTAGTGGCGGTAGTCTGCTGGAACTTGTTGATAGCAGCGCGACCAGGGTCATCACTGGTGCCAATATCGGTGGTAAAGCTGGCATTCTTCGCAGTGGGAGAGTGGAAGTCACCTTCGTGAATGTTTCGGCCGTCGGGCTTCTGGTGCTGATAACCATCGGTTACATCAGCGATGTATGAAGGAGCCTGGCCGGCATTGTATTGGCTGCTTCCGCTGGCAGGAGTCTGATCTGCCAGACCCATCTGCTGCTTAGCAGCGGTCGGGCCACCAACGTAGCCGGACTGTGAGAGGTGGGCACCAGGGAAATCACCCTGGCCGCCGAGAGCTTCAGGGTACTTCTCCTGGCGCTCACGGTCATCACGAAGACCACCAACAGAGGCAGGGGGAAGCTTGGTGGCTCCAGAGGAGTTGCTGTTCTTCAAAGAGGACTTGTTATAGGATGTAGGCTCGGCGCCGCGGTTGTTGGAGAAAGCACCACCCTTGGCAACGGACTCAGCCGCGAGGGAGTCATTGGCGACAGGGCCTGAAGGCTCCTCAATGGGCTGCTGAGAGGCAAGAGGGTCGGTGGTGACCTTAGTGCTGCGGGTGCCGTGAGGAAGAGGAGTGCCCTGGAGATCCATATTGAAGGTGTATGAAGTGGAAGTAGAGAAAAGGTGTGCTTGATTTCACTGAGTTATTGAAGGGTGACAAGAAGGCTGATTGTACAATTGATTAAATCAATAACTTGAATAGGATGAAATTGCGCGAGGTGATAGTAGATCTAAATAGTCCTAGGTCAAGACCTCTTAGCAACATATGAACACATACCTACTGACCAGCTAACGGGCCTACGACGTTCTCGTAGAAGGAAGAACTTGATATCACAATGAGTGATGTCACGCTTACGATTCCCTCATGGCCTTCAACAGATTCCAGCATGATCTTTATCCTACAGCAGCAGTCACATCAACCAGTCTTGCGATCGAAGCGTTCTTATTGGCGGGTTCTTGAAATCTGATCAAAGGCCGGCGGAACCGCTACGTCTGTGTGGGGGCCCTGTCCATCAATTTTGCGAGAAATTCGTTGTCAAAGAGGAGACAGAACTCCACATGCTTAATGCATCGTGGATCCATGAGTTCATGAGTAATGAGACTTTTAAGGGTCTGGAATTGAAACTGGGCAGATATCAAAGTCGAATTGGCGGTTGACGTCAGGGCTACATAATCACGTCAAATTGCCACCATTCCCGAATAGGTAATCTTTCACTTGTACACTGCAATCATTTGCAAATGGTACGAGGATTATTCTGTTGCATAGTTTATCTGTGTAAACTCAATGTTTTACGACTGTCCTATCACTGCAGATCATGCGGGTTCACAGTTCGCAGCAATTTCAGATAAGTTGTTGGCGCAGCTCGGTCGAGAGTCGGAACACTGAGCGACCGGCAAAAGCAAGGCTACAATATACATACGATTGACGTTTGAGAACGGTTTTGAAGCTAACTTAAATTACTAGTTATTGGTAAATGTGTATTTTAATTCATTCGCTCGTAATTTGAGTGCAAGTAATTTGTGCAAAAATGAATATCGTACATGTGATGATGGATACAGTAGTCCATCGCCCATTATCCATCGAAATCATTCAACAAGTGTCGCTAACAGTGACCTTATCAGATTATTTTAATTTCCTTTTGAACTCGGCTTTATTTGGGTGCGGTATTCTTGTGCAGCTCGGACCCAGAGACACGAACGCTGCTGCTGGCGGTAGATGGCCCGCGTAGAGCGTCATCGGCACCAATGGAGGTAGGACCTTCAAGGCGACCGGAGCCGACGTTGACAGTTCGCTGGTCGGAGGAGTTCCAGTCACTAGCAACCGGAGGATCCTCTGGCAGAGGCAAGTTGGCCTTGGTCTCGTCGATCTGCTTCGACTTGTTGGTGTTTTGGTCGATGATAGACTAGGATACAAAGTATTAACGAGGGCCAATTCCCTTTTCTTGATGATAAATTCTCACCTTCATATTGGAAACATCAGAATCGGCAGGAATCTTTCCACCATGCTGTTGGGAGACACGAGACTCTTCCTTGCGCAAGTCCTGGCGAGTGGTGTGGTAGGTCTGATCGGACATTTTGGAGGTATGGGAAGGTTTTGTTCGGGAAGGTTTTGTTCGAGAAGGTTTTGTTCGTAAAGAAGAAGGTTACTTTCAAAATTGGATATTCTAGAATCTCGAAGAGACCTAGTAGTACTCTTATAGTATTCCTATAGAGTGTGATAAGAGATGACGTTTGCCCTTATGACGACATAACGGCAATCCAGACCATGGATACGAATAACATATGCATTGGAGCCCTCAGAAAACAAGTCTAAAGCTCACTATCCTTGGTTATTCGAAATGCCCCGCAAAACTTGAGTCGACGCTTCACTTTCTTACTCCACACTTGTAACCAATATTCTATCCTTCTTCGCTGCAATTATCATGAATGCCAACGGCACTCTAAGCAATGAAATCATAGATATGTAATCTAACTTATGTCCTTACCAAGATTGGGTAGTAAATATGGCATAATGTTATGAAGCTCATGCTTCAAATGTTTGAGCTATCCTACATACAGACCTTCCGATTCACCGGAAGAATTCATGAATTGACGAAATTGATCAATTTGATGTAACGAGTAGTATGAATTCCGAATAAGATTTTAACCAGAAACACTGTTCTCATCCTCTACGAGACAATTGAGTATGCCAGCAAACGCTAGTGTTACTGTGTGCTCTGGGATATACATGAACTTATGCGCCAATATGGTCTATATTTCGATCTTATTCTATTTTCAATCCTATCTGGTTCATCCTCTTCAGTTGTATACTACAGGCTGTCGGCGACCAAAATGGGAGGCGGTGGGTGTTCTGCCGGTACCTTATGTTTGCACCGTCTGGTCTGAGGCTAACTACTGTACGTATCCAAATAGCCTGGCTGTAGTCATGGCCTAATAGGCGTCGCATTATGTATGCGCATGCGCCGATGAAAGAAATCAAAAATTGAAGCTGACTAGGTTCCAGGCTGTTGGAGATCATGGTATTTGTTCAGGGACCTGTACTTAAAAATTACCGCCTTCTACTTTTGAATGGCAGAAAATGATTCTTATCGCAACTCCGAAGTCCTCAGATCAGATCGCTTGGCTTGTGCAGGCAGTCAAGAGGTTTTCTTTGTTTGTTGTTTTGGTTTCTACACCGGTCGGAATATCTTAAGATGCCCCGTGATCCCTTAATTGGCCTAGTCGGCAAGGTTCGTCGCCCCATACTCAAATCGTGACCCCGCTGACCATGGAGGGGCACAGCCGTCGAGTGGGAAATCTACAACATTGAACAGTTTGACCGATGCCACTTCAAAAGTCGGTAAGTACATGCTCGTTGTGGTATTTCTATGATCGACCTTACTGATTTTAATTCGTTCTCTAGGCAATTTCCCGTACGTCCACCTTCCATTGCTCGAGCAAGGACGAGCACCCCGGCTTATCGAACAAACCTTGCGCTAACAATTGACGCTCGGCAGCTTCACGACCATTGATCCCCAGCGAGCCATTGGATACCTGCAGATCGATTGCCCCTGTCAAAGACATGGTATATCCGACCGTTGTCAACCAAACTATGGTGGATGCCACGAAGGACGACGTTCCGTTCCGATTGAGTTGCTAGATGTCGCCGGACTTGTTCCTGGAGCGCATCAAGGTCGCGGGTTGGGCAACAAATTCTTGGATGATTTGCGTCATGCGGATGCGCTGATCCACGTGGTGGATGTGAGCGGTACCACTGATGCCGAAGGCAAGGCTACTCGAGGATATGACCCCTCCGTGGATATTGAGTGGTTGTACTCCGAGATCGTGCGCTGGGTCCTGGGTAATTTGATGGAGAAATGGTGAGTTGGAGCCATGAAAGGATTCTACTAGAAATGGCTGGTCTAACAGGTATTTTCAGGGGATCAATCAAGCGGAGACACGTCGCAACGAGTCAGTATAATTCTTTCGAGAAATATGCCTCATGCCTCAACTACTAACACTATATATAGAGGCGAACCCTGTCGACACATTACAAGGTCAATTTTCAGGATACGGAAGTACCCCCTCCGTTGTTGCCCGTTGTTTAGACAAGCTTGCTATGAAGGAACCTCTCGAGCACTGGTCCAATGAGACCGTGGAGCTTGTGGTTAAGACATTTATCAACGAAAAGTTCCCCACGGTGTATGCTTTGAACAAAATCGATCACCCGGATGCAGATAAGGTACTATTTCTTGTTACATATTCTTGGGATCCGCATGTGCTAACCGAAGCCATAGAATGTGAGCAAAATCGCCAAGATGCAAGATCCCCAGAGCATCGTGCTCTGCTCGGCCATATCAGAGGTTTTCCTCAGACGTTTAGCAAAACAACAATATGTCAAATACGTTGAGGGAAGTGAGTTTGTGGACACGCGGGAAGATTTGATCGAGATGGGCGAACCAGATGGTGGAGGCCTGAAGGAGATGGACGAGAAGTTGAAAACGTGAGTTCGCAACCCCTATGGCAGATAAGGCTCCCTACTAACCAAATTCATCAATAAAGCCGGGTGGAGAACCTGAAAGATATGGTGTTGTACCGATTCGGTTCGACCGGAGTCGTGCAATGTCTTTCTCGTGCTGCTGAGCTACTGGGTCTTGTACCAATCTTCCCCGTGCGAAACCTCCAGACCTTTAGCTCCGGGTCAGGTTCAGCGGTATTCCGCGATTGTGTCCTAGTCAAGAAGTAAGTGTTGTGGCGGTCTTTTTATCCGAGGACTTGCTGACAACAAGCAGAAACAGTACAGTGGGTGATGTAGCCCGAAAGGTCATGGGAGATGTGCCCATTTCCTATATTGAAGGAGTCGGCGGTACTCGAGTATCAGAGGACGACATTGTCGCTGTGGGGAAGCACGATGTAAGTCTTTATCACTGGTCTCTGTATCAGAAAATCCACTGGACGGACATATTGATACTAATCACCATTTTCTCGCAGATCCTATCATTCAAGGTCGGTCGGTGAAGCAATTACTATATACCTATTCATGAAATTCAACAATTTTAGAAGCACGAACATGCGCTCCGATAAGGCAATGAATCTGCAGGTTTTGAAGTACAGAGTAGATCGCAATCCCACTCTTCATGAGTGCTGATTTAGCCCAATAGAGATCCAAGAGACATGAATTTGGTAACTAACCGCCCTTCTGAAACAACAAATTAGGTCAATACTTTGGCAAATGTTTCGTCGGGAGAGAGTAGTAGGAACTCACTCGAGCTCGCTCGTCATTCATTCCGATTATGGGCTCTGGTGCAGCAGGGTGCTCCTTTTTGGCCTTTGCAGCATGCTTACTACCACCTCTCTCTGTTGTCGCACCAGACTTTGAGTCATCTGCGATCCATTCATTGGCCTTCCTCTCCTCCAACCCGGATGCTACTGCCGCGGCTCCTGGATCCCTTGTGTCTCCTTTCTTCGCCCGCTTGACAGAATTGTCCTTGATATCGTCACTCCGTCCACTAGATTGTGCATAGTTTTGAGATCGGGTGTAGAACCACTGGCAGGTGAAATTTGATGGCCTCCGAGTCCTCAGCTGCCGCTGGCAGTGTGTTGGTGGCGGATGTAATCGATTTCCATGGAGATATATATTCCGAACTTGAACTTGAAGTCGCAACATTTCGAGTATCCCGCAACGACTTGTACGTATGTGTTATGCTTCACAGTGCTCAGCCTTGAAAGTTCTTAACAGTTTGAACTTGAAGAGAGATTTTAATTAAGTTGAATTGAACCTTGGGGTGTGCATCTAAAGCTGAACCTGTGACTGACAGATGACAAGCTCGGGTTATGACGTCAAATACTGTAATAGAATACCAGGGAGGCGTCCCAGTAGAAAGTGACAGTCTGGGAGTTAAGATCCATGCTGCATACACAGGAGTTTCTAGGACAGAATCCGTGGAGGAAGCTTGTGCTTGAGAAGGCCTGAATCTAATACTAGTAGTTATGGCTGAGTCTTGACGGGTACTATGTCCTGTAAATCTGCCACCAGAATGAGGATACATCCTCCACTACTTTATTCCCAATATTATTGAATTTAAATGAATTTCTCATGTTGTGACCGGTATGCGATGCGAGCTAGTGCCGATAGAGCGTCCGATGCAGAGTTCCTGCGCCCAGCTGAACTGTGGAGACCAATAGGTAGGGTGGGTATGAGGTGTTGAATGTATTAAATTAACAAGCGAATACATATTTGAAAAGAGAACAAGACTTAGAGATTGAGAAGTAGGATATAACTGAGAAATTGAACTATTTCCAAGGTTTTGGGCCTGGGATGGACCTGACCTTACGACAATATCTGATATGTTCAGGTCCCAATTTGGTTTAGCGTTGTGCACCTGCCCCGTGTCTCCCAAGTTCGCGGGCGCGCTAATGTTAACATAACACCGCGAAGTGCTATCTTTAAGTCAAGTAGGGTCGTTGTTGTTTAAAACCAACGCATCATCGAAGAGGAAAACTTGATGAAGGACTTTTGTGATCGAAGCCATTTATTTATTATCCAAAACCCCACCGAACTTCTGCCCCTTTGGCGCGATGAGGCGGCAATATCTTCCACTTCAATCCCTGCCTGCCTGGGCTAGGCTTAATGGGATTGTTACGAATGGCGTTGCTTTTCAGAATCTAAGCTCCTCAGAGAGTGATACTGATAAAGGAAATGCGATCGTGGCAACAGAAGAAAAGTCTAGTCATGAGAACGATTCTCTTCCACAGGTTCTCCTTCAAGTCCCGCGAGAGCTGGTACTATCATTGGAAACGGTGCAGGACTATTCGAAATCCGATCAAGATTTTCGGGAAGTGCTTGAGGCTTGTGGTGGATTTGGAAGGGTCTGTTTCGTCTTCATTCTGCATACACTGGCTGTAACATGTACTGACAAGCAACAGACGACCAGAGGGGCAATCATGCTATTCCTTTTGGTTCAGATCACACATTCCAGCCCCGACACGAAGCTTCAGGTGGGGATGTCTAGCCCATGGTCTGAGTATATTAAATTCTTTCCACCGTCATTCCCGCTGCCTACATGCTATAGTGACGAGGAACAGCAATTGCTGAGGGGAACATCGCTCGCTGCGGTTATCGAGGCCAAGATTTCCTCACTAGAGCTGGAATTCAGGCGCTTACGCCAGTGTACGGAGAACATCCCATGGTGTCGACAGATCTGGTGGGAGGAGGGAACAGGCAGTTTAACCGAGGATGATTGGAAATATGTTGACGCTGCCTATCGGTCGCGTATGGTCGACTTGCCGGGTAGTGGACATGCAATGGTTCCCTGTATCGACATGGCCAACCATGTCTCTGGATCAGATGTGCGGGCGCTGTATGATGCAGACTCCGAGGGCAATGCAATTTTGCAGCTGCGTTGGGGTAAGACCATGCGCCCGGGAGAAGAAGTGACGATATCGTGAGTTCTTCTACGCTGACACCTGTCTGACTATCTACTGCTTTGCTTTGACCAGCATAACATGGAGCATATCTGACATGGCTGGCTCCATTCTAGTTATGGCGATGAAAAGCCCGCATCTGAGATGATATTCTCCTATGGGTTTCTTGAGAGCGATAGGACCGAGGAGAGCCAAGTGCTCTTGGATATGCGCGTGCCAAAGGATGACCCCTTGGATTTTGCCAAGAACTTCATGTGTAGCGAGATGCCAGGGATCCGTCTGTCCATAGTCTCTGATGCTGAATCATCGAGCCATGTATCCTGGGACAGTCCCCTCGTCTGGTTGGCGTGTGTGAACGAGGAAGACGGTCTTCACATTAAAGAAATCATGAGTCATGATGGGTCGGAGTTCGAAACTAGCTGGAAGGAAGAGACCCTCACGTCACCTCATCACCTCCGAGAACTTCTCGCCGCTGATCCATCTTGGGATATCTTTCAACTTCGAGCTGTTGTGTTGCTGCTGGAAAAAATCGAGACTCAGCTTTCCCACGCCAGAGAAATGAACCAGATTGTGGGAAATCTGCACGAGGAAATGATCCAGTCACTTTTCCGTCCTGAGATCTTCAGTTTGATATCTCAATTGAGGAAACTTGAAGGAACGCTGCTCGAAAAAGTCGTTATAGACCTGGAGAAACAGGTAAGTGGATTACTTGCAACACTTTCCAGCTTCCCTTCGAATAGTACTACTAGTATTCTATGTTGAATGTTGCGCGCTGACTGAAATCTAGAAAACCGAATTGATGAACTCGGAAACGGTCATAAACTATTTGATCCAACAGTCTCAAACGGAGGAGGTCGAAGACTTTTCATGACATAACCATGAACACAGAGACAAGAAACTTGACAAGGGACGAGAGCATCACAAGGTCGATCCCCACAAGATCTCTTCCCAGGCAACTAGACTCGCCCTTCAATAGCGTTCATCTAGTCTAAACACTATTCAAAACGGAGAAGACACGCCACTACATAGGACAAGTTTGAGTGAGAACAGGCCCCAATAAAAATACCTCTCTGCCAATGAGACGAGGCTAAATGGCGCTATGACGTGGGCCATGGATTAGTCGGGCTTTTTCAATACCTAGTCGGCGGGGCCTAGAGAGTACTGATCTACGAGGGACGACGTACTGAAGGTTGGGAGGCCTTCACCCCAGCTCCAGCTTCATTTGCGGAGTCTCCAGAGATGCCAACCCTTGCCTACTCATGGCGAAATTCGGCGCAGGGTTCTCCAAGGAAACTTTGGAGATTTATTCCATTCTATTCCATCGCACGCTGCTGCAAGCAACGCAAGCATACGCATATGTAGAACAGGCTCGATCACGACCTGCTTGTGACCAAGGTTCCTTATGAGCTTGAATGGGCTCGGGTGAAACATCGGCAGTGAGAAGTGAACGGAATAGGAAACAGTAAATATTCAAGGTCAAGGTCAAGGTCAAGGTCAAGTTGGGCCCTGCAGCAGCGTGAAGAAGGCAAACTCGGCAGCGGCGGATGCGGGCGCAAGTGTGGAGCCGATGAGCATCAATCAACCGTGGTTCTGGTTCTGGGGGAAGTCTCGCACTTCTCTCGGTCAAAACTCGCTGTGGCAATCCCTGGAAAGCGTCCTAATCAATTCACAATCATTGGCGCCCAGGTTCCCCAGTTCCCCAGTACCCCGGTGCCGTTGCCATCTTGGAATGTTAGATCCTCCACGGGGGCTTCACTCTTGAAACAAGATCGGATCATGATCTTGAACAAGAACCGGTCGGGGGAGCGGGTGTTCGCCACGATATACGCCATGCCACATTTAGGCTTACGGAGAACAATGCGACCATTAACCGCTCGCGTTAGTGCCGATGATCGGGGGCAGACAGAGGGGTCTGTGACAAGCACAAGAGGCGTGCCGCGTGTGACACGGAGGTCCGTCTCGAGACCATCCGTTCCCCCTTTTTTGAGTCGCGCGCACGGCATCATATTCCTAAGCTTGAGAGAGCAAAGCTGGGGGCAAATGTTGAAATGAATTGAAACTGAACCATGGACTGATGCCGATCGGATGTCTGTGGGTTTTCGTGTGTTCAGACACACTTCTCTGTATGGGACCGGGGAGGATTTTCGGATGCGGCAGCGTTAGATGGTTGTGCGGATCCGAGAGACTCCGGGGGTGGTTACTTTACCTTTACGAATGACGAAGGGTTTCGATTTACTCCGCGCTGTTCTCGTCTGGCCAGCTGGAGGGTATTATACGATACCCCCGGTGACCACATCGTTGAGAATCAGGATCATATGTAGCCAAGGCGCGAGAGTGTGGAGTCTGGGGGACCTCGGGAGATCTATCATGATCACTTGCTGGAGATCTGGAGAAGCAGATGCCTAAGTACAGAGCATGTGCTCCGTATACTCTAAACTTGGGACAATAGACAAATGCATGAGAATACGGGGTAGACGGTCCCTCTGGACGGTAGATGATAGCCGGTCGATCAAATCCGAAGCCCATACCCACACCCACCCTCATACCGATGGGGAAATGCTACAAAAAAAAGGAGGCAATTAACCTTTACCTTGACGGAGATTGTCCCCACTACGGAGCAGGCGAATCCTGACACTCGTAATCTCACTGGATTGGGCAGTTCGGCGGGTCAGCATCGTCTTTCTCCACGCTAACTGACTCAGCCGTGAATCCCCCCCCCTCCCCTTCGCTATTCTTCTGTGCTTCAGTCCCTTTGAGGCAAATCTCGATTCTACACCTATCCTATCCGTCTTGTTCGACTGTCGAATTCGAAATCCCTCCTACGTTCATCCTGTCGCAACACCTGTCCGAACACCAACCAACAACTCTACCGCGGCGGCCGATGTGCCCGTCTGTCCACACACAATGCCTGGTATCCTGCCCATGAAAGTAATCAAGGTCGGTGGCACCGGTACTTCAAGTCGAATCGCCCAAGCCTGTGACCGATGCCGAAGCAAGAAAATCCGCTGCGATGGCGTTCGTCCCTGCTGTACACAATGCGCCAACGTCGGTTTCGAATGTCGAACGAGCGATAAATTGAGCCGCAGGGCATTCCCTCGTGGTTACACCGAGTCTCTTGAGGAGCGTGTGCGAGCCCTGGAAACAGAAGTCAAGGATTTGAAGGATTTGCTGGACGAAAAGGACGAGAAGATCGACGTGCTGTCCAGGATACATTCTTTTTCGTCTCCGTCACAAAGAGCTACCTCGGCTCGTTCGCCGACAGCGTCAGCGTCAGCATTGGCGCATACACCGAATAAATCACCTAGCTTGGATACCTCGGAGGGAGTTGTTCATGTAGCACGGACTACTGCACACCCATCTCCCGAGAATCCTTATACGGCCCTTTCTAGTACCCAGGGCTTTGCTGGTATGTTTGAAATCATCTCCGATACAGTCGGAATAAGACCAAGATCTAACACAAGACAGATGTATTTACCAATAAACTTGTCAGCCAAGAAAAGGCGACATCCAAGATTCCCACTCAGGCACTAACGAAACTGTCGCCTCCGGTATCTCGGGGATCTTCGGAAGCTGTCAGAACTCCCCCCCGCGGCTATTGTCCGATCAGCTCATCAATATTTTCTTCCAAGAATGGGCGCCGCTTTATCCAGTGGTGCACAGACCGACTATTCTTAAGGCATATGAGCAATATCTGAATAAACCCGACTCTTTGAAACAAAATTTGCCGGGCTTGGCTCAGTTAAATCTGATTTTCGGAATCGCGAATCTCTCGTCTAATGTAAGTTCTGTGAATCCACACGTCCTAAAATACAAATGCTAAACAATCACAGTCGAGAACTACGCAAGACCCCACTTTTTTCGAAGAGAACTGGACTAGTACCCTCGATACGTTTATGGGCGAATCTTCTATTGATGCCCTGCAGTGTTTCGTCCTGGCCCAAATGTATTGCATGACAAAGGGTGACTATAAGAGTCTCCTTCGCTATCGTGCTTTGGCTGTGGATATTTGCCATCAGCTGGGACTGTACGAGTCCCAGGAGAACGTGACATCAAACCGACTTGAAACAGAAACTCGGAAGAAGGTGTTTTGGTGCCAATATGTCTTGGACCGGTATGCATTCGCTTGCAATAAAAGTCCTCGATCCTTGCTGACAGTGATAGATTTTCTTCTGCTTTGACTGGCATGCCCATCCTATTGCGCGAGTCTGATATCCAGACCGAGTATCCTGTTGATGTGGATGATGAGAATGTCACAGAATCTGGATTCTTGCCAACCCTCCCTGGCGAATCTACTCGCCTCTCGAGCGCTCTAGCGCTTTTTAATGTGTCGCGTATTCTCACAAAGGCCTTGGAAGACCTATACCCGTCACGATCTAGCTACGACATGTATGTGTCGAAGATGCGCGCCGTGTCAGGACAGCTGGACGAGTGGCTTAAGATGCTGCCTCCGCATCTCCGCCTCGAGTTCTCTCAAGATAAGCCTAGCACCAACGTCACAAGCAGCAGGTCTCCTTTACTGGTTAGTACCAGCCTAACTCTCAACTTATTTTTTTTTGGCTTTAGATGCTAACAGCCTCCTAGTCGCTCTTTTACTATTTTATTCGATCTTTGATCCACCGCCCTGCTGTCTGCTTCGCGGAGGAGAATTTGCGCTCTCCGTCAATTTTGGCCATGTCCGATTCTTCGAAGCATATTATCCAAATTCTGCAGCTACTGGATGAGCGCCGACTTTCTCTCTCTGTCAGCATCAACCGGAAGGAATTGGTGTTCCTTTCGGGACTAGGACTGTTATGGCAAACACTCAGCCTGAAACGGGACAGCAAGCTGTTGAAAGACAGCCAGAAGCTGCTCGCTAATGTCGTAGAGCAACTCGAGCAGGAATCGCCCGTGGCTGCCTCTGAGTTTACTTCGCTTGCCAGTACTTTGGTCTTCCTCGACACGAAAACGCGAGGAGCCGCGCAACCTAGCAAGGCTTCACAAGAAATGGTGGCGCCGACTCAAAAGCCATCCAGGTCACCGAAAAGGCAACTCCAATATTTGAAGGCTCGTCTCACGTCGAACGGCAATCGTGAGGAATCTCCCAAGCAGGCTGCTTCTCGTCGAAACACTATTTCCGGTGCTAGCCCTCCGCTTGGGGCCCAAGCCCTTCGATCTCCTAGCTGGACCAGTCTCCCTCCTCAACAAGACCACTTCTCTTCATCTCAATACCCGATCGATCACGGTCGTGCCTCTCTGGATCTCGGATCGGACCCTCGCCTCACATCCTCGACTTTGGGTTATGATTACCAACGGGCGATGTCGACTTCAACCGCATCGGATGTTACTAGTGGCACGAATGGCGCCATCACAATGGCGGATTGGGAATACGTGCTGAGCGATATGGATCGCGGGTATTCCAATATCTTCACTGGTATCTACGGAGGCAGAGAATGCGGCGAAGACCCGGGCCCATTCGCCTCAATCACGGCAGAGTATGCGCAAAAGCAAAATGACGGTACCCTGTCGATCCCCCAGCCGGTGACGGATGTGCATGACCTGTCTCCTAAGGCATGGTCTTCGAGCAGCGGCGATTTCGCTCCATGTCAGGACCATGTTGCGCAGAGTGTTTTGAGCTATTCTGGTGAGAGCATGGGAAGCGCCGAGGATGCAAATCTACATCACTTTGGCGATGCCCCGGCACATCCGGACGATCTTGGTCTGATTGACCCCTTCCAGGCTATTGCCATGCCGGTCGAGGGCGAACTTGATGAATTTTCTCTAGTCAATGGCTGGGATCGACGGCTGGCCGTCTGATTGTTTAGGATGCCTTGAAATTGAATCGTTCTCCTAACGGAGGACAGAATGATTTTCTTCTTTTTTGCGATATGATGATACCTTGGTGGCGTTTCGATATCTTCTCTTGGATGGATTTGGAGTTGGCTGCTATCTTTTTTCCTTGGACATATATCACCTGAATAGTATTCGAAATGCACATTTCCTAACCTTGTTACCTAACCAAACTTTCTCCTACTTACATGACTCCTTCCCCTGGACTCACGCCTTCCGCTTGCAGCTTCACAAGACACTGTTGGTCAATGAATGATTCAAGTTGCCCATGTGCGCCGAACACTTCCGGAACACCCCTAGGAACTATCTCCTGAAGACTCATGTCATAGACAGGAACGCGACGGAACATCCGCATAAGTCATCACGCCGGCCGAACCAGCGGATTGGGGGGAAATTCCACCAAGGCTCTGTAACCACCAATCTCACCACTTACGATGAAGACCCAATCAAGTCGTAGAAACCGCCACCCAGAATTGATCCCATCACGCGGCACCCACGCTTCCGCGCCACCCCTACTCGTGGCCATAAGGTCTAGCTTCGCTAAATGTGTGGATGCCATGTTTTCAACCATGGTCGAACCCCTCCAAATAGGCAGACCTTTACAGACCTGCCAAATGCGCTTCCCCACTTCCCCGGATTCTCGCTCATACGATCAGTCGTACGGAGATGGCCGCCGGCCGTGGAAGAACACCGGCGAGGCGGTTCTACAAATGAACGAGTCATCATCTCCCCAATCAGTTCACTCGAGCGATTTGCCTCCCAAGAAGAGCTCCAAGGTCCAAGAAATCAGGAATCCCCAGCTATGCGCAGCCACATGCGTGTCGGTACCAAAGCTGGCCCCGGATATCCTATAGCTGGGTGAGGTATTAAAAGGGAGATCCCGCATATTTGACAATCCTTTGCAATTTACAATTTTACACTGTTTATCTTCGCTTTGCAATACATTGTTCAGATCAAGATATTGGGTTCAATCTTCCAGACTTGTCTCGATAGACATCCGACATCATGAACTTGAAGAACATGTTCCAGAAACGGGCACAGGATCTCGAACCCAACCACCCGCCACCGAGAGAATCTGTCGGGGAATCAGTCTCCACGGTTGATCGCGAGAAAGCTCTTAATAGTAGCGATATCGTCGATACACCTATTCCCCTACTCACCTGGCGCTCCTTGGTGATGGGCCTTTTCGTGTCCATGGGTGGATTTGTGTTTGGTTACGATACTGGCCAAATTTCCGGTTTCCTTGAGATGCCCAACTTCCTTCAACGATTTGGACAACTGCAATCCGACGGGACATATCATTTTAGCAACGTGCGCTCTGGTCTCATTGTTGGCTTGGTAAGTATGCTATGTTTGAAATGACTTGCGAACTAGAGACTTGATGCTTACTTTTATGACAGCTTTCAATCGGTACTTTGATTGGGGCTTTAGTCGCTGCGCCTATTTCTGATCGCACGGGACGGAAGTGGTCTATCAGTGGTTGGTGCGTCATTCTGTGTGCTGGTGTCACTGTTCAAATATCCTCTCCTGTCGGGAAATGGTATCAAGTCGCCCTAGGTCGTTGGACCGCAGGTCTGGGTGTTGGCGCATTATCTTTGCTTGTCCCTATGTATCAAGCAGAGTCTGGCCCTAGACACATCCGAGGATCACTGATCAGGTATGTATAGATCTTATATGCCACTAGACAGTCTATCCTGCTCACACCATACCAATATAGTACATACCAACTCTTCATCACCTTGGGAATTTTTGTCGCAAACTGCATTAATTTCGGAACCGAAGCTCGCAATGATACTGGTTCATGGCGCATCCCTATGGGTATCACCTATCTATGGGCTCTGATCCTCGGAATTGGCATGGCGTTCTTCCCAGAGAGCCCTCGTTATGACTACCGACATGGAAAAGTTGAAAAGGCCATCATCACCCTTTCAAAGATCTACGGAGTGCCCCGCAACCACCGAGCTATGAAGATCGAATTCGATGAAATCAAGGAAAAACACGACGAGGAAGTTCGCAATGGCACAGCCACCTGGGTCCAGCTCTTCAAAGCACCGACAATGTCCAGACGCGTTGCTGTCGGAGTAGCTCTACAAGCGCTGCAGCAACTGACCGGCGCCAACTACTTCTTTTACTACGGAACTACCGTCTTCAAGGGCGCTGGTATCGCAAACAGCTACGTCACTCAGATGATTCTAGGCGGTGTCAATTTCGGAACTACCTTCCTGGGTCTGTATCTGATCGAGCATTACGGTCGACGCCGGTCTCTGATCGCAGGTGCTCTGTGGATGTTTGTGTGCTTCATGATCTTCGCTTCCGTGGGTCACTTCTCTCTTGATCAACAATTCCCCGAGCGCACCAAGTCAGCCGGTGTAGCCATGGTTGTCTTCGCCTGCCTCTTCATTCTCGGCTTCGCGAGTACATGGGGTCCAATGGTGTGGACGATTATTGCAGAGCTTTATCCTTCCCAGTACCGAGCACGCGCTATGTCCCTCGCAACGGCATCTAACTGGCTCTGGAATTTCCTTCTGGCCTTCTTCACGCCGTTTATTGTTAGTGCGATCGACTTCCGCTTTGGATACGTCTTTGCTGGATGTCTCTTCCTTGCTGCTGGATTGGTTTATTTCGCCGTTATTGAGGGCCAGGGCCGGACCCTCGAGGAGATTGATACCATGTATCTCATGAAGGTCAAGCCCTGGAAGAGCTCCAAGTTCGAATTCCCGGCAGACCCGAATGTTATGCGTGGGTCTTTTGATAAAGCCTCAGGGGCTGGTTCTGCGGCTCATGTTGAGCCGACTGGTGGTGTCCAAGAGGAGATACCTACAATCCAGGAGACTCGTGCTACGGGTGCCGGAGAAGAGTTGTAGTTTTACTTCAAGTTTTCATTTACTTTACGTATTATGCGCGTTCTAATATGTATTTTTAATGCTACTCGTATTTTCTATCTCTTTTCATCTTGCCTCGTTTTTTCTGGGTCTTAAGGGAGGACATGGTCTTTTTGGGTGCAGACTTTTCATACAATGATATACGTGTATCTAGTCTTGAGAATATCTTTGCAAAATTTGAAGCAGGTTCAGAAATGAGGTCTATTTTCCCTTTAAGCTCATAACTACGGATCAAACTCCCTAGACTTCAGGTGTTGGCATCTTGATAAGCACACCATCTAAGTAGTCAGTCATATCCTTCACCTCCTCCAGCTCACCCACCCACCCGATATACTGATCCGGTCGAAGAACAAGCATTGCACCTCGTGTCCTATCAACTCCCCATTTCTCGTACCCCTGACCCCCACAGTGCGGGTCCCAAGTACAAGAATTATCGCACCAAATATCATCGTATCCCCAGCCCATGACAGGGTCGAATGGACGGAAAATCTCCGGGAAATCAAAGAACTCTACCTCCTTCCACGGGGCACTATGTATAGTAATGACCTCGATTTGATCCTTCCTTCCCGGAATAGGGACGTAGCGATGCAAAGGAGAAATCATCGTCTTATCCTCCGCCGACAAGAACCTACCAAGAGCCTCCACCCGTTTCTTCTGCTCCTCAACCCGAACATCACCAGCCAGAACAATAATTCTGTAGCAGCCATCACTTTCAAGCAATCTAGTCGTCCACTTCGAATTACCCTCCGCCTGATTGCGCAACTTAATCGGCGAAAATCGTTCTCCAGGAATCAAATTCCGCGCAGCCTCAGGACCTTCCTCCTCCGAGACTTTCCAAACAAGCGGACTAGCAGGGTAATAAGTTCTCAAACCATCCGCGAAATCCATATATTTCTCCACGACATGAACCATTCGATCTGCCTTATCAGGCGCCGCGGGTCCATCCGCATCCGTCGTCTCCGTAAACTCGCCCGACCAGAGTCTATCGAATTCAAGCAACATTTCCGCCAACGGATGTCGCTCCGCATTGTAAGTATCCAAGATTGCAGGATTCGCCGCTCCGACTACAACCATGGCTAACTTCCATCCAATATTGAAACCGTCCTGCATACTCATATTCATACCCAGTCCTACCTTAGGTGAATGTGTATGGACCGCGTCGCCGGCAAGGAAGATACGGGTTCCCTTGTTGAATGCAGGGGCGACGCGCTGACCAACTTGGTATGCGGTCCACCAGTCGCAGATCTGGAAGTCGAATGTGTAAGGGCTCATTATTGCTTGCACGCGGGATTTTATCATTTCGAGCGTTATTGCTGAGCGGTCGAAACGGTTGGCTGAGGTGCTGTCGACTATTTGGACGGGGACGTAGAGTCTAACTAGTCTTCTTTCGCGAGGAATAACTAGTATTGTTCCGGAAGAATGTGTTATTGTTCCCAGGCGACGCATGTCCGCTGATGGGGTGAGATGGGCAATATGTTAGCTAGCTGGGGGGTGTTGTGTGGTAATTGCGAGGTAGTACTTACGGAAGTTGGAGAGAGGGACAACATCAATGACTCCCCTGCCAACATCATTTATTTAAGATCTTGGCTTCAATTGATGGCATGGAGATGTAAGATTTGGACTGAACATACCATATGTGCTCTGTGCTTGATCCCTCCAGTAGGATATTCACCTGCTTCCGGGTCCAACTATGAGCACCATCGCAGCCTATAATGAATTTTGCTTTCACGATCTCTGTCTTGGTCTGACGGAGTCGACTTTTCTGTATTAGTTCCTCCCAGTCATCAGGTAGTACGCTTCCTCTACCTTGTCCATTGGCCGGCTGTGATCCAGATCCATCTTTAGATATATGACCCGGATTCGCCTCTTCATCGCTCAAAGTGCGAAGCTTAACTGTGATCGGGTAGGCATCAAGGTCCTCTTCAAGTTTCTCGTCGTATTCAAAAGACTCGGCAATTATTCCCCTCTCCACTTCAAGATCTGAGTATTTGCTAATTGTATCAATGAGGAATCTCTCGATGCGTCCTTGGTTTAGTAGCATGTTGTGATGATTCGACTCGTTGATCTTTGGGCTGCAATGAGGACCTTGTCTGGTCAATTTGCCAGCTTCATCCGGTACCTTTATACTTCATCAGCTAGGTTCTATATTCTCTGGATTCCCAGTTATTCAAGTTGATGGAGAATTCAAGTTACAAACCCAAAAATTAGCCTCGACAGCCACATGGCCTTCGTGGATAACACGATGCTGGAAACCCATGCTATCGAATATCTCCAGGGTCCTGGGACGTAAACCATCGGCCTGACCAGTAAAGACTTTTGTGCCTCTCTTGTCGATTATTCGAGCTTTTACACCACAAACCGCCATCCAGTATGCTGCCATTAGGCCAGCCGGCCCCGCGCCGATGATGAGCCTGTGAAAGTATGAGTTGGTCTTTTATCCTTCATTATATCAACGTGCTTACACATCTGTCTGAGACTCGACAGCTTCGACCTTTTCGCCCGCGATAGTCTGACCCATGATGAAAGACAGATATTTACTGATGACAATATGGCGATGGTTGGGTTTCCTTGGCACTACAGTGGGAGTTGTATACCTTATATTTTGCACCATCCTAGCTATATTCTGCGCGGTATATTAAGTGTGTAACCCGTTCTGCAGATTTGACGGTTGTATGCAGCCAACTGCCCAATTAGTCCTATCTCTGCATGCTGACTCCCTGGTCCCGCCACCTGATGCAAGTTTTTGCCAAAATAGATGTTCTTTTGCATGACTGAGACGAGGCAGGTGGGGGGAGGGTATGACAAGGGGTATAGGAGGAATTATTTTCTATAATATCCGGTCGCTTATTAGATCTTGAAGAAATTGGACTATTCTCCGGAGTAGTTTAGTCCGTCGATGGATCTTAGTTTCCGAACGGGTATTTTCAAAACCCGGATGAGTCCACTCTTTGCTCCACTTATTGGGTCATATGAATGAAATGAAATGGGATGCAGTAGTGATTATTATTATGGGCGTCCCGGGTGATTATGAGAGCAGAGATGGATAAATTTGGTCTGGAACCCGAGGGTGGACGGAACCAGTAGGTGCATAGCCAGCGTTTAACTATTTCGGATGTTTGTATAACCTAGCGGGGCCCGTCTGGATCGGCAGCTGTTCGCGTTACCTGAATCAACCGGCATTGAGGCCCCATCCTAGTCCAACGAGTGAGCCAGTGGTTACACGAGGCACGGGCTAATCGAATACGATTGTTCTTCATCTATCAAGCTTACCCCTGCATATAAAGATACCCATGTACACCAATTGCAGCGAATGGCATGATGGAGGTACAATGATTGAAGATCAAGTTCTATAGAAAAAAAGAGAATCTGATCATCTGAAAATCTGAGTCAGCGTGGGGGCTACGCTGCTTCTGGTACACCGAGCAATGGCAATGGGACCAGTCTGATTATCCCTCCCGCAATGGCCGGTGGAGATGCTAGGATTTTCTCTTGGTGATTAATTCCGGCGGCTGCATGCTGCATGCTGCACGCTGCAGCGGATTGACCTGGGGATCGGATCGACCTAATTAGGGAAAACCGAAAAAGATCATCGATATCCGCGTGGCAGTTGGGTATATACGGAGCGCATACTCCGTACAATACTCGTAGGATGATGGGATGTCGGCTACGGCTAAATTTGGCTGCAGGTCGGAGCAGGGTCCTCCGGGTGGTTCCCCGGTGTAGAAGCTGGTGGACATGGCAGAACCAACGGTTGGGAAAGCTGGCCGGCCCAGTTTCAGTCCATTGTGACCCGCGTTGCCATGCTGATTGAACGAATGTTGTGTTGTTGAGGATCTCAGTGCTCCGGAGGGAGTACAGAAGTAGTATGCTAGGAAGTGTACTATAGTAGTACTTTATATGCGAGTGGTGATTTTGATGCCGTGGCCTCGCTGAGTCAGCCAGTGCATGATGCAACCATTCGAGATGGATAAACGGAGTGAGTAGATGGAGATGGAGTATGGTAGATGATAAAATAGAAGTCAAATGGAAGCACCAGTAAGCAGAAGTTTCCCGAGTCGGGGAGAAAGAGGACTCGGTCATTGGAGCATTCTGTTAGTCTGTAAGTCTGTTAGTCTGTGCTCATACAGAAGTACCTCCCCTCTGCACTCTGCTGTACTGCTGCACTCTGTTCTGCCCCACCAACATCATACCCCACCAACAAATACATTCCCCCCTCCTCCCACTCCTCCCACCTTCTTTCTTCCCTCCTCATCTCCCTTTTCTACCCCAATTGTCTTTTTTAAATGTGAGTCTCATATTCACCAGCTTCAGTTACTTCTGTTCTGGTTACTCTTGCTAATCTATTTGCCCTCCAGAATCTGCCATCATGGGTTACTCTGATCTGGACCAGTTGGCCATCAACACCATCCGTGTTCTCGCGGTATGTTTCCCCCCCCCTCTCCCCCTCCCTGGAAGATTCTTCATGTGCAATTGGATCCCCTCCGATAAGCACCATGCGCTGGCTACAACTCTGCTGCTCCTACAAAGCTCTGCTAGACTGTGACTGACCCGGTTTCACAGGTTGATGCCACCTCCAAGGCCAACTCGGGCCACCCCGGTGCCCCCATGGGCATGGCCCCAGTCTCCCACGTTCTGTTCAACAAGTTCATGAACTTCAACCCCAAGAACCCCGACTGGGCCAACCGTGATCGTTTCGTTCTCTCGTATGTCTAATCGCCTTGATCTCCCATCTCCCCGAGAGGTCAATCAATTACCAACTCCGCCGCTCCCCGGCGGTTTTCCCCGCTTCCCAAGGAAAGATAGAACGAACCTAACCACTGTCCATCTAACAGCAACGGCCACGGCTGCATGCTGCAGTATGCTCTGCTGCACCTCTTCGGCTACGCCCTCTCCATGGACGACCTGAAGAGCTTCCGTGTACGTCATTCACATGCATATTTCCGTGGCGTTGCGCCACCACACTGGACGTCTTGCTGATTCTTGCCCCGCAGCAAATCGACAGCATCTGCCCCGGTCACCCCGAGTCTCACGATACCCCCGGTATTGAGGTTACCACTGGTCCTCTGGGTCAGGGTTTCTCCAACGCCGTTGGTCTGGCCATTGCCCAGGCCCACTCCGCCGGTGTCTACAACAAGTCCGGCTTCGACCTCTTCAACAACTACACCTACACCTTCTTCGGTGATGGCTGCGCTATGGAGGGTATTGCCTCCGAGGCCGCCTCCATGGCTGGTCACCTTAAGCTGGGCAACCTCATTGCCATCTACGACGACAACCACATTTCCATTGGTGAGGATACATCCATCCGACTACCTCCGCTGAGAACGAGTCAAAGCTAACACTACTCCCTAGATGGTGACACCAAGTGCGCCTTCACCGAGGACGTCATGAAGCGCTTCGAGGCCTACGGCTGGCACACCGAGTGGGTCAAGGACGGTGACAACGACCTCCAGGCCATTGAGGATGCTATCCGCAAGTGCCAGCAGGTCACTGACAAGCCCTCCGTTATCAAGCTGACCACCACCATCGGTTTCGGCTCCAAGCTGGCCGGTACTGGCGGTGTTCACGGTAACCCCCTCAAGGCCGATGATGCCCAGCACGTCAAGGCCCAGTTCGGCTTCGACCCCAACCAGAGCTTCGTCGTCCCCCAGCAGGTCTACGACCTCTACAACCAGCACGCTGCTGAGGGTGCTGCCAAGGAGCAGGAGTGGAACCAGCTCTTCGAGAAGTACCAGCAGGCTCACCCCACCGAGGGTGCTGACCTGGCCCGCCGTCTGGCTGGCAAGCTCCCCGAGGGCTGGGAGAAGAGCCTCCCCACCTACAAGTCCACTGACGGAGCTGTCGCTTCCCGCAAGCTGTCCGAGGCCGTCCTGGAGAGCATCCACGATGTCATCCCCGAGCTGCTGTCCGGCTCTGCTGATCTGACTGGCTCCAACAACACCCGCTGGAAGAACGCCGTTGACTTCCAACCTCCCCAGTATGGCATTGGTGAGTGGTCTGGCCGCTACCTCCGCTACGGTGTCCGTGAGCACGCCATGGCTGCTGTCATGAACGGTCTCGCCGCCTACGGCACCGTCATCCCCGCCGGTGGTACTTTCCTGAACTTCGTCTCCTACGCCGCCGGTGCCGTCCGTCTGTCGGCTCTGTCCCGCGTCCGTGTCATCCACGTCGCTACCCACGACTCCATTGGTCTGGGTGAGGATGGCCCTACTCACCAGCCTATTGAGACCCTGGCTCACTTCCGTGCCCTGCCTAACTGCATGGTCTGGCGCCCGGCCGACGGTAACGAGACCAGCGCCGCCTACTACATGGCTCTGACCTCCAAGCACACTCCCTCCATTCTGGCCCTGACCCGCCAGAACCTGCCCCAGCTGGAGCTGTCCACCATTGAGAACGGTATCAAGGGTGGTTACGTCGCCGTCGACACCCCCAACGCTGCCGTCACCCTCATCTCCACTGGTTCTGAGGTCAGCATCTGTATCGAGGCTGCTGAGTACCTCCAGAAGAACCACGGCGTTGCTGCCCGTGTTGTCTCCGTTCCTTGCTTCGAGGTCTTCGATTCTCAGGACAAGGCCTACCGTCTCCAGGTTCTGCCCGACGGCATTCCCGTTCTGTCCGTCGAGGCCTGCTCCACCATGGGTTGGGAGCGTTACTCTCACGAGCAGTTCGGTCTCAACCGCTTCGGTGCCTCCGGCCCCTACAAGCAGGTTTACGAGGTATGTGTATTTGAATCTCTCTATATCTGGCATTTGATACTAACTCTTCACAGAAATTCGAGTTCACCCCCGCTGGTATCTCCAAGCGCGCTATTGCCACCATTGACTTCTACAAGGGCCACACCGTGCGCTCTCCCGTCAACCGCGCTTTCCAGCAGATCCTGTAAGGAACGAGATATGTCAAAATGTTTTTGCTTTTTAGTCAAGGTGCGACAGCCCTTAGACATGATGTTTCAAGAAGACAATAGAGCGATGTTTGTCACAGTTCATTCTCGTATGCAATTGTAGTTGTGCACTGTGCACCTGTAGGATCGATACGGCGCTCCATAAGCGCAGTGTGGTCAGTAGTAGAATATAAGGGTATTTGGCTGACCGTCTTGAAACCCAGGCTGGAGTCTAAAATTACTAGTGTTCCATGCACGAATTTGGACAAAACTACAGTGGTACCACAAAGGAGTTTCTAACCCCTCATCGTCTACCATTATTGACCATCTTCTAATACTAGTAGCAGACTAGTAGCTACCTAAGATAGAGTTGATTGGCCAATATATTCCATCTCAAGTAGGTACTAGTTCCCTTAGGAAGATAGAGAATAGGTCAGAACACTAAGTATTTCTAGACTCTGAAGTTACAGGCGGCCTTCTTGACGGTCAGGCAAGATACCCCAATACACAACTACTGGTCACCCTGCGCTTATGGGGCGCCGTAGATCGATCTATATTCACGTACGCATTGAAGCTTAACTTTCTTCCGCAATGCACTCTAGCATTCCTTCTGCAGTGCAAGAACATTTCGCAGAATGGCTTCTTTCTTCGCCCGAGTTTCAGCCGTCGTCGAAGGACCATACGCCTCCTCCGTCTGACGAACCACCTCCGCCCTCCATTTCAACTTCTCCTCCTTCTCCAAAACATCCCCATCGAAGCCAGCCCGCTGTCTCTCCGCCTCAGTAAGAATATCAACCTGCCCCAACTGACCCCAAACATCCTGCACAGTCGGCGCCAACTTCTGCAAAAACGCCCCAATCCCACCCTCCCCACCACCAGCATGATAACTCTCAAAAATACCACTCCCAGCCCATCGCGGCCCCAGACTAGCAGTAACAATCGAGTCCAAATCTCGCGCTGAAACAACCCCTTCGCCAACGAGATACGAAGCTTCCCGCAACAGCGCAAAGGCAAGTCTATTCCCCACGAACCCGGGGATCTCCTTGCGCAAAATAACAGGTCGATAGTGTTGCACGAATTGGCCCGGGTCACCCTTCATCTCCTCTCTTTCGAGTTCCGAGGAAACAGCAGCAGCAGCAGAAGTAGAACCGGGCAGAGTCCTCGACGGACCAGGCGTAGTCTCAAAATAAGTCTTCACAAAATCCACCCGCTCCGACCTCGTCACTGGACTAGGAACAATTTCCACCAGGGGCATAATATGCGGTGGATTAAACGGGTGTGCAACGAGTAACCTCTCCGCAACACCAGACGGGCACTTCTCCGCCTGAGCCGAGGGTAGGATTCCCGAGGAACTACTCCAAAGATGCGCATTGGCGTCTGCGTACTGAACGACCTCGGTCCAGAGCGCTTGTTTAGAGTCCGTCTTTTCGGGACTTTGTTCTTGGATGATGGTTGCTTTTTCGACGGCGGCGGCGAGGGTAGGTGCTATGGCTAGTCGGGATGTTGATATTAGGTGGGTTATTGGGTCTTCCGAGCTGTCTACCCCGGTAGTAGTTGGGTCTAGGAAGGCGGGAAGTTGGCTGTGGAGTTGGGAGTCGAAGTCTGGGCGTGGGTCGTAGATAGTTACTCGTGTGTCGGGTCGGCGGAGGTGGAGGGCTACCATTGATAGACCGATTGTTCCTGCGCCTAGGATGGCGACATGGTGGGTGTATTCTGGCATGGCTGGGGGTTGGTGGGAGGAATAAAGAGTTTGGTGTAAAAGAGAAGCACGAAGTTTGGGGTCAATCGGGTTCGTTCAGGGCGGGGAATGCGGGGATCCGAGGTTGTCCCAATCTGGAAGGACTGGGGTATATCAAGTATATCCCCAGTATAAACATCATAATATTAAGGCCCAAGTCTCTGTAGGGAGGCTTGTTTAGAAGACTAATATGTAGTCAATTTCCAATAGTGTCTCGTAATCTTCTAAACAGCCTCCTCAACTCTAATTATCTCTAGTTCAGCCAAGAAACAGGAAATTGTGAGGCTCAGCTCTTGATCAGGTGGTCATGCAGGGGGCCGACCTGCACGAGTTCGCGTTTGCTTCTCTCCAAGATCATACAAGTGAGCCCAGACTTTCTCCTCTGACATGTGACCATGGATCAAGAAGGGAGCGATTCAAGCTCAACATCACGGTCGTGTCGAATAACCGCTGCAGAGAAGTCAAATTGAAGCCCGCTCTCGACCAGCATGAGCAGCAAGAAAGAAGCATCGTGATGTGGAGTCGGAAACTCGAGCTGGACCGCAACGTCTATGTACACGAGTCAGCAACAAGTAAGAAGCTACGAGTTGTTAAGGAGTTAGTCCCAGATAGGAAGAATGGTCAATTCGAATTGGCTGTGATAGGGAGGGTCACGGCAGCAACAGAGTATGTGAGATTTAGCAGACTGCTGGAATACGTGTTGAAGGTTTGAGCAGAAACGAGACCAAGAAACTATTTGTTGACCTTAAAGGATGGTTTCTACATCAAAACAACATTCACCTCGTGATGGAGTATTGTCCCCACGGTCATATCCTTCACTGCTTTCAAGGTCCTCTACCGGAACCGGAAGGCCAATCAATCTGCGGCCAATTGTTAGAGGCGTTGGAAGTATTACATGGGCTGGGAATTGTCCATCGTGACATTAAGCCACAGGTATAGCTTCCAGGATATTTCTGAAACAAAAAGAAATCGGCGTAAACAAACTGATAAAACATTTACAGAATGTTCTTATAGCACATGATAACCCGATACGAGTCAAACTTGCAGATTTCGGAGTGAGCAAGCCAACAAAAGGCACTCAAGCATATACAGAGGTTGGTACATATGGGTACTCAGCGCCGGAAGTTTGGGCGGAGCTGGACGAGGAGAGTGATGATCCCACGTATACCTATACGAGTGCAGTGGATATGTTCTCTCTGGGATGTCTGGTGTATCATGTCCTAACGGGAGAAATCCCATTTGGCGTCGAGTTTTTTATCCCTGTCAAAAGATATGCCGCTGGACGAACCCAGTTTCCCGAGATACCTTTGCTTGACAAGGGTGTGAGTCTATAAGGGCGATCGTTCCTTTTGAGGTTGATGAGCCCATCACCTCGAAGACGTCCCGAGGCAACTTTAGACCTCATTGAGGACTGGGTCATTCCTCTGGAACCCGAAAAGGCCCCTGAAAAGAGGCTTACCCTAACGCATATACAAACTTCTATGCGCCAGGCCGTCGCACAAAATGATCACAATAGCCCCCGACTTCAGCTGGCAGCTAACAAGACAAACTCCGACAACCTTCAAGTCGACAGCGAGGAACCTGCTACTCAAGTACCAGTCAATCTCCAGCCTCCAATTGTACGTTAATTATCGTGGAACTGGAATATCAACAATTGGATTAAAATTAATACATGACACAGGACTTCTATTCCCTGCAGCTATGGAACATTTTCAATCAAGCCTAGACACCCGATGATGGCAAACATCAAGTTTTAGTCTATCTTGAGAATGGTGCAAACCCAGATCTCATCTATAAAGGAAACTCATCTCTTCATCTCGCTGTCATGGGAACGGGGACTGCGGCCAAGCCTGCATCATGGCTGAATGCTCTTCTTGAGAACGGTGCCAACCCGAATATTCCAAATCAGAATGGCGAGCTTCCGATCCATTTGATCGTTGCTAATCCGTCAAAATTCTCTGTGTCATGGCTGGACGTTCTGTTGAAGTCCAAAGACAATACTGATCGTCAAAGTGTTGATCTGAATCTTCCTGATTCAAATGGGCAGTTTCTGATTCACATCCTCGTTGCCCTGATGAACAGTCGGTTATATCCTCCTTACAACAACGTCTTCACTGAAAATATACCCAAGTTCTCAAGGTTAATGGCTTCTGGTGTCCAGCTAGAGGCCCAGGACCTCAGAGGATTCACTCCGCTAATCTATGCATGTTTATTGGAAGATGCACAAATAGCCAAATTTCTAGTCGAAAAAGGGGCCAACATAAATGCTCAATGTCGCCTGGGCCTCACGCCTCTTCATTACCTGATTAAAGCAAGGGTGCTGCCTGAGATGTTTATAAAGCTATTTCTGGATCGGGGCGCAGACGCAAATTCCCAAGATAAAACCGGCAAAACTCCTCTTCATCATGCTGCCATGATAGATGGGAATCGGATGGCTCTCGAGTGCCGGTCAGTATTGGCGTATGGCGCTGAGATCAACCGCAAGGACAATGACGGGGTAACTGCGCTTGACATAGCTGCGAGCAAGGAAAAATACAATGGTTCTACGATCAGGTATTTGGTCGATAATGGGGGTGAATATGACATGGGGACTCCATCCGTGAGAAAACGGGTCAAGCGTGCGCGGGCATGGGTGAAAATGAATAGGGCGCTAGGATTGAAGCCATCTACGAGTATTGAACGCACAGCTGGTGGTCAACAGTTCATCAGCACGACCTCGCTCCCAATACATTCGAAAGCATCCAAATTCGAGAGTAATCATTGATCAGTTACCATTGATATACTACAGAAACACAATATGGAGAACGAAATTCATTCATCATGATATAATTCATAACCCTAACTTTTCAGAGCAAGCCCCATCTAAAGGAAACCATTTAGTTGCTCAGAGCCTTGCGAGCAAAGTTAGGCAGGACAAAGCTGGCGCGGTGGATCTCCTTGTTGTAGTAGCGGCACAGACGCTCCTCCTCCTCGGGGGACCAGGAGCGGAGAGGCTCCTTGACGTTGCGGGTGGCGTCCTTGCAGCAGACCATGAAGCCGATCTGGCCGGAGGGGTAGGTGGGGATGGTGGTGTAGGCGTACTCAGCGACGGGGAAGACCTCGTTGCAGGACTTCTTCAGGTCAGCGATGAGAGAGAGGTGGAGCCATTGGTTCTCGGCTGTGTAGACGAAGGCACAGTTCCGCGAAACCGAGCCCAAAACGGGTTGGTTGCGGTGGTGGTGCGAGAAGGTTAGCCTGGGTTCTTTGTGGGGAGGAAAGAATAAAAGAAGAAGCAGATATAGAAAGAAGAATGCAAAAGAACATGCAAAACAGAGAAAAATAGAGAAGAAGAAGAAGAAGAAGAAGAAAAAGAAGAAGAGAGACAGGAGAACGCATTGAAGAATTGGGGCAGTGGAAAGAATGGGGATAGAAGATGGGCAATATGGAACGAAACAATGCAAAGGAAAGGCAACGAACAACCTTGGGTAGTGATGACACCGCCATCGCGGAGGGCATCGTTGAGGAGCTCAAAGTAGGGCTTCTGGAAGAGAGTCTCGGCGGGACCCTCGGGGTCAGAGGAGTCGGTGATGATAACATCGAACTCGTTCTTGTGAGTCTTGAGGAACTCGAAACCGTCACCGACGTAGGTGTGGGCGTTGGGGTGCTCGAAGCCGACGGCCATGCCGGGCAGGTACTTCTTGGAGAGACGAATGACAGCCTCATCAATGTCGCAAAGCGTGGCGGACTTGACGGACTCGTGCTTGACGACCTCGCGCAGGACACCACCGTCACCACCGCCGATGACGAGAACCTTCTCGGGGTTGGGGTGGGAGTTCAGGGCCAGGTGGGCGATCATCTCCTGGTAGGAGAACTCATCACGCTCGGTGCACTGGATGACGTTGTCCAGAACGAGGACGGTGCCGTAGTCGCTGGAGTCGAAGATCAGGACGTCCTGGTACTTGGACTTCTCGTGGTGCAGCACACGGTCAACCTTGAGGCTCATGGCCTGGCCGGGCCACATGCCGGACTTCTCGGAGAACCAGCCATCTATAGCCAGGGAAAGAATTGGAGGTCAGTAAAGCTATTCAATTGATCGAGGTGTGATGTATAGGTCTTCGGAGGGGTAAGGAGGGATGAAGATGTGGATGGTGGGGTAGCGCAGCAGGGAAGATCAATAGATCAATTCGGGGTTTTTGAGAGGAGATATGAGATATAGCATACCCTGGATAGTGGGGTGAGTGATCTCGCTCATGATGGAGGATGAAGTAAAACGGCGAGGGAGTGATCTAGAGAGGCGTAAAGGTAAAGATAGAGAAGGAAGAAGAAGTGAACGTAACATGCGAAGAGAGGGAACCTTAGGGCCTGGCGGAAGTTTGGCTGTTTTGGGCCGCGAATATTTTTTTGCGCTTGGGCTGAGTGGGGCAACTTCTCACTTCTTTTACCTGAAGAGGCCAACCATCGAGCTATCAGCTAACAGAAATTGGCATTGGCTTTCGGGCGGACAAAGTTGACCAGTTGGTGCTAGCCCAGTTGGCCATTTCTGCTCAGTCCAGTCCAGTCCAGTCCAGTTGGTGCGCTGCCTTCGGAAGTGGAGTTGGAGGCATCTCAGCCAATCGATCTCCCTCAATTCACGCTGACCTTCACATTGACCTCCAATACACACCTAAATTCTACACAAAACACCCAATGGACAAAGGAAAAGCCAAGTAGTTGATTGCTTTCTACTGTACAAATGATACAGCTGCGTCGGACTCTATCGCGCGACTTCCGACTTGCGGTATAACCCAATAATTCCCTTCATTTCCCAGACATCCCCTCAATTTCCATTGCAACGCATAAAAAAGACGAATTTACTCAGAGTCACCCTCAAGCATGCGGCCGGGCTTGGACTGCAGGTAGTGGTTGCTGCGGATACAGTCAGTATAACGTTCTGTACCATCATCCATTACTCCCCTGGGGGATATATCTTACCGCTCAACAGCCCAGTTCAGAGCAGCGTAGGCAATGACGAAGGGAGGAACAACGTAGAGGACCTGTCCGCGGAAACGACGGAAAGTGTTGAAGATGGCGGCGTGGAAAGCACCGGCGAAGGGGCGCTGACGGTTGGAGGAGAGGGCATAGGTGGCAATGCGCTGGGGGGTAGGGCAGCCTGAAGGGGTCGTAGGTCAGTATTGACGAGTTCAATTTGCGATTGGATCAGTCGATCAGTTGATCAATCCAGTTCCCATTCCATCATCTGTATCGGGGATTCGAAAGAGGTCATGGTCGTGGTGGTGATCGCATCTCGTGACTGCGGGATCGGGGAAGGGAATCTAGGGAAGGTGACTGCGAACGTACCGAACTCGCCCCAGTTGCCAATGAAACTATTCGATAAGGTCAGCATATATTCATATATGCTCTTTTTTCGCAAGAGCCAGTCGTGTGAAGGTAGAATCTCCCCTCAGAGAGGAGACCAAGATCGAGCGGGTGCGTCCGGGCGGCACACACATCCCCAGTTGCCAGGGGACTCGGGGGCGAATTGAGGGGACTCACTGGCCGGTCTTAGGATTGACGGAACCACCCATAGTGAAATAGGAATATCGCGCGAAAAGAAGGCGTTGAAGGAGAGAGGAGAGAGATGGTGGATAGAGGTTGAAAAAGGATAGCAAGACGGGATAGGCTCGGGTGAAGTTGGGGAGTCGTCCGGGACTGCCACACTAAACCCAATCGCGTTAGGCCATCCAACTTCGTCGAAACAGAAGCTCACTACCACGACCACTACGAGTATCTCATTCACCTCCATCCCCCTCTATTCTCCCTCCCATCGCCATGGCCAACGCCCTCTATAACATTTACCGGCTGGCTGGCCCTGTCGCCGCCGGTGCGATTCTTTGGAACTCCTCCATCTATGATGTCCGTGGAGGCACTCGCGCCGTCATCTTCGATCGCTTGTCCGGTGTCCAGGATACCGTTGTCAACGAAGGCACCCACTTCTTGATCCCCTGGCTGCAGCGGGCTATTGTCTACGACGTGCGCACAAAGCCCCGCAACATCTCCACAACAACCGGAAGTAAGGATTTGCAGATGGTCAGCTTGACGCTCCGTGTGCTGCACCGTCCGGAGGTGCCGAAGCTGCCGCAGATCTACCAGGTACGATGAGCTGAACTACCACCCCCGATCTAAGCATCACCGCATCTATCACAGTATCTAACACAGCACCCGTCCGAATCGTCATACGGTACCGATTACGATGAGCGTGTTCTCCCCTCCATCGGTAACGAAGTCCTCAAGGCCATCGTCGCCCAGTTCGACGCCGCCGAGCTTATCACACAACGTGAGGCCGTCTCCAACCGTATCCGTACCGACCTTCTCAAGCGCGCTGGCCAATTCAACATCGCCCTGGAGGATGTCTCCATCACCCACATGACCTTCGGAAAGGAGTTCACCCGCGCCGTCGAGCAGAAGCAGATCGCTCAGCAGGATGCCGAGCGAGCACGATTCATTGTCGAGCGTGCCGAGCAGGAGCGTCAAGCCAACGTTATTCGCGCCGAGGGTGAAGCCGAGAGTGCCGACATTATCAGCAAGGCCGTCGCTAAGGCCGGTACCGGTCTGATTGAGATCCGCCGCATCGACGCTAGCCGCGAGATCGCCCAGACTCTGGCCAACAACCCCAACGTCACATATCTGCCTGGCGGCGAGGGCAAGGAGGGCGGCAAGAGCACTAGCCTTCTCCTGGGTCTCCGGAGCTGAAAAGAGCAATAGGGCCTGGATGAGGAGGAATTAAGGATTTGAAGGGCGGTGTTTGGCGGCGCCCCGTTTTTATTTCTCGATTTTGTTCACTCGAGAACTGTACCATTTAATCGCCAATCCGCGTGTCCGAGGGGTATCTCTGAGCTTTGCATGTTCCCTGCGGCGCGACAGATGGGCTATGACTGTCTATCTTGATTTTTTTTCTGAACTGTAGCAATACCAATACCTCTACTCCATATCGGAACTATATCATTGATACTGTACATTCAATGTAGTCATATATTCATAATGTGATACCTAGTACCAGTATATGCTGGAACTCCACCTCAAAGCCGGCGGTATAAATGTAACTGGAATCGCATATCTTCCAAACCCGCACCCTCTCCAACCTTATACCGCAATCGCTCAGCATCACGTCTCCACCACCGCGAATCCTCCGTATAAACCCTCTCCCACTTCCCCTCTGCCACTGAAAGCAGCGTATGATCAAGAAGGAACTTCATGGGGTAATTCCTCTCCACCGGAGCCCCATCCTTATCCTTACCCATCTTGAGAGTCGAGTAACTACCCGGACTATCAACGACCAACAGCACCGCATTCGAAGGAAGAATTTCCGTCATGCGAAGTAAAAACCCTGTCGTCTTAGCCATGGAAGTAGAAAACAGCTCATTCAGCGTAAACATAAGCGTTACGAGAAGAGAAGATGAGCCTGTATCCAAAAGCACATCTTTCAACTCATCCTCCGAAACACTCAAAACATCATCTTTTCGAAAGGAAACGGAAAGCCCCCCCACCAATATCCCCTTCTCCAGGCGGAACAAGAGGCGGCTGATACTCGGAACTTCGCAGTGTGTAAACAGCATCAGACTTAATAGTCCTCTCCAATCGCTGAACAACACCCGACCAATCCGCAATATCAACCGCCGCAACCGAAAGACCAGCCGAGGGACAAAATGGAGAAGAAGAGCCAGGGATAGCATCAACCTCATTCTCCTCCCTATTCCCCTCGTCTTTCAAAGAAAGCGACCCCAGCTTCAATCCCTGCTCCCTCTCCAACTCCCCCTTCTGCCTCAGACTTCTCCAAGCAGCAGCAAGCGCAACAATTTCCGCTCCAGCCCCACCACCAACACAAACGACTCTCGTCCGATCATTCCCAGCCTGAGATATAAAATCACGACCCTTTCCCGTATTCAACTTCCCACCCGCCATCCACCCCAGCACAGCTCTAAAAAGACCCGCATACCCCAACGCGCGCGCCGCACTCCACCGCAACGCATAAGCGCGCAATAAGTCCTCGCCCGCATCCGTGAACGCGGAATCAAAGTCCCGCTGGTAGAGGTGTGTTTTTATCGTTTGGATTAGGGTTTTTATGTCTAGTTCTGCTCCGTTTGTGGGGTCGTTGTGGTCTTCTTTGGAGGTATCTTGCGATGTGCTTGCGGTTGCGCCTGCGGGAGCGGGAGCAGGGTTGGATGGGAGGAGGGCGGTTTTGAAGACGTCTAGGATGAGTTGCTGTAAGGGGATTGGGATTTTGGCATTGAAGTCGAGTGTCGACTTGGTTGATTGGGGGTTTGGTCTGTCATTGCTTGGTTTCCGGGCGGGTTGTTTCGGTGGTTGGCGGGTTCGTTGTGATTGGGATTGGGATTGGGATTTTGCTTTTGAGCCTTTTCGGCGGTCGGATTGTCCTGGTGGCATGTTCTATTTTCAAGTTCAAGGGTTGTATATATAGAGAGTTCAATGGCTGTTAAAAATCTCTGGACAAGCTGAAGATGGTGGAGAGTGAAGTGGGGTGGAATGATGAGATTAAACTATGGAAACCCTATGCTGCGACGGAAACTTTTTTGCTTATCAGAGCTTATCGAGTCAAATTGCTACCTTGAGGTACTCCCTTAAGTACCCGTAGGTACCCTAGTACACCATATGGTAGGGGACTCTAGGGCACCTAGAACTAAATACACGCCCACGCCGAGAAAACCGAATAGAATCATGAAGATAAATGAAAAAAGAGGTCCCCTCCAAGATCGGGGATTAAGAATGTTATTTCAGGCTACCCGCCATAGAGAGAAAAGAAAGGTAGATAAAGTGAGAAAATAAGATGAGAGGTCCGCAATTGGACAGCGATCGTAGAGAAGGTCAATGAAGCCGTGCGTTAACTCACGCCGGGGACATGAACGAGAGACAGGAAAATGACACCACGTCGTACTCAGGCGACAGGTAAAAAGGAGCCTGGGGTAAAGAGATTCGTAATAAGAAAGTCTGCCATGAGACAAGAGAGGGAAGGAAGGAAGGAAGGGCAGAAACAACCGCCAAACAGACAAGAATGAACAGTCAAGGTCAAAGAAGAAGAATGAACAGGAAGTCCAGTGCCAGATATGTACAACGCAGTCGGAAAGAACGCTTGGGCAACCGGATGGGGAAGAGGAGGTAGGTAGGATGAGATGCGAGAGAAAAGCAGATAACTCAGAGGATATCGCTATGCCGAGATTGCGCCAGGAAATCAAATTAAATGCATTGGGATCAAAGAGTAGACAGACATTGGTCAAGGATGTTCAGAGGGAGTCTCCGCCTCGGCGATTGTGCTAGTGCTTGTCTTCTCCTTGTCCTTCAGTTTCCAGAAATGCATCAGTCTGCTTAGACGGCGGCCCTTCTTCCTGCTTTTGTCGGGCGAGTCCCCAGGAGGCTTCTCTTCTTGATATAGCTTGCTTCGCTCTGAGTGCGGGCCGCCAACCAACTTGGAAAGACTAGCAAGGCTAGATCTCTTCGATGCGTTGGCCTGACTGCTACGTCGGTTGACCGCGGCGGAGAAGGATGCGGCTCGGTCAGTCGATAGGCGAGCTCGAGGGAAGAATGATGCAGAAAAGCGATTCATGGTGTTGGTCATTGTCGATGCACTACTCGTCAGAGATGGAACATCTTCGACTGAGGCATGGTTGTAATAATCAGAAGGAAGATGGTGGTATGAATGGCTCGAGAAATAACGGTCGTTGAACAATCGTGGCGCATCGGGTGATGGGAACGACGAATCCGAGGGCGAAACTCCGGCAGAAAGAGACAACGGGGGAATATTAGGGTGAAGTTCGTGGGGAGAAGTAGCTGGACGCTTATCAACAGCTAAGAAACCAGGCGATACATCGGGACTTGGAGGTCCCGGTGCTCTGGCCACGGAATCCTCTGACCTGAGGATTTCCACCGGGCTGCGAGGCGGCCGCCCGAAAGGATTGGCACTTTGCAAAGGCTGCCTGGCTTTCTGCTCGATTGGCGCAAAGGCCGGGGAGAACTGTACGCCTGATCCGGCGCCTGAATTCCAAGGCCCTGATGCTGAGGGGTTCTAGGGTTGGGCGTAGGCTCAACTGTGGTTTCAGACAAGGGCTCGGCAATGTGTTCAGGTACAGATGCGGGGGCGGCGGCTGTCTCGGTTGTAGATTCTGGCGCCCGAGTCAGAGTGTCACCGGTATCATCACTTTTGACGGATTGGCTATCTTCCTCCGAAGTAGATGAAAACGCGGCTGCGATCTGACTCGAAACAAGTTCGTTCCTGGGTGACTGGTTGGCGGCCAAAAATTCATCCTCTTCCTCCTCGTAAAAAACATCTGGGGTTTCGACACCAGTAGCGCCACCTAGGCGGATGGGACCTAAAGAACTGCGATCGAATGGAGTCATAATAGGTGCACTCTCGGTGCGGCGATGATATCGCATTTCCGGACCAACAAATTCACCGCGTCGTCCACCACTATACATGCGCTGAGATGCCACGGTGAACTTGCTCAAGTTTCCCTTTGCTGGTCGCATATCGGGAGTATTGAACGGTCCAAGTGCAGCATCAAGGTCGATAATTGGGCTACTCAAGACTTCATCTTGCGCAGTCTGTTCGTAGAAGCTTCGGGGTTTCCACGCTGATTCGAGGGAAGCGGTGGGTACAGGTGGTATATCCTTATCACGCTCCTCGGCCGAAACTGGGGCTTCGGTGTTAGTGGGAGTGCGAAGAACGACAACGTCGTCGTTGTCGAAATCAACTTCCATGAAGGACCCGACTTCTGAATTGGTTCGAGTGAGTGCAGGAGGGCGCGGCGCTTTCTTTTCCTTCCGTTCGGGACTCTCCGACTTCTCAGCCTCTGGCTTAGCATGGCGTTTGCCCTTGCTCCGGCCTAGAAGGGAGCCAGCCCAGTGACGAACACGCTTCTGCTTCTTCTTTTTAGATCGCGATTTTTTCGTCGCATGGGGATCGTCTCCTTCGTCTTCTGTGTCACTAGGAGATTCGGATCCATCATCGGAGAATGAGGGGCGAGATGTGTCAGTCGAGTGCGCATCGGTTTCAGTATTTACGTGAGTATTAATATGCCGAGCGGATACACTCTTGCGAGCACGAGAGTGTCCGGTGGATTTCGAACGTTTAATTGCAGCGACATCCGAGGTATTCTGGCTCTGCATCAAATCGAAAGCTAGCGAAGCGTCGGCGGTTTTCGGCCTCGGCTTTGTCGTGCGCTTCCGGACCGGTGCCTGCTCTATAGGCTCAGGATTATCCGAACGTTGAAGAGGAACATCTGCTGGAATCCGAGGAGCTTCCTGGGGTGCTGCTGAAACAGGTCGGCCAATTTCAGGATCTTCGGTCGTCGGAGCAGGCTGAAGGTGAATGGTGCTAGGAATAGGAGGAACGGGAGGAATAGACGAGACAGGGGGGGAATTTGGGAGATGCTGGAGGCGTAGGGCGACCAATGCTCGTCGCCGAATAAGAGAGCGGGCGTTGAATATCTTCAGGGCCAGAGTCAAAGGTGCGATCGCCAGGGGTAGTCGGAGCACTTGGAGCACCCGGATTGGACCCCAAGGCCTTTTGGATGGCGTTCAGGTCGACGCCAGAGACCGCGGCAGAGCGACGATGGGCATGATGCCGTCGTCCAGGGCCTCTGCCAGGTGGAGGGCCTGACGGAACAGCGGGCTGTGGTGTCGGTGACGGAGGTTCATCCCGCTTGTCGGCAGCAACCCCTGTATCTGGTGTTACCAATTGATCGCCTCCGACGAATTCACTCGGACGTCGTCGGTGACCACCGCCACGAGGATTCGGAGGGGGCGCGTGTGAAGGCGAGGGTTGTAGTGACTGACCCGCGCTTGGGTTGAAGGAGAAGGCCGGAAGAGCGGGGGGGCGTTCGACGGTCGGTCTCCTGGTCGGCAGCGTCAGGATCTCGAGCAGGAAAGACGAAAGGCGGATTCGGCAACGGAGGCATGGTCAGGCGACGGCTGGCGATGGTGTCTGATTGAGGAGAAGAATCGAAATGCTGTGCAAAGCCCGCTCGAGGCTGCGGGGGAAGCGAAATTGAAGCCATCAATGCTGTGTGCAGTATAAAAGAATTTGAACAAGAAAGCGGAAAAGAAGAATCGAAATAAAGTAAATAAGCGGTCGACAAGATCCAGATGGACACCAAGACCTCCAGACCGTTTTGACTTCCCTGCGACTGGAAAGTCCAAAGAATCTGGAGGTCAGATTTAATTACCTCGAACGAGGGACATGGGATCTTTCCGCGCCAGGCAGAGATGGTGTAGGGTCAGGGCGAAAGCTGAAACGGACGGGATTTTAAGGAATGGACGGCCACGACGGAGGCCAAGGAGGATGGTGGGAGGGTGAGGTGGTGAGGGTGGTGGGTGGAGGGCGAGAATAGTCGTAGATGTGAAGATGTGAAGTGAAAGGGAAAAGAGGAAGGCAAAGCAGAACGAGAACAACACTGGAGGAGAAGGAGAGGAGGGAGAGGGGGTAATACGGGTACGGTGTATTATTACCCGCCCCAGCCAATTGTGATGTGGCAATACCAAGGATACTATCAGATACCATCAAATACGGGAGATTGGCCCTATCTAGCGTATAACTAGTCCAACTCCTGCGCACTCCTACACTCCTACACTCCTACACTACTGCACAGCAGAGAAGGGGCGCTGTTCTTGTCTAGTCCAAGTTCCACCCTTGACTGGGCCAAAAGAACTACGATTGGCACAGTCATACTTAACCATATTTGACCAACATTCCACGCAAGCCACAAAAGGGCCCAGATCGGGCTGTCAGAAAAGAACCTTTGGAGAACAATTCCTTGAGAATGTACGGACTACGGAGTACACCGTATGCTTGATTCTTGTGAGTGAATAGTGAACGTCATGACTTGAGTTGCCACTAGTCAAACCCAAGCAGTTCGTGTTCGGACTCCTGCTAATTCCTTAGCAACCCTGGGGCCGCCCTCCGTACTCCGTACGCCCTCCGTACACACCACAGGATCCTGGGGTCCAAGCTGACGTGCCAATGAACATGCGCACGCATCCGGAGAAAAAGTGGGTTACAGGCACCAATGAGTCTAAACTCGGCATAACCTGTCGGGCAAATCTCGCTTGGTGTGGTGGGTCTCTCAAGGACGCCACGCTGGGGATGCAAAAGCCAGAGAGACAGGGAAGAACATGCAAGTCACTGTGGAGGGGAGGAGACTAATCCTGTCGACTCCTCTCTCTAAACTGAACTGTCATCATCAGAATACCAGTTTCCTTGCGATCGTGGTGGGGATTAGCAAGTCCATTGAGTCCACAGGTGGAGAGATGACCACCCAGCCATCACCCGGGAGATTACCAGGTTGCCTTTTCTCGCAGGCAGACTCCATTGTGTCTGGCTTGGCAAAACCCAGTCCAATCGGATATAAATAGGCGGCGGTCATATTTAGCGCCGACTTGACCGAGGATTTAGTGGGGGCGAGGGGGCAGACGGGGCAGACGGGGCCAACTGAGATCATGTTCATGTTCATGGCAGCTGAAGCACTCCCTGCGCGCCATCGGGTCAAGGCACTGAAACAATGAAACCCTCGACTCTCACCCCCTGGCGTCCGAGGGAACGAGTGCATTGACAAGGGGCCAATGACAGGAGGGTCCGCCATGCAAATTACATGTGGGTTTGCCCGTTCAGCCAAGTTCGACGTGGGGCCGATCGGCGTGAGGCCAATTGGGGCGGCAACGGGAGATCCGGCGTGCAGCAATAGCCTGGGTCCGATTCAATATTCAATTTCGGAGGTCGAATATTGCATCAATGGTGTCCATTGTCCCATTCTGTGGCATTCTCGTGCGGCTTGAGGGTTGCATCGTTGTGGCGATGCAAATGATACTCGTCGTGAAAATCAAGACTGCCCCTATTCACCGACATCTACAAATGTTATACGTACGAGTATGCATTTAGGTATACACACAGTAAGTATCAACAGATGTACTGTAAGTAAGTACAATACGGGAGATGAAACTCCAGCGATACGCGTGTACACTGCCATATTCAAGTGGATCTGATTCGCGGACCATAATGCAATCGCCACTCGCAATCATTCCAATTCTCGTTTGACAGTTTTGACTCTGTCAATCATCGTCTTTGAAACTCCAAAATCCAGTTCAAGTTTCGATCTCAATCGCAAATCGGAGTTGACGAATGTCCTCCTCCGTGTCCGACAGTTCCTCCGGGATGCCGAACCGGACCATGGATTGTCGCCCGAGGGGTCCACGGACAGTTCTGTGGAGTGTAGCCTTGTCCAAGCAATCCGACCGAGCGGTCAAATCCGTTTTCCATGATTCGGTCGATCAGGGTGTAGTCATTGTTTGGTTCATCCGGGAGATTTTATCGCACAGCTTCCCCCTTTTAGGAAGGCGACCACTGTCAAATTTTTACTTCTCCCGGGCCGGCTACAGATGTGAGTATGCTATGCAAATGCAGGCAGCACACATAATGAATCCTAAATAAAATTCTGTACGAAGTAACCTGCAATCCCTGGATGAAGGATTGTGGAGACGCCAGGGTGAATAACGTCGTGGTCATGGCTCTCCTTAGGGGACGCCCTTGTAACGCCGGACTCTTGGCGTCCGACTATGATCACCGGTAATTATGTTCTACAGATCCTACAAAGCTCATGATCAGCATCAAGGGTAGCAAGAGAAATGGCAGAGTCTAGATTGATCTACCTGTCGCGATTGAAATTTGTTTTCGTTCTTGGGAATTCTAGAACCGTGAGATATTTCCGATCCGTACCTTTCGTACTGACCCTTGTACAGTATATCGGCACTCGTGTTTCACATTATGCAGGTGACCTTTTTGGACACTACTCGGAAGTTCATCTTGATAACGTCTCTGGGCAAAGGCTGGGCAGTCACAAACTGCGAGTCTACGATTACCGACCTTAGCTAAAACTTAGTAGTTAGTCCAATTCCTGTGCATGTGCCAGTGTGCGTACGGGTATTATATATTAACGTCTCACCTATTGAAATACTAGTAGTCTTTTATATAATTCCCAGCCAAAATCCTGCAAGCCCGCTCACATTGAATAGTACAATGGACCCAAACACGGTATACGTGTGCCTGATAGGTAATACTAGGGTATTGGCTGGCGGCTGCAGGAGAAAGCAGGATTCCAAGGTTGTTGCGATAGGAATTGTGGATGTGTTACCCATCAGTTGCACTCGGCCGGAAGGATGATGAAAGCCAGCCATCGGATTCTGGCCATTACGTTCTGGTCTGCAGATGTCTCTAAATGCACGTGGAGTGAGCTCGCAAAATAAAACAAGGAAAGAAAAAAAGAAAAAAGAAAGAACATGAAGTAGCTCCATTCGCAATTTCGCGGTTAATTTCTAGATGGACGTTGCGAACATACTCCGAAGGGACGATCTCGGCCCGATATCCTCGCACGCCAGGGGATGGATAAGCTTCGACAGTCTAGATATCTAATCCTGCAGCGGAGGCCCGTCAGAGTCCACGGGTCCTGCTTCAGAATATAGGTCGTTTTTGGAAAGGATCGTAGAAATTCCCAGTTTAGTCTGCCCCAGAGTGAAACATTAAGAGGCATGCTTAGTTAGCATCTCAAAAGATATACCTCGAGACGAGCCAACTTCTCCCTAAACAGGGTTCCCTTATCTATGCTCAGAGATGAGCGTGTTCATGAAACGACAAATGAGGCAATCCTGACCAAGGACAGGGCAGAGGTGCCCGACGACCATACGGAAAGACAGGAATGAATCCGCGTGAATTAGCCGATAGGTTGGCTTCTTCCTTGTCCCCTTCCCCTCCTACTGTAAAATGAATAAGCCTTGCCACAAATCTAGTCAGCACTGTGAAAGTAAGTATGAAGCGTAGTGGTTAATTCCATTGATCAAAGAAGGGAGAGCTCTCATGGAAACATTAGACACATCCAATTGATATTCTCAGTCAGAACGTCGCCAAACTTTATACAGCAGGCAGCCGATGCCGCAGCATACTTTTGCCACTTCTTATTCTTATGGCTGTCCGCATAATCACAGACACTCTTGATGACCACCGTAGGAAAAGCATCCCATACGCCAGCCCCTTCCATCTCGAATGCAATTACCTTTTCTTGGGAGGTAATTCGATCTCGATGGTATCCCGATTTCATCACGAGATCCCCAGACGCAATGAGACCAAAGTGGACGAGGGTTTTTCGTGCATCTTCGGAGTTCATGAGATTGTAATTTTTGGCATTTTCGACTCGCACAAGCGTGATCAGCTCTATATATTGACAATGCAGTTTTTGACAAGATAACTCCATTGTAACACTGCAAATCTCGTTATTCAAATTGTGACAGGCCGCACAAATATTGCAGACATGAGGATCCTGATGTTTATGACGATATTCAGGATGATATAACCGATCATTTTCTGCCCGGGGTACTGATATTGGTAGAGCCCAGAAGCTGATTATCAAAGATACTTACAATTTTTTTACGGCTGGCACTGGGAGTACGATGGGTCGTTTTATTCCCGTGACAGAACCATTGCCATAAACATTGAAGCCGACTCATCCGATCAAAATATTATGATCAATACTTTCAAATATTTCCCCCTTCAATATGCAGACAAGATCATCACAGATGGTCTACGGAGACGAGGAGAACTATTTTGGGACTGTCGTTCCCAGAAGCTGGTAGAATATCAATCTGAGAATCACAAAACACTGGCAATAGTAAGCTTTGCCCTTGAAATCTCACCGAGAATCTCACTAAAATATTATACCCGCCAAATCAGGAGATTGAGCGATATATGATCGATGACAGCACATACAAGAGGCTCCACGGTGGAAAGGGGGCCGTTTTAGACGAGAAAGAGAGGAATAGCTCTCGCGCCGGGGCCCGCAAGAGAAAGAGATCTACGTTATCCCTCTCAAAATTACTGGTTATATTTTGGTTCACAAAAGCTGGGGTATGTTTTCCACATCACACTGATCAAGTTAACGGATAGTTAATGGCTGATGATAATTATAGTCAATCTGTGGGTAGATCAGTCTATGAGGTTGGGTGGAGTAAGATTGCGTTTGACAACTTGGTCATTGACCGAGATACCATGGAGCTTATTCAAGCTCTTGTGATGAACCAAGTCGAGGCTGAGCGAGGCACCGATGTCATTGGTGGGAAAGGCAACGGTCTCATCGTGCTTCTGCATGGCGGTCCTGGTACAGGGAAGACATTTACTGCCGAGGCTGTAGCAGAAATAGCCGAGAACCCCCTCTATCGAGTGACCTGTGGTGACATTGTAACCAAGCCAGAAGATGCCGAGAAATATCTTGAATCGGCGCTGCATCTAGGGAAGATCTGGGGCTGCGTTGTTCTTCTTGACAAAGCTGATGTGTTCCTTGAGGAACGTAGCCTTGACCAGCTCGAGCGAAATGCACTTGTTTCAAGTTTTCTCCGTGTCCTCGAATACTATGAAGGGATATTGATCCTGACCTCCAATCGTGTGGGAACATTTGATGAGGCGTTCAAATCTCGGATCCAGCTCGCCTTGCACTACAAGAACCTCTCCGTTGATCAGAGACAGCGGATCTGGTGGAACTTTTTGGACCATCTGCGGGTAATGGAACGAGGCGAGAAGGCAACTATTGACATCGATGACATACTGGACCATGTCTTTTTGCAAATCAGTTTGAGATGAATGGTCGACAAATACGAAATGTCATCACCACAGCTCGACAGCTTGCGAAGCATAGAAAACAGGTAATGAATTTCTCTCACCTTCAGCATGTGATCAATGTCAGTGCTATGTTTGAGAAATACCTCCAAGATGTAAAGGTGGGCCTTACGGATGGTGAAGTGGCTCGCCAATTCGGAAAGCCATGAACTACAGATATTAGGGCTTCACAGGAACATGAGATCACTTTCGCAAGATGAGTCATCAAACCAAGGCAGTTTGGCCGAGTGGTCTAAGGCGATTGACTAGAAATCAATTCTCTTCGGAGGCGGCGGTTCAAATCCGCCAGCTGTCGGTTCATTTGTTTTTTATTGACTATCTCCTGTATTTGTGGGGATGCCTACGAAAATCTCTGTTTTTACCACTTTGATATGAAGTTGGAGCTATATCACTGGAAATACGATATCATCAGAACTTCAATCTGAGAATTCTAGTTTTGTCCGGCGCGTTTGGAAACTTCACTTATATAGAAATGGTACTATTTGTAGAATATCAGGGACTCTTTAGTAGTAGTAAAGATCCGAAGACATAGGATTTATAGCGCCGTGTATTCCGATGCTTCAGTCCGCAAAATGCAACATTCTTAGACGAAAGAGTTCAAGATCCCATATGTACTGTACGGTTCGTATAAAACATGACCCAAAGACAATGGTGGAAAATCCAATAACTCGCTAATATAACAACACAATTTATGAGACAAAAAAAAAGAGAGAATCCGACAAACTCTAGTGGTCTATTCGTCGCTGTCCGACTCTACCTGGTCGTTCTCCAGATGCTTTTTGCGTTCCTGGCTCATCTCTCGGTACGTGCTCCAACTGAGCAGGAAAAATGCGACCATGATCAGGATGCCTCCGATGATTGCTGCGAATGAGAGGGGTATGCCTGTGCGGAACCAGTCCACAAGAGCAACGAGGAAAATCGTCAGGAGCGCGGCAACTGACGAAAGTACAGGGGAGGTGAGGGAGATGAGCACCAGGAATGAACCGGAAAATGCTAGATGCAGAGTAAGTTACCTATAATAGTCAAGTGAAGAGGGTATTTTTGTCAACTTACTAGCATTTGCAGCGATGGAGATGAGGAGCATCCACCCGGCCTCACCGGTAGGGAAGCGGAAGGTTTCCCAGCCAAGATAATGAAGAAAAGGCAGGGGAATCCACAAAACCAAGAGGGTAAAGCAGCCGATCAAACTACCAAATGTATTGGCAAAGATGGTGCCACGGCCGGGACTGGTGCCCTCTGGTGGGCAGGCGAAACGCTTATACAGCACCTCGTACAGGCCGTATAGAACACTCCCAACACCAATCACAATGTTGCCCAGGAGCCGACTATGAGCCTCCGTATCATCCTTTGTCGTTCCACCTTTTGAAACCTTCTTGTCGGGGCGGTCTCCATAGGCGACCACAAGGACTCCAATTATTGCGATGCCGACTGAAAAGACCTTATCCACACAATTTCTCTTTCAAAAGAGGGATCGAGAAGGCATATGCGAAGAAAGCCGAGCAATTGTAGATAGCTGTCAAGTCACTAGCCGTTGTCAAATTGACAGCGACGTACCATGAGCCTCCCGCGATGGTGAGCGCGCTGGTCACAAAAGCAGTGGTTTTCAACATATATGGGATCGGCGAACGGTGGTAGGAACGGGAGTGGAGGTGGACATCCTGGGTCTCTACCATCTGGGCAGTAGTCTTCAAGAGGAAGACATGACGGCGCCAGAATGCTTCCCATGACATTTTGCGCCTCTGGATTCGCAGGATGGCGAGCTGGACCGGCCAGAGTAATGCCCAGGAACCGTGAGTTATATAGCTGCATTTGGGAGAAAAGAAAGGGTAAGCGATTACGGTTCAGGATAAGTAGCGATGGATTATAGGTGCATGGGGTAATTCGGGTCAATCTCATCACCGGCGGGCGGTTGCGTCCAAACTTACAGCATGCAATACGGCTTGTCCCATCCCAACTCATGTTGGATGTAGACGGCGGTTTCTGTCTGAACAACAAAGCTGGCTAGGCTGAGAAGAAGAAATCCCGATGCAATCATATACTTTTTGCGAGTCGCTTGGGCGGCGTCGTGTTCCGGGCTTTTACTCCGGATGGTAGGGCGGCGGGTGTGGTGGTGCAACATAGGCCGGCCTTCTGTATCGTTCCCGAAGCTTGATCGGGAGGGACGACCCTCCCGATCATCTTTGAGTAACGGCTGCTGTGACCGGCCATCCGTTGGGCGGTGCATTGGGGGGCGGTTAACCACCATGTCGTCGTCGTCGTCAGAATCCTGGGAATAGCGATTCGGCTCCGGGTCTGGGGTTATTTTGGCCCTGCTCGCTCCCAGTTCAATATTTTCCGAAGCCACGCTGGCGTTGGATTCCCTCAGGGGTGTTGTGGGAGCTTTTGGGGGGTTGGGGTCGGATCGACAAGATCCTTGGGAGCAATCAAAGATGTCCTCGGCCACCTGATTGCCCGGGATGCCCTTGCGGCGACAGATAACAGATAAGAACTAGGGACGGGGCTGCTGGGGTTCCGCTCATTCAGACTATTCCATGCCCTGTGTGATGGTTTGACAGCTGACGAGGTGAGTCTAACTGCCGGAGATCAGCCCTGTGACCAGAATGTGAATCTGCTGTCCTGAGCGCATGCGATCGTGAAGTGATTGGGACGTTGATGGGGTACTGCGGCCACGTAATGGGGAATCAACAAGGTTCAGGGGTCACGGTATGCGGCAATGGCGGTCTTTGGATGGAAACTTGAAGTTCGTCAAGGGTTCAGGTGAGACAGGCAAATTAGACACGAGGTTGAATGAAAAGCCATTCGAGGAGCCAGGGAAGCAAACGATGCCCGGGGAATGGACGCCTTCGTCATGGCCCCTACCGCTTCGAGGCCGGTGGATACCGTGCACGTGACCTCCAGGGGACAATGACGGCGTGCTAGTCCGAAAGCGGTCTAGCCTAGGCGTCCGGCTGGGGTCAAAGGGTCAAGCACAGGGTCAACTTGGACCAAGAGCCAAGAGCCAAGCAGGGCTGGTGCTCAGTAGGGCAGATGACCATTACTAGTAGCACTAGCCATGGCTAGTACAAGAATTGACCGTTCTACATCTTTTTACTGATTCGTCTGTTCGATTGCTTTGGGGGTGATTAGGGTGCTCTCGCAACTAGACCCGGTGCTTAGTGCAAACTTGAATAAGGCTATATACATATGGCCCCCCCGGCTACATCAGAAGTACATATATGAGCCAATTAGGGCTGTGCGTCAAAGGCAGACGACCAAAAGTAGCAGCTGAGGGACATGCAGGAACTAGACTTCAACGTAGTGGTCTTTGTATGGAGTAGATTGTCCACAACGCCATTTGTCAGAGGATCAAATATAGAGAAGATCGAGTGACGAACTGCAAGGTTAAATACTACTACCTAGGTACTATTGACCAGTCGAATAACCAGAACTAAGAAAGAAACGAACCCAAACCATAATCCAAATCAAATCAAATTAAACTCATTACCGAATGAATGGTACTTTTATGATATTAACATCTGAGTTGATTTGTTATAGACAGACCTAAGCCTTAGGCTTGGGCTTGAACAGGGCCTCCTGAGTGTTATAAGTGTACTTCAGATCCAGATGCCAATAGTTAGGAGAATTAGCCTTAGCAACCAACCATGCCTGATCCAAAGCTTCCACCACCTCTTCCGGAAGGGGCCCCTTCTGCAGCTCGCGAAGATTAGTCTCAAGCTGACCGAAGCTGCTCACGCCAACCAGTACACCATCACGGCCACCGTTATCCATGTTCAACACAGAGTGATGGCGGACCCAGCGCAGAGCTGTCTCAACAAGTGTCAGGCCGTGCTTAGCAACCACGGGCTCAATAATGCTCAAAGCCTCGAAGTATGCGTCCCTAAAGTAGCGACTGCGGTAGCCGGTTCCCGTGGAGCTACTATCAGCAAATCGGCCTTCTTCGGGAACATCTTTTGTCTTGTATTTTCCGGAGAAAAGTCCGCCGGCAAGGGGGTTGTAGATGACAATGTCCAAGCCGTAGCGCCGGCAGGCATGTACCAATTCGACTTCAATATTACGGGCTATTATTCAGTTAGCACGGGCTAGCCCAAATTCCAGGGATATTGGGGTGATATGTGTGGGATATAGGACAGATCTAATTGAAACTTACTGATGGCATTATACATGGCTTGGAAAATCGTAGGACGGACCCAGCCACGCTCGTTGCACATAGTTACAATTTCCGCCACCTCAAAGGCCGTATAGTTGCTCAGACCCAACTGAACGAACTTGCCCTCCTTGTGCAGCTCGTTCACAGCTTCTAGAGTCTCTGCAAAGGGCGTCGCGCGATCTGCTGCATGCAGATAAAAGATGTCGACTTGATTGGTATCGAGCTCCTTTAGGGATAGCTCGAGCTGCTCGCGCAGGATAGCGGGTTTATGCGCTCCAGCCTCCTTGGGGTACCACTTTGTTGCAAGGGTTAGGCCGCGTTGCTTCCAATTGGCCTTGGCAGTGAACGCTTCCTGCTCTCCATCGACATAGATGCGAGCAGTGTCGATTTCGTTGAACCCCTGCTTCTGGAAATAGTCCAGACACCGATTGAACTCGTCAAGGGAGGTGATACGGGCACCCGCGGCCTCATTGGGCCCAAAGGTCATAAGCCCGAGGATGACTCGGGGAAGTGGATTCTGTGCAACAAGAGGCATGATGGATATGATCGGCAGTGGTCAAGTTGGTTGTTGGAGAAGACAAGCGCGGGGGAGGGGCAAACGTGAAGGGTTCCCGTGGTTTATGAGTACGGAGGGGTCCGATCTGCGATAACGGCGGGGGACTATTGCGCAACATTTTCGGTCCCGTCCGCATTTCAAACACGAAGCTATTTAATATCCTTCGAGTTCCTGCAGGGATTATACGAGCTTTACATCTATCTTCGAGTCGAACTTCAACCCAGCGTATCCCCCGACAACATGGTTGCACCCCAGGGCAATGGCCCATTCCGCATTCTGGTTATCAACCCCAACACCTCCACACATATGACCGAGGCACTCAAGCCGATCCTACAACGACTCAACTACTCTGACGTTCAATTTGACTACTTCACCGCACCGAATGAGACGTTCACTCTGGATGGGCACGTCTGCGAGCCGATTGCCAGCATCAACAATGGCGAAGAATCCGCACAGTCCGCGTTGAATTGTTCCTCGGTTCTGGATACGATTGCGAAATACGATGCGTTTCTTGTGGCGTGCTACTCTGCCCACCCACTCGTGGGCATGATACGCCAGAAAATCAAGGAACTAGATGGATCCACCTCTTCTACACGAACGAAATACGCAACTGGTATATTTGAGGGTAGCATTACTGCTTCTCTGTCATTGATCAGTGGGTTCGATTTTGTGACGCCTGGATCATTGAGAAAACAGCAAATCGGCCAGTCCTTTGGTATCGTTACCACTGGCAGTGCTTGGAAGGATGAACTCAACAAGGGAGTCACCGAAATGTTGGTTGGAGCAGGCCTTCAGTCCTCGCGATTCGCAGGCACTGAGACTACGGGGCTGACGGCCGTCGAACTACACACTACGGCACCGGATGAGGTGAGACAAAGGATTATTGCCGCCACACAGCGGCTGCTACTAAGTGCGCCGACTCGTGTTGGCGCGGTCTGTTTGGGCTGTGCGGGCATGGCGGGTATGGAGGAAGCGGTGCGGGAAGGTTGCATTCAAGCATATGGTCCAGATGAGGGGTCTAGGGTACGAATCGTCGATGGAGTGGTTGCTGGAGCCGGGAACTTGGTGACAGCTTGTAAAGCGGGATTTTGAACCAGTGGATCTGATGGGAACTGGACTGAGGCTTGTTTTTGGAGGCCATGGGAACAGGGAAAACAGCATATGATACCATTGAGTTTTTTCATTAAAAGGAAAGGAGCTCGAAAAATTGATATAGAGAAAGAAGAATTCAATCCGGAGATTTTTCTCAAACAAAAATTTCCCGAATTTCCGTAATTTCACTCAGAAGTGTATGAGATGAGATATTGATGTCCAAACCCAAGCCTGAGTGGAGACGTACCTTGCGTACCTGAGGCGGTCGACAGCCAAAATGTTCCCCGCGCCCAACGCGCTACGCGTGAGAACTAATCCATCTCGACATCGCCCGTGGACAACGATGCCTAGGTATGTGCCTGAGCTACTTTTTGTGAAATCGTCCCTCCAAAGAACCTCTGAAGCTGACATGTGTTCAATAATGCAGGGAAATCATCACGATCCAAGCCGGCCAGTGCGGCAACAGCGGTATGTGAACTCCGCCAACCTCGATCAACCTCCCAGCACCACAGCTTGTGATGTGCTCAAACTCGTCTGAGCCGATCATATGCACTCGAAGGAACACCGAATTCGAAATAGCCGAGCCTGATTCGCTGACAGTGTCTCTCTTTCTCAAGTCGGTAGTCAGTTTTGGCAGCAGCTGTGCCAGGAGCATGGAATCAACCAAGACGGAAATCTGGAGGATTTCGCGACTGAAGGTGGCGATCGCAAAGATGTCTTCTTCTATCAGGTATGATTTGGTCAAGCAATACTCGAGAGCTTTGGCAGTGGTGTGCGATCATCTACAGAATCAAGCTAACGAGCTGCTACCCAGAGTGACGACACCCGATACATCCCCGAGCGATTCTTCTCGACTTAGAACCTAGGGTATTGATCTCTCCTTCTACGCGATCACGTTGACCAAGGCAATTACTGAGACACGAATAGGTCCTCAATGGCATCCAATCCGGCCCGTACAAGAACATCTACAACCCCGAGAACTTCTTCGTTGGAGAGCAGGGCGTTGGCGCTGGAAACAACTGGGGTCTGGGATATGCGGCTGGAGAAACTGTGCAAGAAGAGATTTTCGACATGATTGACCGAGAGGCGGATGGAAGTGATTCATTAGAGGTAGGGTCAAAAAGTCGATCTACCCGCCGTTGTCGCGACAAGTTGGCTGACAATTCTGGCCACAGGGCTTTATGCTATTGCACTCGATAGCCGGTGGTACAGGATCTGGTCTGGGTAGTTTTATCCTGGAACGGATGAATGATCGCTTCCCCAAAAAGCTTATCCAGACGTACTCTGTCTTCCCGGATCTGTATTCGGATATTGTTGTCAACCCTTACAATAGTCTGCTTTCCATGCAGCGGTTGACCCAAGACGCTGACTCTGTGGTAAGATGGAATTTTGAACATTTGACCCCTTGGAAAGCCAAAGACGCTAAAAAGATTGCATAGGTCGTTCTGGACAATGGTGCACTTTCAAGAATCGTCGCCGATCGACTTCACGTGGAAAAGCCATCGTTCGATCAAACCAACCAGCTGGTAAGTGGCGGCCGTGATTTATGTACCATGGGAAAATGGGAATTTCTAACTCAGGTCTGCAGGTCTCAACGGTCATGTCGGCGTCTACGACCACTCTTCGATACCCCGGTTACATGCACAATGACCTGGCGGGCATCATTGCTTCGCTGATCCCGACGCCGCGCAGCCATTTCCTGCTTCCGTCGTATACACCATTCACAGGCGACAATGTTGAGCAGGCGAAGACAGTGCGCAAGACAACCGTGCTGGACGTGATGCGCCGACTGTTACAGCCCAAGAACCGCATGGTCTCGATTACCCCCAGCAAATCCAGCTGCTACATCAGCATTCTCAACATCATCCAAGGCGAGGCCGATCCCACCGATGTGCACAAGTCATTGCTCCGCATTCGGGAACGCCGCCTCGCATCTTTCATCCCATGGGGCCCCGCCAGTATCCAAGTGGCGCTCACCAAGAAGTCGCCGTATCTGCACCATTCCAACCGTGTGAGCGGATTGATGCTGGCAAACCACACCTCCGTGGCAACATTGTTCAAGCGGATCATTCAGCAATACGATCGTCTGCGTAAGCGCAATGCTTTCTTGGATCAGTACAGAAAGTCTGCGGCATTCTCCGAAGAGTTAACGGAGTTCGACGAGGCACGGTCCGTGGTGATGGACCTGATCGGCGAATATGAGGCAGCCGAACGCCCGGACTACTTAGATCCCGACGCTGGGAAAGAGAAAGAGGTTGGGGCTTGAATGGGATGAGGGTAGCTAGAGAATTTTTCCATGTCGATTTCATTTTGCTTTGGCAGGGCAAGGGGTTTCGGGCGCATAAACCGGGTGCGTGCGCAGGGCCACTGGCGTTCTCTCTCTTTTTTTTCTTACTTTTTGTTCTTTCATTTATTTTTCCCTTGCTCTTTTTTAGTTTCTTTATTCACCAATGCATACTGCATACTACTCAATTCCTTTTGACGAGGGCGGAAAGAGGGTAGGTAATCCTTGTAGGGTGACTACATATGAACTAGTAAATGTAAATGTACTCCCGTACCCAAAGCCAAATACTCCACAAACCACACCCAAAGCAAATCAGATACAAACCAATCGAATGCCAACACACCTCCAAAGACCAACAACCAAAGACCGGGGGACCACGTAGCGGGCACACACAGCGTTGAAAGTGGATTCCGGCAGACCCGCCGAACAGATTGCAACGGGCCGGGTTCTACAGTGGAGCATGGGTAGTCGGCTGCAGGCGATCGAAAGGGGGCGAGATGGCAGAGTTTAAGGAGAAGAACGCGGTGTGTTTTCCGGTCTCCCAGGTTGTGTGGTTGCCCTACTGTACTGCGAGTACGGTAGAGTCGACTAAACTAGGTTGGTTAGGCGGCGAGATCGACCACGAATCCACCTCTCCTTTCTACCTTACTTGCTGGGAGGCGTTCGCTTGGGGCTTGGACTTGGGGCTTGGGGACCGGGGACTCGGTGGCCTGCTTCGAGGCATGTACTCCGTACGTGATGCGCGATGCCTGGTCTCATATTGAGTTGGGCGCATGGGCCCAGGAGACTCGTCCGATTCACACGGCTTTCACATTGCAGGAAGGGCCTTACCGGAGTGTCTCGATCGAAGTGTACGGGATAATCAGTTATGAGTACGGAGTACTGCGGCGCAGTACTCATCAGTGCTCATTACTGTGTCCTCAGTAGACGAACTCCTCCTTTGCCACCGGATCCAAGACGTCCGATCCGGTGGCACGCCATGAAACTTGAAGGACTGGGTGGAACCACGCCTCGAATTTGGTGCTAAAGTGTACTCTGTAGATTGCATAATGCGGCTAGATGGTACGGAGAAGCAGTCACCATGCTTGGTACCCACGTGAAAGGAGTCAAGTGGAATGAGATGGGAGGATGAGAGGATGAATGGAATGGCACGGACACAGGTCGCGTGGTCTACTACTAGTGATACTAGTGATAAAAGGGAATACTAGAGATAATAGTAAGAATAGCAATAATAGTAAGGATGGTACAATAACTAGTCTAGACAGAGGACTAGTCCCCTAATTTACAGAGGATGTGAGCAAAGATCTCCACTAGATCGAACCTTCTGGTGTAGTAGTCTCCATAATTGCCAGTCTCCATAGTACTTGTACTCCGTAGTGTGCAAGTCTCCACGCTGGCGATGGCTGATTCCGTCACTCACCCACGCCTCTCAACTGACTCAGCCCTTCTTCCATTTAATTCCCTTCATTCCCTGGATCTCATCCGTTTGACTTTTAATCTCCCGCCCGTTCCGACTTCCTTTCTCCCTATATATATCCAATCTCCCCCCGGTAAGTCATTCTCTTTCCCCCTACATTTCTGCCCCCCCCTTTATCATCAACGTAACTGCGTCACTGCGTCACTCCCGTCCAACGCTCATACCTCCTTTAGACCCTCGCCTCCTTCTCCTCTCCTTCTCCTCACCTTCTCTCCTCACTCCAACTCTCTCTCCCACCGCCTCAACACTACTCAACCACTCAACCACTCACCCCTCGGAGACTCTCTTGGCAACCACTCGTTCTCGCTTTTGTCATCTCATTCCATCCTCTACTATCTTGCTATCTCGGCGCTTATCTTGAACCAACAACCGAGGCCGAACCCGTCACACCATTGACTTGAAGCACCCTTCACTCAGCCTCAACCCTCAAATCTACCACACACACACACAACCATGCCTCCCCGCAAGCCCCGTTGCAATTTCAAGGAGTGCAAGGAGGCCGCTCAGCGGATCGTGGGTGACTGTAGCTTTTGCCACGGCCACTTCTGCTCGAAGCACCGCATGCTAGAGGCCCACTCCTGCACCGGTTTAGAGGATTGCAAGAAGGAATCCCACGCCCGCAATGCCGACAAGTTGAATAGCGAGCGGACTGTCGTTGTCAAGGGCGTATAAGGAGGATTCTCATGAGGGAGATGGAATGAGTTGTATCATGGCAAATCCCCTTTCTGTGATATATCGTGCCATCTCAACTTGGGGCCTCCCCCCAGTTCTGGCCTCGGTCTTTGATCCGATCTCGGACCTCTTATCTCGCCACCCGGTGTGATCTTCAACGTGACCCCCTGGTGGTTGTCGCCATTCAGCCGGTTGAATTTTAGCGTGGTGTTCTTGTTCTTCCCATTCTTATCGGGGGTGTTTGTTCTCGACCTTTTCTCTCCTTGTCGTCGCGACCTCCTTCAGCTCTTCGTTTTTCAACATTCTTGACTCTATTTCGTTGGGAGGGTGTTTTGTCTTTTCTGCCTCGTCTAATCCCCATCTACATTGGCGTTCATCACTTCCGCAACTCTTGGGATATCGTTTTTTGTTCTCTGGCCTTTTATCTTGCATTCGCCTGGCATGTTCCCAGTCTGCCCTTTTGATTGTCTTGGATTTCTTTCGGGCTGCTTCATAGAGATCCTACGGGACTCCCAGGGGCATTTACTTCTTTGAGCAGATTTGGATTTATATGAATATACCACCACTCTGTCTTGTCCATATGGTACATGAATTGGCCAATCTTCGCTATCCTTGCGGTAGTCATTGCGTAGTTCCTTTCCTTTTTTTTCAATCCCTCTTTAACCAGGTCCAATCTTAGGCCTGTGCAGGAGTTAGCTTTCCAAGTTCCACGCAGGACCAGTTCACCAAACTTTTGGACATACATATCGTGATGCTCACTCAGTCGACTGAGGTATTTGTTCAAGTCTTCTACGCGCTCCTTATGGGTCTTGACGCCATCTCGCTGGAGCCTTTCACGCAACTGTTAAATCAATTTAGTGAGTATATCAAATGTCACGCCATTCAGTCCCACCCACTGCCCCCCTAAAAAAAGGGATTGAATGTGAATACATACCCGCTTGCGCCTCACCTCCTCATATTTCCTTTCTGTTTCAGTCTTGGGCCCACCTTCTCTCTCATCCCGTTCGTGCTCTGGTGATTTAGATTTCTCTCCCTCTCTCCGCTCAACGGCTCCATTATCAGAATCATTCCCAACGGCATTCTTCCCTTCTTGTCCCTGCTCCTGCTCCTGCTCCTTCTTCTTCTTCGAATCCTTCTTCTTTTTCTTCACCCGTCCATCGGCTACTTTGCTCCCCTTCAACTTGAGCTTGCCGCCCCCGCCAGTGGAGTAATCGTCTGCTGGCGCCATGGGAGGGGGTGAGTGGGTGAGTGGGGGAACACTCAGTCACACAGTCGCAGCAGGAGGACCCAGTTGCAGCGTGCGGAGTAAGAGGGGGATAGTAAGAGGAGTGGCTTTTCCCGAGTGGGCCTTGTCTTTTGCCGCCGCGTGACTTTTCCTCTTGCCTTCTTCTGCCCGGGGAATGAGGCGAGGTTAGGTTAGGTTGCAGGGGACAGGGAGGCGAAGTGAAGGCAGGAGCCGAACCGGTGCCGTTGTTCTTTTTCACCCAGTCCTGTGATAATGTGATAATGGCGGTGTGGCGTAATTGATTCTGGGCGCTGCTGGTGTGAGTTGTTGGTCTTGATGAGTCTTTGCGGAAGTTAGGTTGGGCGGTGGAGTGGGCCAATCAGCGTGGTGATGTAATTCAACTAGTAGTAGTAGTCGTTTTATCACTTCCGTCCCATAGATCGGCGCTGATGCGATCATGGCGTCTACCCTACTATATATCGGTGTAAGTTTTACTAGTAGTTGAGTTGTCATAATTTTGGTCATATCATTTCTCATTATGTAGTATTTAAGCGTTGTCTGAATTGAAGATCAATTCAATGCCTGAACTGAAAGGGCTCTAATCAAATGGAATCGGACGCAATCCCGACCCACCCATTCGTTTACGCATTTCGGCGCCCGCAGCAACCGTACTGGGGACCTTGATACCGCAACAGTCTCCAAACCAATCCGCATGTGCTCCATGTCCTTGCGGATGATCGTGCGTACAATCATGATCATGCTCGTGGTCTCCATCTTCGCCAGAGAGCTCGCCCATACCTTCAGTAGCGGGCAGGAGACTGCCGAAAAGGAAATGTTGCATGATGGGTAGCTTGCCCAGAACTTCCTTGACAAACATCTTCTTCATGCCACTTTCCACCTTGAACCAGTTCTTCGCTCCAGAGATATCATCCAGCATAGGACTGTGCCAGCGGAGACCCTTGACAGTCTTCACACTGTCCACCCACCGCACCTGGTCGAGGTAGAGGTACTTGTCGCCTTCCTCATCAAGCAATGCGGTGTTGTGGATGCCGAGCGGTGTCACGTAGGGATGGTCCACGAGCTGACTGGCTCCGAATAAGAATGGCAGGAAGTGGTAGTCGTCCAGACCCCAGACACCATGAGAACCGGCAGGCTCCAAGTAATACGTCGATTGAATCTCGCGCATCAAGTGGACATACTCAAGATAGACCTTGGACACCACGGCGGCGAACTCGCTCGCTGGGAGTTTGCCCAACTGGTAAAGAGAGAGCAGCCACATGATAAAATTCAGCTCGTGGCCAGATCCATAGTCGATACGATCCCGCGAGCCAAGCGAATTGATCAGGTATGTCGATGCCTCCTCAATGGCCCCGGCATCAGTAAGACCGAGGATTTGCCGGTGCCATGACGAGCTCTGGGCGGCGACTTGGTCAAACAAGACGCGGAATGCGGGATTTCCGAATCGCGAGCCACCTTGGTCTTCTGGTGGACAATTCTCCACGAGTACCCTTATCTGTCCTACAATCTGGGCGATTTTCAAGATGGCGTCGGACTCGGGACCTTTTAGGTCGGTCAAGGCTCGGCCGCGTACTGAATCCGATAGGCCGAATGTGAAGGCCAAGACCAGTTTGTAAGTAGGCGAGGAGAGGAACAATTCATGATCTTTGGGTGATAAGATGCGACGGACGGGGCGGGAATATTGGTGGGTGGAGAGGTCGGGGGGCGAGGACAGAGGAGGGGTTATTGGCGTTGGATCTCGGGTCGATGCGGCTTGGGATCGGCGATTTGTGCTTGAGCGCAGTTGCGATAACTTTTGAGAGAGGTCGACTTTGCCACTGGTGGCAGGTCTGGACCCTATCGAAGTCGACGCCATTTTGTTGATAGAAGGCGTAAGGGAGGAGAAGATGAAAGATAAATATCCCGCGGTCCGGAGAGCAATCGCGACGAAAGGACCACAGAGAGTTCACCGCCTACCGTAAACGGCCATGCAAATGATGCAATTCGATTTAATACCGAATCGGGACTAGTTCAGTGGAGCATGTGATCAGCTGCATCCCCGGACTAGCGATCACTGATCTTCCAAGGGTTTTCACTCGTCACATACCGTGCAGTCCACATGATGAGCGCAGCTGAATGAAGGAGGAGGGGCATAATCAACTGAACTTTGAATCAAATCTGGAAAACGCCTCGAACCATGCCCATTCTCACGATCTTGCCTGCAACGCCTTCATTCTTCTAGTTTAATATCCTATTCGAAGGTTCTGTACCCTTGTCGCGGTGCCTGGCGTGTCTGTGCTGCACGAGCCCTGTCAAGCCAGCCTGGCTATTGGACCATATTCTAAAGTCATTGATCAAGGGGATGAGCACGTCATAATGAATACTTTCGACTCATCGGCGACCACTCCGACAGGCCCCAGCAACGCTGCGGGAGCTCGAGATATCAGATCTTCGTCGTCACGCTCTCCCACACATGCAGACTCCGGCCTGTCATCGTCGGCCGGCAGCAGCCGGTCCCACTCGAGCTTTTCATCCCGAAAGTATGCTGGGGGCTCGCAACACAACAAGCACTCTACCGAGTCGACCCCGATGAATACAGGGGCTGCATCGGCACGCAAATATCAAGCCACAACCGCACCCAACTCCCAGGGCGCCGCGTCTGAGGCAAGCAAATGGGATCAAAGTACCCCGCGCCTCGACGTAGGCGGAAATGGCGCCCATCGCGCGCAAAGTAATCAGGAAGACGCGCCCACCGAGCCGCACCAGTCATGGCCCAGTCGAATGGTGGATCGATTCGGCGCTCTGGAGTTGGAAAATAAAGGAAGTGTCGCTCGCGATCACCTTGCTCTTGGTATGGTGTCCGTTTTACTATGATATTGTCTGATATTGATATGCCCTGAAATATGCCGCTAACTTTCTTCCCGCAGAGCGAACATTCCTCGCCTGGATGCGCACCTCTCTCGCCTTCGCCTCGATCGGTATCGCCGTCACCCAATTATTCCGACTGAATACAGCCACTGCCCTTACCGATACCAAAAATATCCATAACTCAGCGATTCTCCCACCCCACCTCTCTTCGTCTATGTACAACGTCGCTACAGCCCCCTCCGCCCAAGACTCTGCCCGTCTACGCAGCGTTGGAAAGCCACTCGGCTCTACCTTTATCGGCGTGGCCATCCTTATCCTCATCGTAGGATTTCACCGCTATTTCGAAAGCCAGTACTGGATTGTGCGGGGCAAGTTTCCCGCAAGCCGAGGAAGTGTTGCTTTGACAGCGGCCGTAGCGATGGCGCTGATCGTCGCGGCGTTCGCGGTCATTTTGGCAGTTTCGCCAGGTGCCATTGAAACGTAAACACATCATTAAAAGATGGTTATGACACCTCTTTCTCTCAGTCATGTCCTTTTTCGTTTTTCACATCTGTTTAATGCATAGCTGCCATGATTCACGTTTAGCATTGTTTGTATCGTCGTTGAATGCATGGAATATTCTTTTGAATATATTCTTTGAATTCGTTTTGCTCTTTTATTCTAAGCTTTGTTGGAATAGCGGTTGATTTTCTTTTTCTACTTTGTTCTCAAAGAATTATACGTCTACACAGACTGGAAAGAGTGGTCTTTATGCCGACTTGCTGCGGTGCGACCACTCGTTCCTCGCAGGCATTATCTTCAGGCGCAATCTGCTAATCTGGTTTCTTCAAGCTTGATCTTGGAATTGTGCACGCTTAATCTGTTCATATTATCATCTGAATTTCATCTATCATCCTGGAAACTCTCAACAGGTGTGAGGTGCTAGCTGCAAGCCGATTGGGCAAACTACATTTCACGCCTACGTTTGAAAGAGTGAGCTCTGTATACGTGATGCCCTCGTGGGACTGAATAAAGCCGACAGAAGTAGGTTGGTGCCAAGCTAGTTAAAATGCAACTTGATATCGCGTTGCTTTCTAGGCCATAAGTTGGTAGATATCCCAGCCAGTACCTCTATAGGTACCTGGCTTCAGATCGACGGAGGAGTATTTTTGACAATTAGTGCCCGAACTTGCTGCTTTGAAATGCACTGCGATGCATGTACTATCCGAATTGCAATATTCGACGCATTCTTCCTGAAAATCAAACCTACCCAGTGGTTGTATTATGGTGCTTCGGGATGTGACTAGGCCAGGTTAGATTATTGGAATTGTGACCCCTCTAGGTCATAATGATGGCAGACTTACTAATATCACAAGCTGCAACGAAACTTCTCCCATTATTTGTTGTGATGATTTGACCATTTCCGCGACCTGAATGGCATCAGCATACATTTTCAATCAATGTTATCAACCACTGGCAGATGATTATTTACAAATCGCATTAAATTGTAGAATACCGGGACTAGGACTACACTAATCCAAGCATTATCTTCAGGCACAATTTCTTAATCTGTATTCTTTGACTCTAAAATCTTGGAATTTTTGCACGCTCAGTCTGCTCATATTTTCATCGGAATTTCGCGTATCTTCAAGAAGTTTTTTGATCCATCATGTTCAGAAATCTCAGTAAGCCATTGTACCATCATAGGATCATTCGAGTGGCCTGTTCTCAACCTGCCTAGCAAGAATGCTCCACGCTCTATCAAGGCAGGGAATCACCATCGACAAACACCTCTCCCTCTTCATATTCATCAGGTAGCTCCTTCGGTCCCGGCCAGCCTGGTCGGCGACAGTGTGTCCATTTCAAATTCTTGCGTTCAAAGTTCATGAGTCCGAATCGCTTTTGCATCAACTCCCATACTTGATTTGCAGGGACTCGGACAAATTTAAAGCCTCGAACGTGGGGAATTGGTAGATGACCAAGGAGTTTAGGCTCTGGATCAAGCGCAGAGAGGCTTGGTGCTGCCAGGATCACTGTCGAATCAACGGCAGACCGTTGTTCCAAACAGACGATTTCGATGTCGCAGGTTCGTAATGAAGTCGGATGCATAGCTATCTCCTTGATAATGTTCCAAATATCTTCCACCCTGCCGGATTCCCCGCCTTTCCAGGGCATAAAGTAGCAGAAAGGAATTGCGTTGTCAGTAGTCCAGACCTTTCCGTCCGAATGCGCACCCGGGCCCGCATTTTGCACTCCCATTTCGGATTGCAATCCGAGGATGGTATCTTGGTCATTGTGATGGTTTGAAATTGAGAATAAAGGAATAGTGTAGCGATCATAAATGGCAACTTCCCAGTCAGGATAGTTTCGATAAAGGGGCTGGTCGTAATCTTCTAGTTGCTCCTTGTAGATCCATCCGGGATAAGAATCAGGTGTGTTCAAGTAATGAAGTTCGTTCCATTCATTATGGTCGCCCCAATGCATAGATCTGCAGATACTCCCCAGCCTCAATTTCCCAGTTGTGACTATTGCCAACATGAGCTCGTCGCTTAAGCGCCTTATGATGCCGAAGAGAGTCTCGTCAATACTTTTAAAAGGCCCAGTGAGATAAAGAAAGGGAAAAAGCCCTTCATCTTTGTTGCGAGTGTAATCCCAGAGTAGGTACTCGTTCCAGAATGTCGCCAGGTCTCTTCTGGTTGAACTGCGGTGTCGCTCCCATGGGACCAATTCTACTGTAATTGGTGGGTCATTCTCGTTTGCCCTTGTCATGTATGCTGGGGTATTTCGCTTTTCACGAACACACCGTTCCATAGCTTGGTATACTGATGCAGTGATAGCTTTCTGTATCTCAGATTACATGCGAGCAAGCTCGCTTGCCGACGCATCAAAGAGAACGATGAAGACAAGACGATCTTCACTCACTGGACGATCCCACAGAGGCATCTTGGGTTTGTAGTTGGCCATATGCGACAAAGCCTCATTGACTGCATCAAACTGGAGCTCGTATTGAAGTGAAGCTATTGCGGTTGTAGTGAATGGTCCACAGTCAGGATCACGGAGCACTACTCCCTCCTGTATCTCTTCGAGGTTCACTGGTGACTTCCACATCGGAACCCAGATACTTTCAAGCGACTGGAATTTCACTGGTTGGCCATCATAATGAGGAGGCCAGGGGTAGTCGCGGGTTCTCTCTTGATGCCTATAGTGGCGCCAGACTATCTCACTGTAGAAGTAGGTCCGTCGAGCGTAAACATAGGAATAGTAGCCGTCACGACCGTGATAGCCCCCTGCTCATGCTCTTCGCTGTCGCGTGGGACCCCCATAAGCTGACGTTTTGTCATATCATCGGCGATCATCAGTCGTGAATATCCCAGTCGTTGTGCGAACGCAGCAAGAACGTAGATATTGGCCTTGCTATCTCTATGAGGGCCTTGCTGCGCGATGGACTCGAGTAGTCGTCTCGAAGGGGTTCATATCTCCATCTTAATGTCGTCTGGGTCGATTGGAACAAGACTTTCCTGGCCGAAATAATACTGATCATGTCTCCACAAATCTCTTGAAATGGTCTTTTTCGACTCACGAACCAGCCTTTCCTGGTATTCGTCGTCCAAGTCGGTCAACAGGACGAGAAGCCATGTGGAGTTTGGCGTGAAGCTTTCTTCTTGCAACGGCTGGGGGGCGAGGGTTCGAACCATTGTAAAGCGATGTTGGACTTCGAAAGAACTCAAAGGAAGTCAATAGCAAAGAAATGAACGGGTTCGGGAAATGAGAGGGTGAAAGGTAGCCAGTGAGAAGAGTGCAACAAGTCAACATTCAAGTTGTAGTTTTAGACGCAGTGGGTCTCCAAATTTGGCTGCAGAGGCTTGTTTGTTCTTTCCTTTTTTTTCGTTTGCTATCAGTACATTATGGCAACCTAAAGCGTTCAGGAAAATAAGTCAATTTTTTGGAGGGCAGGATCCAGATCATAGCACCAGCTACTACTTTTTGCATCCGACAAGAAAGCAATCGGGCAATAGCCACCAGGCACGGTATTCTGTATAGAACATAATAATTGGGCGATGGTCATGAAATTCTAAATCTTATATACCACAAAGTGATTGGGCTATGGCCACCAAGTACTAGGTCTTCGAGTTATATACCATGAAGTGATCGGATGATGGCCCCATGGTAGTAGTAGTACTAGATCTTATATACAAAAAAAAGCAATCAGTCAATACCCACAAATCACTAGGTTTCTACATACTACTAAGCAATTAGGTAATAGCTACAAAGCCCTAGATTTTTATATGCAAAGTACTGATTAGACAATAACCACAAAGTACCCCGAAGTAGACTCTATATACAAAAAGAAAGATCAGGCAATCGCCACAAAGCACTAGATTTTGTATACAAAAAGAAATACCCTGCTTAGCACCAGTAGTATATAGTACAATCTTTGTGGTCTACATGAGTTGAGCTGCTAGTAGGACCGTAACTTCCAAGGCTGAACCACACTATAACCTTAGAGTTTGCTACGGTCCTCAAAAGTCGCTTAATTTCTACCGCAATGTAACTGTGCATAGTGAACCTTGGAATTTGGAAGTGTTTAAGCAGCAAGGGCTTGGAAAATTTGTAGAATACCTATGTATACAACTACTGACCACCCTGCGCTTATGAAGCGCCGTATTAATTTCATCCGCCCTGGGCGCTTTGGGCTGCCATAGTATGTACATAGACTAATTTTAGAAGTAGACCTGCCCCTTAAATTAACTTGAAGGAAATCCTGTTCAAAGACAGGCAAATCTGCGTCGATAGAAAATGTTCTTTCTTTTATTTCAGCGGCTCCAAGTCCACCCGCACCAGACTAGTCTAGACACAATATAGAAGAGGCTGTAAGATACGGAGAAAAATGGGAAGGATATCGACAGAACGAGTCGTGGGGGGTAGAGGGAGAGAAAAGGACATGGAAGAAGCAGGGGAACACGGCTTGCAGGTAATGCGGGAGAGTGCGAAGCAAGACAAGAAGAGAAAGAAGAGAAAGGAGACCATAGAAACAACCGCCTAGATATACTCGCTTTACCGCGGACCAAGCTTCGCCAGAGCACGCGCGCCCTGTTCCTGCCACTCCTGCTTGGATACCCACATGTCTTCCTTGTCGGCGATCTAAGAAGAAGAAAAGTAAGCATGGAAATTGCAAATTAGGCTCGGGTGTAGAAATGATGGGACGTACCAGGTTGGCAAGCACGGCACCGCCCAGGAAAACCATGTGCCTCCGTCGAGGAGGATCCTCGATGCGGACCTTGAATTTCTATAGAGCTGTTAGCTACGGATACTACCCAATCAAAATTGTCTGCACCGTAAACTTACGTTCAGGCGTTCTGGGTTACCGCCCAGAACCCGAGTGAGCCAGAGCTGCTTCAGCTCCTTCTCCAATCGAGAGGGCAGACCGGGGTACATGCTGCTACCACCGGAGAGCACAATGGCCTTGTATAGACTGGATCGAACATCGACATCGGTTCCTTGAATGGTGTTGAAGACCATTTCCGCCATACCAGGTTGATCGACATCAACCAGATGAGGCTGGAACAGACACTCAGCGGCCTCGAATCGCTCGCTACCGACACGGATAACACGGCCATCGGGGAGAGTGTAGGATTCGACGAGAACAGTGGTATCCTCAGAGAGCTGCTTGTCAAGCTCGAGGTCATAGGAGACGTAGCACAGCTTCTCCTTAATCTGACGAACGGTCTCGAAATCGGCGGTTCGGTTCAGCGCATAGCCCCGGCGCAGGAGGAGGGCGATGAGGTTACGGGTAACGTCGCGACCGGCGACGTCCAATCGCTTAATGTGGTGGTTCAGCACGGTCGATTCGTACACGGGGATAACGTGTGTCACGCCGTCACCGGAGTCCACAACCACGCCGCTGCTCAGACCTATAGTTCCAAACTGATTAGTCTATTTTCCTCCTCAATATGTATATCCAGCCGAATTTGGTCGCATACCCTGGGCATACAGTGCCAGCACCGCCTGGATCGCCACATAGACACCCCCGAAGTTGTATCCCTCCAACATGACCTCGGCCATTTGCTCGCGATTCTTGAGCGGGTTCATCGGGGGCTCAGTGAGGAGGATCTTGCGGCCTGTGGGGTCGATCTTCATCTTGTCGTAAAAAGTGTAATTCCACAGGTGTTGCATGTCGTCCCATTTCTTGACGATACCATTCTCCATCTAAAGCGACCCCGCAAGGGACTGCAATTAGCGACACGGTTCTGCGGGGTAGAGAAGGCGCAGGCTGGAAGGTCGAAGGTTCTTGTTGGGTATCGACTTACCGGGTAGCTGATCTGGAGCATGGAGCGAGCAGCGGCAGCTTCATCACCGCACATGATATCCTTCACCACGATGTCGCCGGACTGCTCCTCCGTCCGCAAGATGGGCCGCCCCACTATCGAGGGGAACTGGTGCTCTGGGAAGTTCTGGGGAAGAGGTTGGATTAGGGTGATGCTCAATCGTCGAATGGGTATATGCGACATACCTGTGCTGCATATCCGACCTTGAGGAAACCGGTTCCTCCGTCGAGCACTGCGGGCTGTTAGCTTGGGAGCTGGGGGAACACGCGGTCTGCTTGAGGGGAGCAGGCAGGGGGGCCACGTACCAATGGGCATTTCTCCCGCCATGGTGGAGGGAAAGGTATTCGAGTGCTCTGGAAATTGGTATGCACGGACTTTCCAGAAGGTGCGGAATTGGAGGTGTGAATGGGGACGCGGGGGAGTTGATGTCGGTAAGTGAGCATATGCCACATCGGAGGTAACTGGCGCCTGCTGCATCATCGTTATTTACGTGACAATACCGTACTGGTGCGGCTCCCCGCAGTCCGCGCCAACGTGAGTGTGAGCCGCAGCCGCGTGACAGAACGTGACAACCCCAACGGCCACATCGTGGCTTGCGAACTATCAGATGACGATGTTCTTAAGAATATTGAAAAGTAGACATTTGAGAAAAAGGGACAACAAAAACAAAAAGCCAGATGAATTATAGTAGAGAGGTTTGGACGAAGAAAGGGTGGTGCGGTGGTGTGGCTATATTTAGGTCAATTAGGCAGACCCGTGAGGCATCCCGAAGTCATCACAAAACATTCAAGTTGTCTCCAATGCAACCAAATATTAAACTAGATCCGGCTATAGTGTCTTCCCCAGAATATCATCACCCCGCATAGGAGCTACAGATCCCCCTTAGCCTTTTTGAGTACCGAGGACCACATGAACTGTACCTACCCTACGGACGAGGCCAGCTATCGGCCGACTCCGATTCCCCTCGGGAAACGACGAAATCCCCCTCTTCACCGTACTATTAAACGGGCATGGCCGCTGGATTCTGGGGAAATTGGCCATTGACAACAATTGCATCAAGTAATAGACTGTGCTAGAACACTGAACTTCCTCAAGGTGATCGCTAAGAACAACATAAGGTTAGGAAGAACTTCGTTATCAAAACTCGTTATCGGACCATAGCTTCCGACCTCACCCTACCCTACATCCAATAGCCTGCTCGCTTTCCCGGAAGGCCAAGGGCAGATCACTCGCAATCAAACACCATGACTCAAATCGGCTGGGTAAGTTTAAACATGCTCGGACTCCTGTGGAGGATTTTCGTGTCCGGAAGAAAATGAATCGAAGCTAATGCTCAACACAGTATGGCCTCGGGTCCATGGGCCTGGCTATGGCCAACAATCTGCAGCGGCACCTGGCTGCGAAGAAGGCCCTGAGCCTGCTGTACACCAATCGCACCATGATGCGCGGTCAACCGCTGCAGTCTATTGGTGGAATTCCTGTGCCTGGATTTAACGATCTGGTGGCTCACAGCAAGATTATCTTCACTATGGTATGGGATACAATCCCCCCCCCCCTTAATGCCAGGCTCGACGGCTAGCAAGATATTGAGCCCAGCAAAGCTAATTCGTGTACTAGGTCTCCAATGACATGGTTCTTGAGAGCCTGGTATCCTCCGCCCTCGGATCAGGACATAGCCTCAAGGACAAGATCTTCGTAGACTGCTCTACAGTTCACCCGGATACGGTGAGCTCTGCAGCCGCGCTGCTGAAAGATCAACAGGCCGCTTTTGTCTCGGCTCCTGTCTTTGGGGGAAACCCAATCGCTGTGGATGGCAAGCTGGTCTTTGCCATTGGCGGTCCTAAGAGTGCTACTGAGGTCGTGAAGCCCCTTATCCAGGACATCATGGGCCGACGTGTGATCGAGTGTGGAGAGGATCCGGCGAAGTCTTCCTTGCTGAAAATTGCTGGGTATGTTTTGCTTGCATAGAAATGAACTTGAACTGTTACTGATAGACACCTAGAAACATTGTCACTGTCAACATGATGGAAGCTGTTGGCGAGGCCCAGGTATTTGCTGAGAAGACCGGCCTCGGAACTGGCCCCATGGAAGAGCTGATTGGCGAGGCCTTTGGCCCTGTTGCTGGCGGATATTCGAAGAGGTACGTGCGAAAGCTTATGTTAAGTGCAACGGGATTCAGCTCACCTACTATGCAGATTGACTACTGGTGCATATGCCCCATCCCTGGACTCTCGTCCTGGATTCGGCGTGTCGTTGGCTATCAAGGATGCTAAGCATGCTATGGACATGGCTCAGGAATTCGGTGTCAATCTCCCTGGCCTCGAGCTGGCTCGTGGCAATATGGAAGCTGCTAGAGAGTATGCTGGTGA